GGAAATAAATCCACAAATTAACTTTTAACAAGGCACACCTGTTAATTGAAATGCATTCTAGGTGACACCTCGTGAAGCTTGTTGAGAGAATGCCAAGAGTGTGCAAAGCTGTCATCAAGGCAAAGGGTGGCTACCTTGAAGAATCTCAAATATAAAATATATTTTGATTTGTTTAACACTTTGGTTACTACATGATTCCATATGTGTTATTTCATAGTTTTGATGTCTTCACTATTATTCTACAATGTAGAAAATAGTACAAATAAAGAAAAACCCTTGAATGAGTAGGTGTGTCCAAACTTTTGACTGGTACTTTATGTTAGCCATTCTAACTCCATAGGAGCAGATTTGGTACAGTAGGCTACATTTGTTTTTATTTCTCAACACTTTGATCAATGCTTTCTTTTCTACATTTATAGGCCCCATAATATTTTCATGGCATTGCCCTACAGTCCATGTGTGTTTGAATCAACATGGAATCAAATAGGACTGTATACCACTACATAGCAAAACAATATCCATCTTAAACTGAATGGGGTCATTGTGTTGAGCCCTGAGGGACTCAGTCACAGTAATATTTTATAATCCTTTAGCTTTCCAACCAAACCCTGTGGGTTTTGGAAAAATAGATTGTTTGTAGGACTTGCTCAGCTTCCACAATCCTTTGGTATTTGTAGATATAAATGTAACTTTAGTATTTCATTGATGATTTGATGCTCACTTTGGAATTATTTTGCTCCTTTGATTGTATAAAACATTTTTTAGCAAGTATTTTTTGTCATGACTTCAATTAAACCTTTTATTACCGCATACAGTAGGACAAATAATGACATTTCTAACCAACTTAAATGTAAACTTGAACATTGTAATATCTTTGCTCCACCTGTAAGTTTGAACAAGAATTGTTTGAAATATGCATACTTTATTACATAACAAAACAATATTTAGGGTTGGGTAGGTTACTTTCTAAATGTAATCCGTTACAGTTACTAGTTACCTGTCCAAAATTGGAATCAGTAACGTAACTTTTGGGTTACCCAAACTCAGTAATGTAATCTGATTACGTAATTGGATTACTTTACATGTAATCAGTTACTCCCCAACCCTGACAATATTGCCTCAAGTTGAATACTGTAGTCACGTTGTTTTCTGCCCTGAAGCAAGGTCTCCTCCAAATGTCCAATGTACACTGTGGAATGCGTCCTAAATGGGACCCCTATGAAATGCACTACTTTTGACCAGGACCCATAGAGCTCTGGTCAAAAGTAGTGGACTAAATAGGGAATAGGGTGCCATTTGGGACGCAGTCAAGGTCTCCTCCAAATGTCCAATGTGCACTGTGGGTTAAAGTATTCAAAATCTTGTATTTCTTGGACAGTATGAAAATAAATGTGTCAAGAACAAAGTATAGAGCAAACTGGAGATCAGTTCACTTCTGGTCTGCTGTGACTGGCTAACCACCTGGCTCCCACCTGTATTGGACATGCATACTTTCGTCTGTCTCATTCTATTTTTAAACCATCTCTTTTCTTTTCCTTTCACTCCCCAGTCCCCACCCTTCTTTCTCCATGTGAACTGTTATAATTCATTCTCATGATTGAACGGTATGTTGGACCAAGGAATTCATCCTGAATACTCATGCCCATGTAGTACTCAATGTATTATTTCATATTAGATCCATTTCCAAAAATATTTATATGGAATGCAGTGTTGGGGAAGCTACTCTGAAATCATAGTTAACCAAAGTACCAATTACTTCACACTGAAAGAAGTTAAGCTACACTAAAGCTACCCTTAAGAAACATATAGATTACTTAACTAAAGATACTTTGAAAAAGTAGTTCACTACATCCAAGCTAATTCGTAATGATGATTATATCTAAATCTGAAATGTCATAGACTACAAATTGCAAGAACAGATCACTCTGGTATCAGATGTTAAGAGAATGTGCATTAAACACAAAACATATGTTCCAAGTGAGAATTAGGAAGGTCTGATACCGAAAAAGAAAAGAAATTCTAGCCTATTTCACCCATATTTAATTTAATTTACGTTCCAGTAATTAGCTACACTGCTAATGGCAAAAAAGTAATTAACTCCTGAAAACCCTACCTAGATTTGAATTTAGTTAAACTATCACCAAGCTATTGCAAAATGTAGTTTAATTACTAGTCGAACTACATGTAGTTCACTACTCCCCAACACTGATGGTACAGTGAGGGAAGAAAGTATTTGATCCCCTGCTGATTTTGTAAGTTTACCCACTGACAAAGACATGATCAGTCTATAATTTGAATGGTAGGTTTGTTTGAACAGTGAGAGACAGAATAACAACAAAAAAATCCTGAAAAACGCATGTCAAAAATGTTATAAATTGATTTGCATTTTAATGAGGGAAATAAGTATTTGACCCCTCTGCAAAACATGACTTAGTACTTGGTGGCAAAACCCTTGTCAGACATTTCTTGTAATTGACCACCAGGTTTGCACACATCTCAGGAGGGATCTTGGCCCACTCCTCTTTGCAGATCTTCTCCAAGTCATTAAGGTTTTGAGGCTGACGTTTGGCAACTCGAACCTTCAGCTCCCTCCACAGATGTTCTATGGGATTAAGGTCTGGGGACTGGCTAGGCCACTCCAGGACCTTAATGTGCTTCTTCTTGAGCCACTCCTTTGTTGCCTTGGCCGTGTGTTTTGGGTCATTGTCATGCTGGAATACCCATCCACGACCCATTTTCAATGCCCTGGCTGAGGGAAGGAGGTTCTCACCCAAGATTTGACGGTACATGGCCCCGTCCACCGTCCCTTTGATGCGGTGAAGTTGTCCTGTCCCCTTAGCAGAAAAACACCCCCAAAGCATAATGTTTCCACCTCCATGTTTGACGGTGGGGATGGTGTTCTTGGGGTCATAGGCAGCATTCCTCCTCCTCTAAACACAGCGAGTTGAGTTGATGCCGGGGCGGCAGGTAGCTTAGTGGTTAAGAGCGTTGTGCCAGTAACTGAAAGGTCGCTGGTTCTAATCCCCGAGCCGACTAGGTGAAAAATCTGTCGATGTGCCCTTGAGCAAGGCACTTAACCCTAATTGCTCCTGTAAGTCGCTCTGGATAAGAGCGTCTGCTAAATTACAAAAATGTGATGTAATGTAAATGTAATGCCAAAGAGCTCGATTTTGGTCTCATCTGACCACAACACCCCCAAAGCATAATGTTTCCACCTCCATGTTTGACGGTGGGGATGGTGTTCTTGGGGTCATAGGCAGCATTCCTCCTCCTCCAAACACAGCGAGTTGAGTTGATGCCAAAGAGCTCGATTTTGGTCTCATCTGACCACAACACTTTCACCCAGTTCTCCTCTGAATCATTCAGATGTTCATTGGCAAACTTCAGACGGGCCTGTATATGTGCTTTCTTGAGCAGGGGGACCTTGGGGGCGCTGCAGGATTTCAGTCCTTCACTGCGTAGTGTGTTACCAATTATTTTCTTGGTGACTATGGTCCCAGCTGCCTTGAGATCATTGACAAGATCCTCCCGTGTAGTTCTAGGCTGATTCCTCACCGTTCTCATGATCAACTCCACGAGGTGAGATCTTGCATGGAGCCCCAGGCCGAAGGAGATTGACAGTTCTTTTGTGTTTCTTCCATTTGCGAATAATCGCGCCAACTGTTGTCACCTTCTCACCAAGCTGCTTGGCGATGGTCTTGTAGCCCATTCCAGCCTTGTGTAGGTCTACAATCTTGTCCCTGACAGTCTTGGAGAGCTCTTTGGTCTTGGCCATGGTGGAGAGTTTGGAATCTGATTGATTGATTGCTTCTGTGAACAGGTGTCTTTTATACAGGTAACAAATTGAGATTAGGAGCACTCCCTTTAAGAGTGTGCTCCTAATCTCAGCTCGTTACCTGTATAAAAGACACCTGGGAGCCAGAAATCTTTCTGATTGAGAGAGGGTCAAATACTTATTTCCCTCATTGTAATGCAAATCAATTTATAACATTTTTGACATTAGTTCTTCTGGATTTTTTTGTTGTTATTCTGTCTCTCACTGTTCAAATAAACCTACCATTAAAATTATAGACTGATAATTTCTTTGTCAATGGGCAAACGTACAAAATCAGCAGGGTATCAAATGCTTTTTTCCCTCACTGTATGTAATGGTAGGCCTATTTCATTGAGAAATGAAGTGAATAATCTAGACTTTTACAGAAATAATTTTCACCCACCCCAAGTATTCTCTCCAGTCATGCTGCTATGTTTTATAAGTGACCTTTATAATAACAGCCTCTTATTTAGGCTAGATGTTAGCGTTTTTGCTGCTTTGCTGTGGTTGCTGGGCAATTCTACTTATTATGTGTCCTCATGTGCATCAGAAATGGCACCCTATTCCCTATATAGTACACTACTTTTAGCCAGAGCTCTATGGTCCCTGGTCAAAAGTAGTGCACTATATAGTGAATAGGGTGTCATTTCAGACGCACCTTTTGTGTCCTCATGGTCTCTGAGGATGGAACTCTCCGACAGTGTTTACTTTGACTTTACTTTACTCTAGTGTTCCTGTTTGAGTTCCTCAGGAGCGTAACCACTCTATCTCTTTCACAATGGGACTGGTCACAGCCATTCAAGTTCAGCCCCACATTAGACATACTGCTGGAGCACCATGGCAACCAGAGAACAGATGAGGTTGGAATTATAAGAGGCTAATTCTTACAACTGCAGGTTGACTTAGAATAATGAATTTAATTAGGTTGCATCTGATGAGGTTTCGAAATGAGGAAAAATGAACAACTACCTGTTTCAATCTATAACAGCTAGAGGGGGAGAGAGATGGGAGGGAGGGAGGGGAGAGGAGGGGAAAAAGGGCTTGAAGTAAAAATGGGCAACAAGGAGTAGGAATGTGAAGCATTTCTGCTCCTGCTCCAGTGACTGTTTACACGGCGGTCAGCCTGTGACATCACAGCAGAAACTTGATAAATGTCAGCCATGCCGAGGAATGAGCAGTTAGCAAACAGCAAGCAGCACTAGTAGCTAGCTAGCACCACTACCATCACACTTAGAGGTTATACAGACAGACAAACAGAGCAGTTCAATCAACCTACAGACGTTCCAATGGAAATTTCAAGACAACTCAGTGACAATGTGATAGCCTTGGCTTTGCTGCTCTGTATGGGTGCACAGGTGAGGCCAAACTACTATTCTGCTCTTCTGCTCTTCTCTTTGTGTGTATCTGGAGGTGAACTGGACCTGTAGCTTACACCTGCTGCTCAGGATGTGGAGATCAATGAGACTGCATTCCGTTGATTGATTCCATTGATTCCACGGAAAGATCTATCAGAAGCTTTCAGGTGGCTCTGGTTGAAGATTAAACTGAATCTGAAGGGTTGATTGTTTTGATAGAACTGATTTGTATGTTGTTGTTGTTTTTATTTGTAACTTACTCTATAGCCAGTTTATAATATTTGTAACTTCATCTATAGCCAGTTTATAATATTTGTAACTTACTCTATAGCCAGTTTATAATATTTGTAACTTACTCTATATCCAATCTATAATATTTTTTTACTTACTCTATAGACAATTTATAATATTTGTAACTTACTGTATAGCCAATATGTAATATATGTACAAGGTGCTAGCTATTCATGGCATGATGTAACAGTATTGTACACTGCTAAGTACTTTAGCATTTTGTGTTTTGTCATCTAGAAATTGGCATTTATTACACTTTACACAGATCATCATGAATATTAATGATAAATATTTATAAATATTGATGAATGATGAATATTGTGAATGTTTGATGTTGTATTGCAGAGTTGCCATAGAGAATATTTTGAGTCCATGGGGGAATGACATTGCTCCACCAGTGAATAATTGAGTCCAGTATGTCCAAAGGCTGGCTGCTGTGGGTTGGCTCCATTAACTGCATGTAATTGAAAACAGGACTATTTTGACTAGACAATGTTGGACATAGTGTTCCCCAAACAAAGTACTTCTACCAAATATTACTGTGCTTGCAATTGGTCAAGGAAAGGCTGTTTTATTTCAGAACATAACTGCAGCATTTGTTAACTATGGTGATGAGGATGATGATGAAGACCATGATGATGGAGATGATGACAACAGCAACAACAACAACCAATTGTTCTCCTACTCCTCTTGCTCTAACCTCAGCCTGCTTTAACCTCTAACCTCCAACCTTTGCCCCCTGTGTTACTCTAGGTGTATTGTCAGCTGTGCCCAGGACCATGCCAGTGCCCCAGCCCCGTGCCCCAGTGCCCAGCAGGAGTCCCTCTGGTCCTGGACGGCTGCCAGTGCTGCCAGGTGTGTGCCCGGCAGCAGGGCGAGGCCTGCAGCGACCTGTATGTGTGTGACAGCCAGAGAGGACTGCAGTGTGACTACAGCGCCAGCTTCCCCAGCGACCCTGGAGAGTGTGTCAGTGAGTGCCACCCTTTCCCCCTGTTGTTTTAGGCTTTATTACTGGCAGTAATGTGAACAGAAGGGGGAGTTAGATGAGAGGGATAAACAGTGGGAAGGGTGGACACAGGGATTGAATCCTGCCTGGTCTCCAGGGTCATAACACATGTGCTTGTGCCGGAAGTGTTGCCACTGGACCACAGGCTCTGCACAGTGCCACCCTTTTCTAAACAACCAGGCTAGCAGACAAAAAACGCAGAAAGGGACGGGATACGGAGCTGAAGTCTATGTCTGACTGTTTGTATGAGAGGGACAAACAGACACTCTGTTTAGGGCATAAACTCATCCAGCCAGCTGTAGAGCGCAGGGGCTTTAGTTTGACTATACTCCAAAACATTTTAAACTCTGTTTTCAGTTGTGCTGTTGACACATTTCCGCTGATGACTGCCCATTGAGAATGATACATTGCAGAGACAACACACACGGATTGGAAAACAGACTCCTCAGTCTCCTCAGGCCTGGGTTCCCAAATGGCACCCTATTCCCTGCATAATGCACTACTTTTGACCAGAAGTAGTGCACTAAAAAGGGGAAAAGGGTCCCATTTGGGAAAGCCTGGTTTCCCATAACATCACATAACAACCCAGAGGCTTGGCAGTAGACACGAGCCTCTTGTGTCCTTACCTCACTCTTACACAAGCTCTATTTTTCTCTTGCTCTCGCTCTCTCTCGCTCTCGCTCTCTCTCGCTCTCGCTCTCTCTCGCTGTCTCTCTCTCTCTCTCTCTCTCTCTCTCTCTCTCTCTCTCTCTCTCTCTCTCTCTCTCTCTCTCTCTCTCTCTCTCTCTCTTTCTCTCTCTTTCTGTGAGGTTTCATTTCCTAATTGTATTTTTTCCAGAGTCCAGAACAGAGCAGGGGCAATGGTGCAGGGTATGTGTTAGGGTTAAGGTTAGAGTGGGGCTGCCAGTCCAGGGTAAAGAGCCTCTAAGAGGGTCTCTCCATCCTGTTCCCAGACCTGGGTTCAAATTCTATTTTAAATCCTTTCTAATATCTGTGCTTGACTGAGTTTGCCTGGCTTGATGAAGCAATAGAATAGTCCCAAAATGTAAACCCTTCCCATCTGGCACTCCAGGCAGGCAAATAGTATTTGAACCCAGGTCTGTTCTGTTTCCACCCTTCCAGGTCAGGAGGAGTTGGGCTGTGAGCTGAACGGGGTCTCCTACCAGGATGGCCAGGTGTTTCAGCCCTCCTGTGCCACCCAGTGCCGCTGTCTGGGGGGAGGGGTGACATGCGTGCCTCTGTGCCCTGAGGACGTCCATCTGCCCAACCCAGTATGCCCACACCCCCAGCGGGTACAGCTGCCTGGGAAGTGCTGCAAGGAGTGGGTCTGTGAGAACATGGACAACACAGTAATTCAGGATGCCATCACAGGTAACTGAGACATCAGTCTAGTTTAACAGTCATATTCTACCCTGGTTCCAGATATGTTTGTGCTGTATAGCCAACTCCCTATGGTGGTTGGCATTAGCTACTGTATGCAGATCTGGGACCAGGCTAGTCATCCTCTGTTCTGACACAGGTTTCTGCTACTTCTTTAGATTGGACCATCTTGAGAGGGAACCAATAAAATGCTTCCCTGTGGATCCTAAACCATTATTTCTGGTGTTAGCTAAACAGCTTGACATTCATTAGGAATATGGTTTTGGTCCAGCTCAGATGTTAGCTCAATCAATCAATCAATCAATCAAATGTATTTATACAGCCGTTTTTACATCAGCAGATGTCACAAAGTGCTATATAGAAACCCAGCCTAAAACCCCAAACAGCAAGCAATGCAGATGTAGAAGCACTTTACATAGCACTTTTACACACCATTGAATACAAGGATGACAAATGCTGTTCCGTTGATCAAGCTGTAGGACAATATTTAGCTTCCCACGTTTATATGATATCTGTCACTGACGCTCATAGTCTGAGGTCTTTTATTGAGGGATCTTTTGCATTTTATTGAGGTGAGTCTGGCCAAATGAAAAGACACTATGTCCAAATATAACCCCCGCATTTCATTGGAAAAGTCTGGCCAGATGAAAATGCACATTATTGTCAAAATAACAAGCCCTGTTCCAACCGACCATGTTTCCAAGGTTGCGTCCCAAATGGCCCCCTATTCCATATGTAGTGCACTACTTTTGACCAAGTAGTGCATTATATAGGGAATATGGTGCCATTTGGGACAAATCCCTAGTTTCATAACAAGACCCATGGCTAGGCGACGCAACAATTAAACACAATAAGCCCAAGGTGTCTGAAATAGTGCCAAAAACGAGTTAGGAAAATAAAACCACTAAGAAAGAAATAACATCTGGAATTTCTGACACTGTCACCCAGTCAAGCTATGTCAATAGCAATGGAACATTTTGTTCTAAGTGTTCTTGAATTCAAAGCCTAGACCTTTTTTCATGCTGTGTTACAGAAACAACCCCAAAAAACTGCTGATTATTATGACTCAGATCCGATTGAAGATGCTGTCTTAGGAATTGATCTCCATCCAGATAGCACTGCTTTTCCGTGATATGAAAAGACAGAAAGTTCCTTTCCAAACTGAGGCCAATTGAGTTATTTAGAGACATTATGACATCTGAGACGCTGATAAAAAAAACTAAAAACTATTAACCAGGGAAGTCATGTCAGATGAGTTTATTTGGCTCTGATTGAGTTGTTAACAGCTAGATGTCGTGACAAGTCACTCATTCCTCATTGTCCTATTAGTGTGCTTGCTCGAAACACACTACTGTTATTCCCCATACTGATTATTCTTATTTTGGACAGCTGAAGCAAGTTCTCAACTTTCCTTCAGGAAATTCACCATTCAGCCTAATTTTTCTCCTGGCCTCCTCTCTCCAGCCTCCAGTTTGTGGCCAGGCTTGTCGGATCCCTCTAACTGTATAGACCAGAGTACAGAGTGGAGCGCATGTTCCCAAACCTGTGGCGCTGGGGTCTCCACGCGGGTTTCCAACAAGAACCCAGCCTGCCGGCTCGAGATGCAGAGCCGTCTTTGTAAGGTCCGACCCTGTCAGACACTCCAGCCACGCAGGAACCCCATGGTGAGTTGATATCTTCCCAAACTCTCTGCCCCACGTCTCTACCCCCCTACTCTAACTCCATATGTCTACCCCATCCTCAAGTGTATTTGGGGTTAATAGGTTATGTTAACAGGACCCATGCATAAGCCTCATGTATGTGCTAAAATGTGTGTTCCTGTCACCTAGACTCTACTATATGGGTGCAAAGTGCCCACTGCCCAGTCTGTGAAATGGTCATACTGGAAAACGCTTGTGGTGGAAAAAATACCTCTCACAGATTTAAGAATGTGTACAGTAGATGTATAATGGTTAATGTATTTTCTTCAGTAAGTGCATTTGAGTTCATTCCTAATCTAATAATACATACATGAACCTCTATTCTCAGCAACCATGAGCTCATCTAGTAGCCTAACGCTGATGATCTGTTTTTCAAGTGGGCCCGTCGTTGTGAGCCCAGCTACAGGTCAGTGGTGCCAGTGAGACTGGTGCACCAGGGCTGCTACAGCACACGGGTCTACCGGCCCCGGTACTGCGGCCAGTGCACCGACGCCCGCTGCTGCACCCCCTACTGGACCAGCACGGCCACGGTAGCCTTCCGGTGCCCCACTGGCAGGCTCCTTCACCGGGCAGTCATGATGATCCAGTCCTGTGTCTGTCATTACAACTGCCCCTACTCAGCTTCATGGCCCTATGCAGCTGGACCCTACTCAGGCTCCTCACGCTCTCACAGGAGCCATGCCATGTGGGGCTAGACTTGACTTTCGATTCAATTCTCTAGGCCCTATGCCCCCTTGAGAACCTAGGGCGTCCACCGTGGCTCTCCACCTCAATCTTTTCTGAATGGCTTTTGCCTCTTGCCAGGAGATCACTTTACTAAGTTCTTGTAGAGATCTAGAGCCCTATCCTACCCCTCTCCATGCACTGACACGCCCATACTGAGACCTGTCTACACAGGACCTGGGAGCAACACTTTTGCTATGTTCCAATGTCCATACAAGTACACTCCTTCTAAGTAGTATACCAGTATGAATATTTGAATGGAGCCGCTGTCTATCATGGCTGCATCCAGCAGGTGTAGCCCACTTCACAGGATAGATAGAGGAAGTGAAAATATCTTCTAGGTAATAAACTGTGACTGAGTCGGGGGAATAAAGCCCTGATATGACTGGACAAGCTCCGCCTGCACTAAGAACTTCACTCCATTCCACTCTATCACATCTCATAAGGTGACCTCATGAGGAATAGAATAGGTCAGGAAACCCTAGTTAGCTAGCCTGATCTCAGATATTAGCCTGGTTTTTCTCTACAACATGGTCACTGTCAAGCCAAACATTTGGCATGACAATTCCATAAGGAGTTGGCAAGGGAGCAGAAACAGACTAGCCTCTATTTAGCATATATAAGTGAAATACTGTAACCCAACAAATGTATTTTTGACTAATTGACCAACTGTCGTCTTATACTGTATGTAGAAGACTATATGACACCTGACCAAAGCCATTTGTTGTCGTTCGTGACTCATTTTAGGCCCCAGAGTTTCTCCTGACCACATGACCTGACTTCGTTGAGAGGATAAGACTCAAGTGTTGTTACTTACATTTTAGAGAATTTATTTTACAGAATGACACCAACCTTTGAGTTGATAGATACTGTATCTTGACATGCAAATGCCATCTGTTATATTTGTTTGTTTGTTTGTTTATAAATGTCTATTTTGTGTTCTTAGTCAGATGAAATTGCACTTATTTTCAATGTTGCTGTAAATATAAACTATTCTTATGCTTTTTGAAACATTATACAATTGTATCACTGATTTTATACTTTGTCCAAACTGTTTTCCATTCACAATGACTTTTTATGTAAAGCTTGAGCTCCTTTGTATATTGTATATTATTCATTAATGATATTACTACATTGAGATGCGATTGTTGTAATTTGTGCTGTAACTTTCCCATAAAACTCCTTATGACTTATTAGCGATTTGTGTGCTGATATTTGATAGCTTTCAACATCCACAATATACACCGTAGCTTCCCAAAGTCAGAAAGCCATGTATCTTCATATTTGCAGTATGTGCAGTATCTAGTGACTTCCATTGGACTCACAGTATCAATGCTAATATAGTTACAATGAGATATGAGTCAAAAAAAGTTTGTGCAAAAAGGGTCAATGCTGATAGTCCGGGTAGCTATTTGGTAACTATTTAACTAACTATTTAGCAGTCTTATGGCTTGGGGGTAGAAGCTGTTCAGAGTCTGTTGGTTCCAGACTTGGTGCATTAGAACTGCTTGCCATGCGGTAGCAGAGAGAACAGTCTATAACATGGGTGGCTGGAGTCTTTGACCATTTTTAGGGCCTTCCTCTAACACCGCCTGGTATAGAGGTCCTGGATGGGAGGGAGCTTGGCCCCAGTGATGTACTGGGCCGTACGCACTACCCTCCGTAGCGCCTTGCGGTCAGATGCCAAGCAGTTGCCATACCAAGCGGTGATGCAGCCAGTCAAGATGCTCTCAAAGGTGCAGCTGTATAACTTTTTGAGGATCTGAGGGCCCATGCCAAATCTTTTCAGCCTCCGGAGGGGGAAGAGGCGTTGTCATGCCCTCTTCACGGCTGTGTTGGTGTGTGTGGACCATGATAGATCCTTAGTGATGTGGACACCGAGGAACTTGAAGCTCTTGACCCGCTCCCCTACAGCCCTGTCGATGTGAATGGGAGCGTGCTCGGCCCTCCGTTTCCTGTAGTCCACGATCAGCTCCTGTGTCTTGCTGACGTTGAGGGAGAGGTTGTTGTCCTGGCACCACACTGCCAGGTCTCTGACCTCCTCCCTATAGGCTGTCTTATCATCGTTGGTGTGTGTGTGTGTGTGTGTGTGTGTGTGTGTGTGTGTGTGTGTGTGTGTGTGTAGACACGCATGGGTTTCCTGTTTGTAGTTGGGTGCGTCTGCTCTTCTGCATGTCTACTGAGAAACAGGAAAGCAACCCCTACTGATGTTCTTATCATTCTAATGTATGGTGAGTCAGTGATACAGTTTGTCACATAGACCACAAAGCAATGTCAAACAAGTTTAAATAGAAAACACCGATATGGAGCACTGAGAAGAACTGAGGAGTGCTAGGCAACTGAGAATCTGACTTCATTCAACTTGAAGTGAATACTTTTATTATCATGTAAGTAACCTTTATTTATACAGGTTATTCTCATCCAGATAAAATATATTTGGTAAGAGAGACCTGTTTATAATCATATATTTTTTTGAGGGAAGTAAATGAAGACAAACTTTTCTTGTGGACACGTTAACATGGACTTTACTCACACATTCTTACCTACAGTGTATAGCTCAGTATTTATTGTTGGTCTTGTTGCTAACTGCAGGGGACTAAAATCCTTGTTTGCGAACTGGAAGAAATTCGGAAATATCAACGTTTTTGTTCTAAACCTTGGAGTTGCAGATATTCTGTATTTGCTCACTCTTCCATTTCTGTTTGCGTACTACTCAGCAGACAGTCACTGGGCCTTTGGACAAGTCTTCTGCAAGATTCTGCTTCAATTTGAACTTGTATGGCAGTATTGATTTCCTCATGTGTATTAGTGTATACAGGTACCTGAGCATTGTCCACCCACTGAGAGTGATGGGCAGGATAACTAGGGGCCACTCTGTAGTCATCACAGCTGTAGTTTGGGTTTTAGTCTGCATTGAGAGTATTCCTGATATGTTCTTTGACAAAACATTGCCCAACTCTTCTTCAAAGACAGTCAAATGCTTTGACACCACCTCCAGCTTCTCTACCAAGGATTACCTGGACTACAGTATTGCGTGGACTGTATCTGGATTTTGCATCCTTCTGCTCATCATATTGGGTTGCTATGGACACGTGGCTGTGGTCCTCTCCAACAAACCCAACATTGACCAAGTGATGAAGCAGATATGCCTTAAACAGGTGTTCATTGTGACTTTACTCTTCTCAGTTTGCTACATACCGTATCACATATTCAGAAATGTAAACCTGAAGACTAGGATTTTGAAAAGTGAAGACACGTGTCAGGATTGGTTTGCTGGTATCTACATTGCTCACCAAGTCAGCTGAGCCCTTGTGTGTCTAAACAGTGCCATCAACCCATTGGTTTACATCCACAGCTATGAAGACCTGCTTGTACAGATCGCCAGGCTTTGGGAACGAGCTCGTCGGTCTGTGCCTCAGTTATTCAACCATCGCATCCAGGAACAAACCCCACCGTTATGAATTCCCATTGCAATAACAGAGTAGCTTTGTTTGCTTTCTTGACACTCATTCTGCTTTTCTCTCCCACTCATTCAGCAATTTCTAATGTGTTTTTTACTGTGCATATTATTGTTTGACTAGGGAAGTTCAAAGTACAGTTCCCAGAATTATATAGGTCTCTTGTGTGTTTGCTGTGTTTACTGGGCTGTACTGTAAATATGATGATATGGAAAGTACATTGTATTCCTTGTATGGTAATCTGCATGAATGTACATGCCTGGTTATTCATTGTATCTAAGAGATGTAAATATATTGTAAATATACAGTATATATTCAACTGATAGATGTAAAGATGTTGTAAATATATAATATTTTCAGACAGTTGCAACACACTGTTTTGGTTTATGGCGCCTTGTATTGAGGAAACAATAAGAGCCATGTGAAAACACAAAGTGCTGTGAATGCATGTACAGAGGAATAGGACATTGAACGTTATCACCACATGATTTGCTGTGTGGTGATCTGCTGCACACCCAACCATAAGGTTTTAAAAAGTTGCATGTGAAGTATTCTAAAGTGAAAATGGAAAGTTATCAAGAAGAGTTTCGCTGTTTATTCTACATCATTTGAATGTATTCTCACTTCATAAATAATAATAATGTAATATGCCATTTAGCAGACACTTTTATCCAAAGCGACTTACAGTCATGCGTGCATAATTTTTGTTGTGTATGGGTGGTCCCGGGGTTCGAACCCACTACCTTGGCGTTACAAGCGCCGTGCTCTACCAGCTGAGCTACAGAGGACCAATAAGATATCCCATCCTTGACTGTATGGAATCAAATGTCACAATTTACACTGTATATTACAAAATTTATAACATGAGTGAAAAGACATGGCGAATGCAGGATTTAATCATAATAACCCAATAAAAACTTGACTCAAAAAGTGCATGTAATAACTATATGTGACCTATATTTTTGACATATTAGGAAGGTTCTCTACATAAAATACCAGAGACAGACACACTTTGGAAATCCCATTATAACAACATTCAGGTTTTTGCAATTGCTTTCCCCATATATATCTACTGTATGGTTGGATTGTCAGCAGTGTAATAACTAAGTAAGTAGGCCATAAGTAACATAATCACTCCAACTTGGACTTTCTCCTCCTGCGTAATCCTCTTACCAAACACATACAGGAGACCACAAACAACACCAGAACAAGCAGAGCAGAGCCCAGCAGCAGTGCTAGAACATCCACATTATGATAGAGATACCATGGCATCTTATAAGACTCTGTACATAGGTGAGCTGCCCCCTTGTGTCGCATTAACAAACTCCAGCCAGAAGATGGCGCTGTCCAAAGGTTCTATAGGCCGGTCGTGGTGCAACCATGATAGTCTTCTCATATTCTCTCTGTAGGGCTTCTCTTCATCCAGAATGTCCCTCAGAGTCTGTGTTAGGGATTCCACCTCTAACGTTGTAACCCCCATAACCTCAGCCACTCCTCTGGCCTTCATATGCACCATGTTGTCAAACTGGTCAAAGATGAGAGGGATACCCAACACTCAGACTCCGTGATAGATGGCCTCGTAGATCCCGTTGGTGCCCCTGTGTGTGACGAACACTTTGGTTTTGGGGTGACCTAGGAGGTCGTTCTGAGGCAGCCATTTCACCAGCAGGGTGTTGTTGCCTAGAGACGAATGCCTCTCTCCCAGGTGTCTCCACACCTCCTTCTGGGGCAGCCGGGCGAAGGCTGAGGCTATGACCTCTGTTATCTCTGGACCCAGTCCTCCCAACAGAGTTCCCAGTGACAAACTCCTCTAAAGCTGCAGGCAAAGGCTTGGAGGGTTTGCACTGGAACCCGCCCACTTAGACTACGTTCGGCATGGTGGGTCTAGGGAACTCAAAGATGAAGTCCACCCTCATCAGCTACAGATCAGCTCCCTGGATAAGGGATATGACGTCCACCCTCATCAGCTACAGATCAGCTCCCTGGATAAGGGATATGACGTCCACCTCATCAGGGCCGAAGAAGCGGTAACACACGGCCTGGTAAGGCGGGTTGGAGACGTAACGATACATGTAGTAGTTGAGACCGTGGTAGAACATGTTATTCAGCCTCTGTGCAAAGTTAATCTGGTCAGAGTTGCGGGAGAACAGTTGAGGGATATAGGATAATGGCGAGGGAGCGATGGCAAAGTGTCCCTCCCCGCTGAGGAGCCAGCGCACGTTTAGGACCAGGGGGAGCTAGAGGTAGTGGGCCACCAGGACCCCGGGAGGGAACACTGGGTCAGTCAGGACCAGGTCATACTCAGCCTCCTTCAGATCTCTCATCAGAGTCTGGTTCTCAAACATGGTGACGACCAGCTCGGCCACCGTTTCTTGGTTCTGCCTCAGCATGCTGAACAGATAAGATCAGAATAGAAAACGTTAATTTCCTCAATGAGGAATTTCATTCTCAATCTCAGACATACAATGTACATACAAAGTAAACAGACAAAAACACAATTTAAACATCAGACATGTATCAGCATTAAACAATAAAGTAGCTTGTGCAAAAATGCAAATTGGCCTCAATTTGATTGCTTTGGGGAGGAATGAGGTTTTGGCTCTGTTAATCCTGCCTTTGGGGTATATCTGTAAATGAAGAGGTTCCCACAGAACTGCAGGAAGGCCCAGGGTGAGCCCTCGCCCCGCTGGATCTCCAGCGACCTCTTCAGGAAGTCGGCCATGAAATCCTGGCTCTCAATGTTCTGAGGCTGGGACTGGGGCACAGTGATGGAGGTGTAGTGGGGGGAGTGCTCAGCCACATACCAGCTGGTGGAGGAGCGCAGAATGGTCACCTGTAGTGGAGAGACGGTACACTCAGCTCTTGGTTCGGTACGTTCCTCTGTATTTTGATTTCAATTTCAAATGTTTCTCAACAATGGCAAGTCATAAAGGCCCCGTGTAGCTCAGTTGGTAGAGCATGGCACTTGCAACGCCAGGGTTGTGGGTTTGTTTCCCACGGGGGGCCAGTATGAAAAAAAAAATGTATGCACTCACTAACTGTAAGTCGCTCTGGATAAGAGCGTCTGCTAAATGACTAAAAAAAAGGAAACAATAATAAAAAAATATATATATATAATAAATCCTAATATCAATGTTTATTCAACTGCATTTTTCTATGGGCAGTCATCAGTGGCGGCTGGCCGATAGAGGGCGCTAGGGCGCCGCCCCCTTAAATAAAATTATTTAAAAAAATAAAATAAAAAATAAATAAAAATAATAATAATAATAATAAAAACATCAGTATGTCAATATTTGTGTGTTTGAAATATGGAATGCACACAGTAATATGTGTAAGATATGATAGAAAATCATATTCGCAACCTTTCCTCTGCCTGTCAAACGCCTCGTCAGCTCTGGGCGATACAGAAAGTGCCCCGAGGAGGCGGGTCTACGTAGCAGTTAAGCCAATTGCTAATTTAAGATATGAATGTATGACATAAAATGTAGCTAATCAGCGATTTTAATTTGAATCCAAGGAGGGCGATTATTTTATCGCCCCAAGCTCGCCCCTGATAAAATAAGGACCGGGCTCCAGTGGCGCCATTTTTACTAGACGACAATGGTGAGCGCAAACGTTACTCCTCCAAGACCCAACCCTAACTCGGTGAAATCTCTCCTCCAAGATCCGTTTGAGAGGAGAACTTTGTCAGAGAAAGTTCGGGTGAAAGAGCTGGGCCCAGATCAACCTGACCTCTCAATCAGACAGCAGGCTAGCGAGAAAGGGAAGCAGTATATGCGCGGCTTCTCCCGTAGCTGGTACACCAGGAAGGCTTGGCTAGCTGGGTGCACTGATGCTAATGCTTTATTTTGCTTTCCGTGCTTGCTTTTTAAAACGACGGGCCGGACGGGGTCAGATTCAGCATGGACAGGTACCGGAGTGAGGGATATGAAGCACCTGTCAGAGAAGGTAAAGAAACATGAGAACACCAGGGCACACATGGACAACTCTGTAAAGCTAGCTGTATTAGGAAGGGTGAACATTGCTACGCAGCTGGATGACGGCCACAGGATTGCGGTGAGGAAACACAATGAGGAGGTGGATAAAAACAGGCACATTCTATCCAAAATTATCGATTGTGTGAAGTTCTGTGGGGCTTTTGAGTTGGCCTTGCGTGGGCACGAGGAGACTGACTCCTCGGACAACCCCGGCATTTTCCGGGGCTTAGTGGATTTTGTTGCCTCCCTCGACAGTGTGCTGGAGGAGCACCTGAAGACAGCTACCGTTTTTAAGGGCACGTCAAAGACGATACAGAACGAGCTGTTGGAATGTATGCTGTCAGTGCTTAAGGATTACATCCTGGAGGAAGTAAAGAGTGCTGATTTTATCGCCATTCAAGCTGACGAGACGACTGACGTTTCCACCCACTAACGTGTTTCCAGACCATCAGAGACTCTGGGAACTTTGATGCCCCGACTGTCAGAGAGGCGGGGGGCTTTGTGAGGATGCTCGAAGACGAGGCTTTCTGTTTTTTCCTGGCACTGTTCCACAAGATCATGCCAAATGTGGACATGCTTTTCAGCCAGCTGCAGAAGAGGAACATCGACCCTGTCTTCATTAAAGCACTTGTCCAGAGGTTCACAGACAGCATGCTAACAATCAGGTAAATAACTATATTTACTATTGGCTGATAAAGATGTTGTTAGAAAGATGAATAGTTCACTTACAACAGTTTAAAAGCCTAAATGTGTCTGGTCATCAAAGTGAGTGATTATCATAGAGCCGTCACAATTATATTTGTTTTAGTATTTTAAAAGGAAAGAGAAGACACAATCAGACGTTGATAATAATGCAGGAAAGTACTACACAGTTTGTAATAATTATTCAGGTGTCCACCAGGTCAATTTCTAGAAGAGGCCTAGTTGTTATTGAAGATTAACTTTATTGCTAAGTGCACAGCAGAACAAAATGATGTTGCATCCCTCTCACAAATGTAATAGAAAAAGGCTTTAAAACGTAATAACATCAGTTAATTATGTACATCACAGGTTAAAAGCAGTTACTAGACATAGTTTGTGTGTATATACACACTATCTGTCTGTCTGTCTGTCTGTCTGTCTGTCTGTCTGTCTATATATATATATAAAATTCCTGTACAAATAAGATGACAGACACACACACACAGAGCAGCTCTGGCCGCATGTTTCTTTGTATATAGTTGACCTTAGCATAAAAAATCCAGTTATATATGGTACTCTAGAAAGTCTTAATAGTGTCTTTGCTAATATTACTGTATATATGTTGTTTTGTATCAATTTATTGTTGCAGTTCTGGAGCACATTAACAATTAGTCACATTTAGTATGATCATAAAATACTGTATGCTATTCTTCCAGTCAAAGGTTTGAGTTCATCCACTTGATATCCATTTCTATATTATACATCCTTTTATACAGTGTAAGATTTCCTATAAACTTTATAATAATTTCATGTTATTGTCCACTTTCCACTCTGTTCTGACAGCATGCCTGTTGCGTTGCCTGTTTACTACCAATGGTGAAAAGTTCACTTTAAATGCAAATGAAAGGCTTGGGTTTGTGTAATATGTTTTTGTGTAAGAATGCCTCAACTTTTTAATATTGGCATTAAATAATTACTGAATTTTTCACTGAGCACTGCTTTCCTGCAGTTTGTGTTAAAATATATCGCGATGGTTACAGGAAAAAAAAAGTATGGCACAGCCCCACCGAGAATATTTTTCACCAGCCGCCACTGGCAGTCATGCGATAAATACTATTGCAGTACATTTTTAAAAGTCCATTGTACATATCGCTTTGTTCTCATATCATGAGATTGTCTCATGCTTAGTGACCTGGTGACCCTGGGTGTGAAGCGCCTCCACCAGTATCCTCATGTTGAGCCAGTGGCTGCCGTCCACAGGGTAGACCAGGACCCTCCCAGCCTCACTGGAGGGCTGCAGGGAGGACAGGAGCAGTAGGACAGGCACTAAGGCCACACAGGACCCTGTCACTGTGGAGAGAGACAGTGGGATAAATACATTGACATACACTGAGATACACTTTAAATAAACTAAAATACTGTACATTGTAAAGACACTGAAATACACTTAAACTGGGACGCAACAGTAATGATAGGCCCGCTGTCACTAAAATGAGTACAGAACTGGTAAATTGGCATCCATAAACTAAGAACTTACTTCACACACCATAGTTCTTTGTCACGTCAGTACACATTTTGCTTACAAGGGTCAGTAAGTCCTTAGATCAGGGCCTGCCCTGGCATAAGTGACATAAGCTGTTTTTTTTTGTTTTTGTTTTTATGTACAGTGAGGGAAAAAAGTATTTGATCCCCTGCTGATTTTGTACGTTTGCCCACTGACAAAGAAATGATCATCTATAATTTTAATGTTAGGTTTATTTGAACAGTGAGAGACAGAATAACAACAAAAAAATCCAGAAAAACGCATGTCAAAAATGTTATAAATTGATTAGCATTTTAATGAGGGAAATAAGTATTTGACCCCCTCTCAATCAGAAAGATTTCTCGCTCCCAGGTGTCTTTTATACAGGTAACGAGCTGAGATTAGGCGCACACTCTTAAAGAGAGTGCTCCTAATCTCAGTATAAAAGACACCTGTACACAGAAGCAATCAATCAATCAGATTCCAAACTCTCCACCATGGCCAAGACCAAAGAGCTCTCCAAGGATGTCAGGGACAAGATTGTAGACCTACACAAGGCTGGAATGGGCTACAAGATCATCGCCAAGCAGCTTGGTGAGAAGGTGACAACAGTTGGTGCGATTATTCGCAAATGGAAGAAACACAAAAGAACTGTCAATCTCCCTCGGCCTGGGGCTCCATGCAAGATCTCACCTCGTGGAGTTGCAATGATCATGAGAACGGTGAGGAATCAGCCCAGAACTACACGGGAGGATCTTGTCAATGATCTCAAGGCAGCTGGGACCATAGTCCTACAAACCTGACTCAGTTACACCAGCTGTGTCAGGAGGAATGGGCCAAAATTCACCCAACCTATTGTAGGAAGCTTGTGGAAGGCTACCCGAAACGTTTGACCCAAGTTAAACAATTTAAAGGCAACGCTACCAAATGCTAATTGAGTGTATGTAAACTTCTGACCCACTGGGAATGTGATGAAAGAAATAAAAGCTGAAAAAATCATGCTCTCTACTATTATTCTGACATTTCACATTATTAAAATAAAGTGGTGATCCTAACTGACCTAAAACAGGGAATTTTTACTAGGATGAAATGTATTTGGCTAAGGTGTATGTAAACTTCCGACTTCAACTGTATATACACCTTGTAGTAATCATGGCCGAATTACTGACCAGGCACGCAGGGCATGTGCCCAGGGGCCCTGACCTTCAGGGGGGCCCCATTGACTTTGTTAGTCACTCTCACTCAGATATCTATGAACAAGGCAAAATGTATAGAATTGCCAGTAAATTTGTTTAAAAAACTGCACAATTCTCTCCACCCCATGGCAAAATGTGTAGAATTACAGAAAATGTGCTTTAGAACCACAACATTTTCTCTACACCTCATGGCAAAATGTGTAGAATTGCATGAAATTAACTTGCTTTTCTTTTCTCCCCCTCAAGAGATGAACCACTAAAACATTTGACCCATGAGGTGGGGGGCCCCCCAACCAAATCTCGCTAGGGCCTCCAAAATGCAAGGACCGGCCCTGCCACAGATCAAAGATGAAACAGTTGTTCTGCCAAGAAGAGGTTTGTAGTCCTCAGTAAGAATTGTGTAAAGTACACCCCACCCTATTCCTTACCAGTCATTCATCAGCAGATAGGAACACAACCTCTTTAAGCTGCAGGATGTGGCCTTATCCCAAACGATATCTATTGACGCACAGTATTACTGTATAGGATACTATGTTTAAGTTTCAACACAAACCACCTGCTTTAGAGAGAGAGACCTGCAGGATCAGATACAAGCAACATTTTGGAAAGTTATCAAAAATATTGACATTTTAAACAAATGATTGGCTCCAATACATTTCAAAATGTCATGTACAAAGAACTTTGATCTTGCTAAAATATTACATGACCCAAACTACAAGGTCACAGGGACTCATCAGTCATTCAAGTAATATCAGTCATTCAAGAAATCCTTACCTCTAAAATCCGTATTTCTGCTTCATCTCGACCAAACAGCTATCCTATGTCTGAGCCTCACTCACAGTGAATGAGTAACTACACTGAAAAGTGAATATGTAATCTATGGATGCCCCTAAGTATACTATAACTGTACCATTGCACTTTGTTGAGGCTAGTCAAGTACGTCACTCATGAGGGTCCTCCTAGTCAGTAGATCCAACGGTCAGAGAGCACAGAGCAGCCCATCAGTTGTTATCTCCCTTTCCCTTCTCATCTGCCTTTCTTTCTTACTTTCTTACTCTCTTGTACTCTCTTGGATGGATGTTGTTTTGAAAAGGTTTCACACTAATCTTCAGACTTCAACATTTCCAAACCCAGGGCCTCTTTTCAGTTTCTCTGTTGATATATATTGTGGACCCCAGGAAGACTTGCGGTCGCCAAGGTGTCTGCTAATGGGGATCCAAACAAATAATAAAAAATACCTTTCCTTCGCTTTCAACCCTCGCCAAATGAAATCTAATAAAATCTAATGGCAACACTTGTGTGGTGACCCAAAGGATCATTACAGTGCTGTAACACATTGTGCAGCCAGCAAGTGTTTACATCATTACAACATAATACGCCCAACAGTCTTAATGAGATTAGGGAGGCAAATTCCTGAGTGAGTACTGAGTGTGACTGGGATTAAAATCAAACAGATTATTATTTTTGATTGCTTTGGTGCTCTGTTCGGTTACATAACTACATGTTTGATCAACAGAAGGATTATCTTGAAAAGCCAGAGGCTTTTACTCAGTAATGCTATGATGATACATTTGAGTTTTGCTGGCTGCCATCCATGGGTGTGTGGGAGATAGGGATGGTGGTAAATGTGATGTTGACAAACGAAGACAGACATGTTTAGTGAAGAAAAAGGCCCATTCATAATCCAAAAAGGTAACATAATGCAAAGGCAATACTTTACTAAACTATTTACAATAGGAGCTGCATATTTGCCTCTTGGTTATAAAGCTAGGCATGGCTAGATGTTTTGCTTTCCTGCCAAACTAAACCACCATACATTGCTTTCTGAATTTCACTGGATTATTTTGGGGCCTCACATCAAGAATATAGCTTGGGTATGCTACTGGCTGTAGAAATACCATGCTTTTGTCGAAAACGTTACACGTACAGATAATGGTAGCCTATGCATTTCAATGTGCATTCAGTAATATGCTGTATAATGCAGTATGACATACACTGAGTTTATAAAACATTAAGGACACCTGCTCTTTCTATGACATAGACTGACCAGGTGAATCCAGGTGAAAGCTATTATCCCATATTGATGTCACTTGTTAAATCCACCTTAATCAGAGTAGATAAAGGGGAGGAGACAGGTTAACCCCCTAGAGTCAATTGACGCTCCAGTGCGATAAAATCCCTATCAAAATCCATCAGTTTAAGCTAGAGATATCAGTTTTTTTGCATTTGCGTCTGAATCCACCGCATCCGCCAGTGTCACACTTCCGCATCTGCAGTGAAAGGTGGCAGAGCTAGAGCGATGTTTGTCAGACCATGAGACATCCCGAAAATCGGTCTTCTCACGTAAACGTCTGTAGCGTCCGAATGGTTTGACCTAGAAAATATTACCACTCTATGGAAAGGGGAGACTCTCACAAACACGATGGTGTTCTCCATTTTGCTCTATGTCCCCCACAAGTGTCACGGGACTCGTCTGAAGGTAACCGGTACCTGTTTAAAAAAACTAATGGAAGTATGAAGGTAGTTTGTGCCTACCCAAAAAAAGGGATTAAATATGTGTAAAAAAAAAATTTAGGACAGACACTTCAAAAGCTTGTTTCTTATGATTTATTTTTTTACTGTCCTTTTTGCCATATATGAATGTTATTCAATGCGTTTCTATGGTCTTTAGTAATAAAGGCCAAAATCTATATTTTATCAAATATTTTGTATATATTTTTTTTCCCTAAATTTCAAATCAAATAGCTAAAGGATCCATAGTATGACCATCTTAAAACAATTCCATATGTCAGCTTAGTACCGGTTTGACTGTGTCAAGAACTGCAACGCTGCTGCATTTTTCACGCTCAACAGTTTCCCTTGTGTATCAAGAATGGTACACCACCCAAAGGACATCCAGCAAACTTGACACAACTGTGGGAAGCATTGGAGTCAACATGGGATCGCTCTCGACTGTCACGATCGTCTTGACGTGAAGGAGTAGACCAAGGCGCAGCGTGTGAAACGAACATGACTTTAATTAGTAAAGCACAAGTACAAAACAAAACACGATCGTGAAGTCCACAGTAACACTGACTGAACACGGAACAAAAACCCACAAACACAAGGTGAAAACAGACAGTTTAAATATGGCTCCCAATCAGAGACAACGAGCCAACAGCTGACACTCGTTACCTCTGATTGGGAGTCACTCATCCAAACAAAGAAATACAACCACATAGAACAACCCAACAAAACAGAACACCACGAAACGAACACACCCTGGCTCAACATACAAAGTCCCGGAGCCAGAGCGTGACAGTACCCCCCCCTAAAGGCGCGGACTGCGACCGCGCCTCAAAACCCCAAACAGGGGAGGGCTGGGTGGGCATTTCTCCTCGGAGGCGGCTCCGGCTCCGGGCTTGACCCCCACCCTTCCACAATCCCCCCGTAGCGCCCCCGGTCCGGTCTGACCCCGCTGGCTGGATCTGGACCGGACATAGACGGAGGGCTGACGACGCGCACCACTGACTTGGTGGGAATGGCAGGAACAGGCCGGGCTGGGCTGACGACGCGCACCACTGACTTGGTGGGAATGGCAGGAACAGGCCGGACCGTACTGGGGACACACACCACTGGCCCCACGCCGGGATCAGGAACGGGCCGGACCGGACTGGTAACACACCCCAGTACCTCTCGCCGTGCCTCCACACTTTCCCTCTCCTCTGTGCCCAGTGGCCCCCCTAACCTGGCGGCCTTCTCTGCCAACGCTTTGCACCGCTCTAACCCGTACACCTGCTGGCCCGACGTCGTGAGCCCCCCCCTAAAAATTTCCTGGGGGTCTCTCCTCCCTCTTGCCAGACTCGCAATCATCTCCTCCCACGTCCATCCTCTCTCCTCGTCACGCTGCTTGATCCAGTCGAGGTTGCCACGGAGATCTGCCAGCGATGGCTCCTGAACATGCTGCTTGGTCGTTGTATGGTGGGTTTTTCTGTCACGATCGTCTTGACGTGAAGGAGTAGACCAAGGCGCAGCGTGTGAAACGAACATGACTTTAATTAGTAAAGCACAAGTACAAAACAAAACACGATCGTGAAGTCCACAGTAACACTGACTGAACACGGAACAAAAACCCACAAACACAAGGTGAAAACAGACAGTTTAAATATGGCTCCCAATCAGAGCCAACGAGCCAACAGCTGACACTCGTTACCTCTGATTGGGAGTCACTCATCCAAACAAAGAAATACAACCACATAGAACAACCCAACCAAACAGAACACCACGAAACGAACACACCCTGGCTCAACATACAAAGTCCCGGAGCCAGAGCGTGACATCGACACCCTGAAGAGTCCATGCCCTGATGAATTGAGGCTGTTCTGAGGGCAAAAAGGGGTGCAACTCAATTTTAGGAAGGTGTTCTTAATGTTTTGTACACTCAGTGTATATAATTACAGTTTTAATATAGTTTTTTGTCTGCTGCACAACACTGTCAGTATTGGTTGGATAGAAAGTATTGATTGTGTTTAGTAGGTTTAATGATAGCAGCACTGATAAAGATTAGCCTATTGACTACCAGTTTTGCAAGCACATAGTAGTCATTTAGAAAATCCAGACCTCAAACTTTGACAAAACTTTTTATGTAACACAGCCTTTCCCACTCCATGAATGTAGTATATTGAACACAATAACAAGAGTTCATGACATGGCCTTCATGTTCCTAGTTGTCTCATTCTCCTATAGTAATTGCTGTGTATTAACCGTCTTTGACACACCTGTGCATAATTTCAAATACTTTAGCTGGGCTTGATTGAGCTTGCCTGGTGCAATGGAACCAAAAGAAGAGTCACAGAAGTGTAAACCCCGCCCACCTGGCACTACAGGCAGGATGAAGGAAACGCTAATAGTATTTAAAAGATAATAAATATTATTTGAACCCAGGTCTGAACGATAAATGGAGCAACAGAGTTGAAAAGGTTAAAACCCCCTTGGTGACCTTTGCTCCTGTTATGAGCTCACTCCCCTGACTGTGTGTGTGTGTATGTGTTTGTCTATGTTTGTATGTTGTGAACTGTGAACCCAAGGCCTGGAAAACCTTAAAGGACAAGCCCAGAGCCACTATCATATGTCCATGTGTCGTAGAAAGAGGGAGGAGGGGGTGAAGGGGGAGAGAAGGCTTTGGCTGAGTGGTTTGGTTACATTGATAAGAGCATCTGAAAGCAGCTCTATAGCCATCCGCTAGTCTTCTTCAGACCGTGCACTCTGCTTTTAGACACGCTGAGAATATTGGCAGGGATGGAACTTCCCAATATGGAATACATGATGAGGCGCCGCTGTGACAGTGCAGGTGAGACCAATCATTGATAAACAAGCAATATCTCTTTTGAGAGAGAGGAGTAGGAAGCTCTATGATAGTATAGTTAAGTCCAACTTTACTCTGCTGGTTCAGTGCTTTCTATACACATGTTGTTACGAGCACATGTTGTTCAGGGGACTGAGTGCAGCAACACAGAAGTACATGCGAGTAAAAATAGACTTGGTGGATTGGTGTTGCACTCTGTGATGCAGACAGTACAACATACAGGAGGACAACAGACAGGACAACATGTTCTCTGGGTTTCAAGTTGAGCTGCCTGGATTGAAAAAGAATGGACACACAGACCAAATGAGAAAGGACTTGGGAAGGTCTGTCCCTCTGGTAACTCTGGTAACTCTGTTGTTTCCCTCTATTTCCTTATACAGTAGTAGGGTTGTTCCACCAATTCGGTGCCGTTTGAGAAGTGTAACTTGATTCCACCTGATTTTACAATTCTGCAATAAAGAGCACATGTTCAACTTAAAAAAAATATATACTATAGTGGTGCCTACCCACTGGGCACAGACTGGTTGAATCAACATTGTTTCAACGCAATTTGTCAATGTATTGTGACGTGGAATCTACATGGAAAATACATTAGATTTGAAAATACATTGGATTTGTTGTTTTGACTGTGAAATTTAAACCACGGGTTACTGTTATCACTGTAACCAATTTTCAACATAGACAAACCTATCAAATCTGTTGAATTTTTACCTTTGAAACAACGTCAAATCTTCAATGTTATATCCACTATCAGAAAGAAAAAGCCCTGCTTAGCTTTTATATTTGTCACTGACTACTACCAATGTGCTATTGTGTGAATCATTATTGAGAGATCTCTTAATAACTAAATATATTCACTGTTACTATCGAAGTCATTCCAAAGGGTAGGTTTAACAGAGCAAATGAAATGCAGCCATACTTTTTAAGTCATATATCATCAATGATACTATTTAAGCCTATATAGCATTTGCAAAGTCATCAACAGGTATTGTTTCAATTCAACCCAGGGTTCAACTAAGAATTGGCAATACATAAAGGCCTAGGTTTTCAAGCTTTGGTTGATTTCAAATGTAATCTTCAAGTTAATCATTAATATGTTGGATTCACTGTCAAGGCGTGCTGAAGGTGGGTGTGGTGAATGAATCAAGTGCAGGACGCAGAAGCTCAGTCCAAAAGACTTTAGTGCAATAATCACGTAGAACATAAGCACAATAAGCCCGAAGGCGAAATCACGGCGCACACAGGCGTCAAACAAACGGCGCACTAACATGTGCGAAAACCCTCTCCAAAACACTGGAGGGAAGTACGTAGCTCCAACACGAAAACAGAAGAGCAATCACACACAAAGACAAACACAACCAACGAGAACTAAATAGGACACTAACGAGGACTAACAAGACACAGGTGTACAACATAAAGACAAAACCAAACGAACATGAAACATCGATCGGTGGCAGCTAGTACTCCGGGGACGACGACCGGCGAAGCCTGCCCGAACCAGGAGGAGGAGCAGCCTCGGCCGAAACCGTGACAGTACCCCCCCCTTGACGCGCGGCTCCAGCCGTGCGCCGACCCCGGCCTCGGGGACGACCAGGAGGACGCGGAGCAGGGCGCGCGGGATGGTCCCGGTGGAACTCCGACAGGAGAGATGGGTCTAGTATGTCCCTCCGCGGCACCCAGCACCGCTCCTCCGGGCCGTACCCCTCCCACTCCACGAGATACTGGAGACCCCCCATCCGGCGTCTGGAGTCCAAGATGGACCGAATGGTGTACGCCGGAGCCCCCTCGATGTCCAGTGGGGGCGGAGGAGTCTCTCCTATCTCATTGTCCTGGAGTGGACCAGCTACCACCGGCCTGAGAAGAGACACATGGAACGAGGGGTTAATATTCTTATACTCAACAGGTAGATGTAACCTATAACACACCTCGTTCAATCTTCTCAGGACTTTAAAGGGCCCCACAAACCGCCGACCCAGCTTCCGGCAGGGCAGGCGGAGGGGTAGGTTTCTGGTAGAGAGCCGGACTCGATCTCCGGGTGCGTACACCGACCCCTCACTGCGGTGGAGATCGGCGCTCGCCTTGTGACGAAGGACGCGGGCAGCGTTCCACGTCTCTTCCGAGCGCCTCATCCAATCATCCACCGCAGGGGCCTCGATCTGGCTCTGCTGCCACGGTGCCAGAACCGGCTGGTAACCTAACACACATTGGAAGGGGGTTAGGTTGGTAGAGGAGTGGCGGAGAGAGTTCTGGGCCATCTCGGCCCAGGGAATGTACCGTGCCCACTCCTCAGGCCGGTCCTGGCAATACGACCTCAGAAACCTACCCACATCCTGGTTGACACGTTCTACCTGCCCGTTACTCTCCGGGTGGTACCCTGAGGTAAGGCTAACCGAGACCCCCAAACGCTCCATGAAGGCTCTCCAAACACGGGAGGTAAACTGGGGGCCTCGATCAGACACTATATCCTCGGGTACCCCGTAATGCCGGAAGACGTGGGTAAATAGGGCCTCAGCGGTCTGTAGGGCAGTAGGAAGACCCGACATAGGGAGAAGACGACAGGCCTTTGAGAACCGGTCCACAACAACCAGGATGGTGGTATTCCCCTGAGAGAGGGGAAGGTCTGTCACAAAATCCACCGAGAGGTGGGACCATGGTTGTTGTGGAACGGGCAGGGGTTGTAACTTACCCCTGGGCAGATGTCGGGGCGCCTTACACTGGGCGCACACCGAGCAGGAGGAGACATAAACCCTCACATCCCTAGCCAAAGTAGGCCACCAGTATTTAGTGCTAAGGCAATGCACTGTCCGGCCAATACCCGGATGTCCAGAGGAGGGTGACGTGTGAGCCCAGTAAATGAGTCGATCCCGAATCTCGAGCGGAACGTACTTCCGACCCTCAGGACACTGTGGAGGGCTGGGGTCGGTACGCAACGCTCGCTCGATTTCGGCATCGACCTCCCACACCACCGGTGCCACAAGGCAAGACTCCGGTAGTATGGGAGTAGGCTCAACGGACCTCTCCTCCGTGTCATACCGCCGGGACAGTGCATCTGCCTTACCATTCTGGGACCCAGGGATGTACGTGATTTTAAATACGAACCTGGTGAGAAACATACTCCATCGAGCCTGGTGAGGGTTCAGTCTCCTCGCTGCCCGGATGTACTCCAGGTTCCGATGGTCAGTCAAAATGAGGAAAGGGTGTTGAGCCCCCTCAAGCCAATGCCTCCACACCTTAAGGGCTTGAACTACAGCTAACAGCTCCCTGTCCCCAACGTCATAGTTACGCTCCGCCGGGCTGAGCTTTTTTGAGTAAAAAGCACACGGGCGGAGTTTAGGTGGCGAGCCGGACCGTTGAGAGAGAACGGCCCCTATACCTGCCTCAGACGCGTCCACCTCAACCTGAAAGGGTAATGCGGGATCCGGATGCGCCAGCACCGGAGCCGACGTAAACAGGTCCTTCAGTCTCCCAAAGGCCCTGTCCGCATCAGTTGACCACTGCAGGCGCACCGGACCCCCTTTCAGAAGGGACGTGATGGGAGCTGCCACCTGTCCAAAACCCCGGATAAACCTCCGGTAGTAATTCGCAAAGCCCAAGAACTGCTGCACCTCTTTTACAGTGGTTGGGGTTTGCCAATTACGCACAGCGGACACACGATCCACCTCCATTCTCACCCCTGACGCGGACAACCGATAACCCAAAATGGAGACCGACTCCTGGAAAAACAGACATTTCTCTGCCTTGACATATAGGTCGTGCTCCAACAGCCTCCTCAATACACGACGCACCAGGGTTACATGCTCGGCTCGGGTAGACGAGTACACCAGAATATCATCAATGTACACGACCACCCCTTGTCCCTGCATATCCCGGAAAATGTCATCGACGAAGGATTAGAAGACTGATGGAGCATTCATCAACCCATATGGCATGACAAGATACTCGAAATGACCTACATTTACATTTTACATTTTAGTCATTTAGCAGACGCTCTTAACCAGAGCGACTTACAGGAGCAATTAGGGTTAAGTGCCTTGCTCAAGGGCACATTAACGTCATTTAGCAGACGCTCTTAGCCAGAGCGACTCACAAATTGGTGCGTTCACCCTATAGCCAGTGGGATAACCACTTTACAATTTGGGGGGGGGGGGGGGGGGGGGGGGTTAGAAGGAATACTTTATCCTATCCCAGGTATTCCTTAAAGAGGTGGGGTTTCAAATGTCTCCGGAAGGTGGTGAGTGACTCCGCTGTCCTGGCGTCGTGAGGAAGCTTGTTCCACCATTGGGGTGCCAGAGCAGCGAACAGTTTTGACTGGGCTGAGCGGGAGCTGTGCTTCCGCAGAGGAAGGGGAGCCAGCAGGCCAGAGGTGGATGAACGCAATGTCCTCGTTTGGGTGTAGGGACTGATCAGAGCCTGAAGGTACAGAGGTGCCGTTCCCCTCACTGCTCCATAGGCAAGCACCATGGTCTTGTAGCGGATGCGAGCTTCAACTGGAAGCCAGTGGAGTGTGCGGAGGAGGGGGGTGACGTGAGAGAACTTGGGAAGGTTGAACACCAGACGGGCTGCGGCATTCTGGATGAGTTGTAGGGGTTTAATGGCACAGGCAGGGAGCCCAGCCAACAGCGAGTTGCAGTAGTCCAGACGGGAGATGACAAGTGCCTGGACCAGGACCTGCGCCGCTTCCTGTGTAAGGCAGGGTCGCACTCTCCGAATGTTGTAGAGCATGAACCTGCAGGAGCGGGTCACCGCCTTGATGTTGGCGGAGAACGACAGGGTGTTGTCCAGGGTCACGCCTAGGCTCTTCGCACTCTGGGAGGAGGACACAGCGGAGTTGTCAACCGTGATGGCGAGATCATGGAACGGGCAGTCCTTCCCCGGGAGGAAGAGCAGCTCCGTCTTGCCAGGGTTCAGCTTGAGGTGGTGATCCGTCATCCATACTGATATGTCTGCCAGACATGCAGAGATGCGATTCGCCACCTGGTTATCAGAAGGGGGAAAGGAGAAGATTAGTTGTGTATCGTCAGCGTAGCAATGATAGGAGAGACCATGTGAGGATATGACAGAGCCAAGTGACTTGGTGTATAGGGAGAAAAGGAGAGGGCCCAGAACCGATCCCTGGGGGACACCAGTGGTGAGAGCACGTGGTGCGGAGACAGCTTCCCGCCACGCCACTTGGTAGGAGCGACCGGTCAGGTAGGACGCAATCCAGGAGTGAGCCGCGCCGGAGATGCCCATCTCGGAGAGGGTGGAGAGGAGGATCTGATGGTTCACAGTATCAAAGGCAGCAGACAGGTCTAGAAGGACAAGAGCAGAGGAGAGAGAGTTAGCTTTAGCAGTGCGGAGAGTCTCCGTGACACAGAGAAGAGCAGTCTCAGTTGAATGACCAGTCCTGAAACCTGATTGGTTTGGATCAAGAAGGTCATTCTGAGAGAGATAGCAAGAGAGTTGGCTAAAGACGGCACGCTCAATAGTTTTGGAAAGAAAAGAAAGAAGGGATACTGGTCTGTAGTTGTTGACATCAGTGGGGTCGAGTGTTGGTTTTTTGAGGAGGGGAGCAACTCTCGCTCTCTTGAAGACGGAAGGGACATGGCCAGCGGTCAAGGATGAGTTGATCAGCGAGGTGAGGTAGGGGAGAAGGTCACCGGAGATGGTCTGGAGAAGGGAGGAGGGGATGGGGTCAAGCGGGCAGGTTGTTGGGCGGCCTGCAGTCACAAGTCGCAGGATTTTATCTGGAGAGAGAGGGGAGAAAGAAGTCAAAGCATAGGGTAGGGCAGTGTGAGCAGGACCAGCAGTGTTATTAGACTTAACAAACGAGGATCGGATGTCGTCAACCTTCTTTTCAAAGTGGTTGACGAAGTCATCCACAGAGAGAGAGGAGGGGGGGGGGGGGGGGGGGAGGAGGATTCAGGAGGGAGGAAAATGTGGCAAAGAGCTTCCTAGGGTTAGAGGCAGATGCTTGGAATTTAGAGTGGTAGAAGGTGGCCTTAGCAGCAGAAACAGATGAAGAAAATGTAGAGAGGAGGGAGTGAAAAGATGCCAGGTCGGTAGGGAGTTTAGTTTTCTTCCATTTCCTCTCCGCTGCCCGGAGCTCTGTTCTGTGAGCTCGCAGTGAGTCATCAAGCCACGGAGCTGGGGGGGAGGACCGAGCCGGCCGGGAGGATAGGGGACACAGAGAGTCAAAGGATGCAGAAAGGGAGGAGAGGAGGGTTGAGGAGGCAGAATCAGGAGATTGGAGGGAGAAGGATTGAGCAGAGGGAAGAGATGATAGGATGGAAGAGGAGAGAGTAGTGGGAGAGAGAGAGCGAAGGTTGCGGCGGCGCATTACCATCTGTGTAGGGGCAGAGTGAGTAGTGTGGGAGGAGAGCGAGAGAGAAAAGGAAACAAAGTAGTGGTCGGAGACTTGGAGGGGAGTTGCAGTGAGATTAGTAGAGGAGCAGCATCTAGTGAAGATGAGGTCAAGCGTATTGCCTGCCTTGTGAGTAGGGGGGGACGGTGAGAGGGTGAGGTCAAAAGAGGAGAGGAGTGGAAAGAAGGAGGCAGAGAGAAATGAGTCAAACGTGGACATAGGGAGGTTGAAATCCCCCAAAACTTTGAGGGGTGAGCCATCCTCAGGAAAGGAACTTATCAAGGCGTCAAGCTCGTTGATGAACTCTCCAAGGGAACCTGGAGGGCGATAGATGACAAGGATATTAAGCTTAAATGGGTTAGTGACTGTGACAGCATGGAATTCAAATGAGGAGATAGACAGATGGGTTAGGGGAAAAATTGAGAATGTCCACTTGGGAGAGATGAGGATTCCTGTACCACCACCCCTCTGACCAGATGCTCTCGGGGTATGCGAGAACACATGGTCAGACGAGGAGAGAGCAGTAGGAGTAGCCGTGTTTTCAGTGGTGATCCATGTTTCCGTCAGCGCCAGGAAGTCGAGGGACTGGAGGTTGGCATAGGCTGGGATGAAGTCAGCTTTGTTGGCAGCAGAACGGCAGTTCCAGAGGCTGCCTGCGACCTGGAACTCCAGGTGAGGGGTGCGAGCAGGGACCACCAGGTTGGAGAGGCAGCAGCCGCGCGGTGTTGTGCGTTGTTTGTGTAGCCTGTGCAGAGACGAGAGAACAGGGATAGGCAGAGGCATAGTTGACAGGCTGTAGCAAATGGCTACAAAAATGCAGAGGAGATCGGAATGAAATGAGCTAAGCATCTGGGAGAGGAGAGAGGGGGGCCTCCCTCACCAAAAACTTCTACCTCAGAAACTAAAATTGTTTCACTGAACAGTTGTTCAATGTTTAAAGGAATAAACTCAAACCCACTTTATTCAGCTAGCCAACTATGACACCATAGCTGACTAGCATGCTAGCATCCAATAACACACAGTTTAACACACAGTTAAGCACCAATACTCACAACGTGGTACTAAACGCTGTCTTCCATTCGTCGCCCTCCCTAATGCGCACCAAGTTATACGCGCTCCTGAGATCCAGTTTTGTGAAACGCTCCATGCAATGACTCCGTCATGGTCGCAATCAGAGGGAGTGGATAACTGTATTTCACAGTAATCTGATTGAGACCACGGTAATCAATGCACGGGCGCAACCCTCCATCTTTCTTTTTCACAAAAAAGAAGCTCGAAGAGGCGGGAGAAGTGGAGGGCCGAATGTATCCCTGTCTCAAAGATTCGGCTATGTAGGTCTCCATAGCTTTTCTCTCCTCTTGAGACAAAGGATACACATGGCTCCGTGGGAGCGCTGCTCCTGCCTGGAGATCAATCGCACAATCCCCCTGTCTATGAGGAGGCAACTGCAACTGTGGAGATCTTCACAATTGCTATGATAATCTGCCAGAATCTTGAACAGCATTGATCACTTGCACCATGTATTTTTTATGTAGAATTGCAACATTTACCTGGAGCTAACTGCAAATAGCACTGCTGGGTGACTTGAAAATCCATAGTCAATTGATCAATAATATAATACTTTTAGTAAAAATATTAATCTTTAATTTACAATCTGTAGAAACTATGAGAATAGAAAGGTTCAGAACTTTTGTGAAACATTACAGGACAGTTGAAAAATATGGCAATTAGAAAATAAAACTGGATGGTTTTCAGAGATCGATAGGAGGGGTTGAGGGTAGCTGAAGGGTGGGACTAAAAACAAATAAAAAAAGATAACTAATGCAAAATATACTGTGTCATAAAATTTATATAGTATATAGGCCCTGTGTAGCTCAGTTGGTAGAGCATGGCGCTTGCAACGCCAGGGTTTTGGTTCGATTCCCACGGAGGGCCAGTATGAAAAATTTATGCACTCACTAACTGTAAGTCGCTCTGGATAAGAGCGTCTGCTAAATGACTAAAATGTAAATGTCAAAATGTTATGTAATCTCAACTGCAATCCAGGTCATTTGGTTCTGCTATTAAATGAAGCACAGTGATAACACAGTAAATTGTTACATAAATACAAAATATCTGACTTTGTATTCACATTTGAACTTTGTTGTGCTTTTAAATGGTTGAAAGCGCAGTGCTAACACATTTGGGAATTCATCAAACTTCTGGCTACATTTTGAGTGGGTGAATAAAAGTTGAAATCTCATTGATCAACGTCTCAACCAAATATTACCCAAATTTCCACATTGAAATGACTTTGTGTGCCCAGTGGGTATTAAGTGCCAAATAAAGTAACAGGGTTGACCGTAACAGGGTTGACAATTTCATCTTATATAAGCCATGAATCCCATTTTGAAAGGGGGAATGGAAGCTTGTTGTGTGCAACAGGGAGTGGCAATTGAATGCAATCTTCACACAAAAAAATGTAACTGTTAAAACATTTCCAGCCTGTGTATGTATGGGTAACAGGGTTGACGTGTTATGCTTGACCCGCTTAGTTTTCTACCATAAAACATCCTAAATTTGCCAAAAGGTGTAGAACCAGCTCACCTGCTTTTACACTATGATTTGACTATTAGATGTTCAATGTTTCTTTTGAAAAAAATATTTTAAAAGGAATAGTTTCAAACATATTAAAACGAGAGTTCAGTTCACGATTAACATGGTCCGGGTCCAGTATAGTATGCTAGTAGACTATCTGTGAATGAATGGTTAGCATGAACTCCAGTTTTCTGCTAGCAGCCATTATGTGAATGAATGAAGCTAGTCAGCAGCACTGGCCCAGTTGCCCAACCAGGATCCTTCAAGCTCACTGGAAACATGCTTGACATGTTGATGCTTCCTAGTATGGAACCTGATCAGATCATTGGGGCCTGTTCGGGGATGGGACGGTCTGTCTTCTAAAGGAGTCTTGCTCAACCAACTGCAAAATGTCATGAACCCTCTTGCCATCCTCATTCCTCGTGCCGTCATGTGGAATGGAACCTCAACCACCTTAAGTAGATTATGTTCCAAGTAAACGTTTCGTATGCTGTTTACAGTTCCTTAGAGAGAGAGGGAGAGAGAGAGAGAGAGATCAGTCCCACACCAAGCAGCTCAGCCTGCAGTCTGTCATAGGCAACACATGCGAGGAGGGAGAGCAACACAGCAGCAGAATATCATTCAGGACTGAATAGATGTGAAATTCATGCAAGTCAGAACCACTTCTAGCAATATCCAAAGGTTATGATGACAACTCAGTATGTGACACAGAGATGTGAGACGCAAGATGGGAACAGAGGGTTGTGACCCCATGTTGCCTCAGCAGGAAGCTGCCCCAGTGAGACGTTTCCGCTGTAGGTACCAGCTCTGAATCCAGAGCATGAGGCAGGCTGCCTCTGGTCCAGGGAGGGGGGGACGGGGTGACGCGGTGAGTGGTCTGGTCTGGCCGCAAACTGAGGAGTGATTGACACCTGCCTGTCACCTCTCATCTTTAGAGACCTGGGATGAACACATGTCTGTGCGCACAAACATATTTGCAAAATTAGAGCACATACACCAGATACGTATGTAAAGTCACATCCCAGCAGGCTGGTTGTAATGTCATTACCACCAGAAACCAGGTTGCTTTGACGTCATTGCAACCAGTTTTGCTCACTGGGATAGGGATATGCACATGCAACATTATACAGACATGCTTTTCCTCTTTTCAAATAGACTGGTGTGTTTCTACACTTTTCCCTGTGCCACAGTGTCTGTCCAATGTGTGAACATTTTGGTTACTCTCTATGGCTCTCTGATCTTGGGTTCTCTTCTTTTGGATAATGGGCTAGGATTGTTTCTGTCAGCCTCTGAAACTCGAGCACTGGCAAAATGTGGGAATTTATCTACAAGACTTAGTGAAGTCAGCTCTGGTAAATATTCAGTTCAAGAGTATTAAAACATCATGATGGATAATTATGCATTCTCTCTCAATCGCACCCCTCTGGCTCCCTCCTCCTCTCTCTTCTCTCCTCTCTGTCTCTCTCTCTCTGTCTCTCTCTCTCTGTCTCCACTCTCTCTCTCCTCTCTGTCTCTCTCTCTCTCTCCACTCGAAGATAAACTTTTCAATAGTGGTCCTTCAGAACAGTGTGTTGTGAAAGGCTTACTGAGACAGCACAGAGAGAGAGAGAGAGAGAGAGAGAGAGAGAGAGAGAGAGAGAGAGAGAGAGAGAGAGAGAGAGAGAGAGAGAGAGAGAGAGAGAGAGAGAGAGAGAGAGAGAGAGAGAGAGAGAGAGAGAGAGAGAGAGAGAGAGGTCCCAGTGTTTTCAGGAACACACTTGCACTTAGCTGTGGTTTACAGCTGCTGACCAACCATAGCTCATTGCTCAGCTGCTACAGTACTGTCTATCCCTGTCACTCTATTTGGAGCAGGGAGGCCAGGCTAAATTCCTGCTAGGCCAAACTCTCAGCCGGCAGGAATAGCATGTTCCTCTCTCTCCTGTGCTCTACTAACAAAAACATATCTAGACACTGTGGTCATTACCGTAGCTGAAAGGCATAAACACTGTCTGTCTGTAGGCTACTGCTGAATATCACATTTGATACATAACCTTTTTAACATGCCAACTGACAATAGGCATACAGTACTATTTTCCCAGAATGTGGCCGATAAGGTAACTCAGTAACAGTTGGTCTGAGGTCTGACACTAAAGATACAAGAATGTTCAGCTGTGTTATGGGCATGGCATTACCTGTTGGGGATTACTGGCACAGGCCAAGATGCTGTCAGACTAACTGACAAACTAACTGTCTGTCTGTCTCTGTTAGAAATGGACCACTAAGTTCTATTGAAAAGTATCCTGTTTTTATGCCCATTTCAGCCTTGCTAAGTTGTAAGTCACAATTGTTACAGCAAACCCCACAGTGGAAATGTCTAAAGCATGTTGCCAATGAATGTAAGACTTGCTACTAAACTCTCTGGTGTAAGATACTGTATATATCAGCAGCCAGAGGATATAGGACAGTGGGCAAAGCTGGTTGAAAATGTCAGTTTACAACTGGTTGTAATCTTGTTGTAATGAAGTCATTTCAAACAGTTTTCCCGCCTGCTGAGAGGATTTATGATCTATTAATCACATGATCTAATCCATGATGCCTCTTCCCTTTAAAACTCCACTGGATTAAATCAAATGAAATTGTATTTGTCGCATACACATATTTAGCAGATGTTATTGCGGGTGTAGCAAAATGCTTGTAAATGAGTAATTGAGTTGTAATGAGATCAGATCAGGGACTGTACATGTCTCATATAAGGCTGTCAGCTGTCTAACTCTTTAATCTGGTTAGTACGTTATTCAGGCAGGTCACCCATGATACTGGTAAGGCATTGTGGACAGGGATGGTGGATGGGCATAAGCATCTGTCTCTGGTTTCAAAAAATTGCATGTATGAATCCAGCGATAGAAAGTTGTTTTTGATATTTTTGTTTTAAGCCTATCCCAAACCTTAACCCTTACCTGAACCATTGGGAGTTAATGCCTAAACTTAATCTTAAACACTTCGAAATTTGAAGATTGGAACAACTTCGAAATTTGACATTTGAGAAACATGGATGAACGTCAAATCCTAACGTTGTTGCCTTATTACCTTAGTAACTTGTTGAACTACTGTCAACAAAGTCAGATATCATCTGAATGAGAATGATTGCACCAGAGATGAAAGACAGCAGCAAACATAGGAAGGAACAGTTTTTATTTTTTATTTTGCTGCTGCAGGCTACAGACAAGTGAGTGTCAGTAACCATAGAGCCAGTTTATCTTTGAACTCTGACTTTCAACTGCCACCTTGTGGTGTAATTGAGGAACACCACATTGTTTCTAAATGCAAATACACAGTGCACTACTTTTGACCAGGGCCCATAGGGCTCTCAAGTAGGGAATATGTTGCCATTTGGGATGGACACTAGCTCTGTGGATTAGCCATGCTGTTTCACTGCTACTCAGCAGTTAGTGAGGAACATGGCCAGAGGGGAACTACTTTAGAGGAAACTCAAATCTCCAGCCAGTAGGGAGGAGGAATCACACAGTTACACAAGTCTGTGTTGTGGTGGTGACATGGCACTAAAGATAGCAAAAGAAATGAACAAAACCATTCCTTCCTGTGTTTGCTGCTGCAGGCTACAGACAAGTGAGTGTCAGTAACCATAGAGCCAGTTGATCATTCCTCTACATTAACGTTTTAAAGGGGAGCTGTGAACTCTGATTTCCGACTGCCACTTTGTGGCATAATTGAGTAACACCACACTGTCTCTAAATGCAAATCAAGTGACATATATACAGTATGTATATCAAGTGAAATAGATCAACTATAGCTTCACAACATAAATTATAATGTTTTGATCAGTTCATCATACAGTAACAGTTAACTTTGGTTAAACTGTTCATTTTTGATGAGCTTGTTCTCAAAAGGGCTGATATATTTCATGCTTTAGTGACATGTCACCACCACAACACAGATTTGTGTAACTGCGTGATTCCTCCTCCCTACTGGCTGGAGATTTGAGTTTCCTCTAAAGTAGTTCCCCTCTGGCCATGTTCCTCACTAACTGCTGAGCAGCAGTGAAACAGCATGTCTAATCTACAGAGCTATTTCAAGTACCAAATGGCACCATATTCACTACATAGTGCACTACTTCAGAGCACTATATAGGGAATCGGGTGCCATTTGGGGTTAAGAACTAGAGGTCCTCCCCTTCCCACTAATTCTCCTTGGCAACAGTCAGGTGACCACAGCAGAATTAATTGAGGCAAGCTGCTGTGTTGCTCCTCTTGTCTCCCTCGCTCACACTCTCACTCGCTCTGCTGCACAGGGCCGGGAGAACTGTGCTGTGTTGCATGACTCTGTCTATCTGTCTGCCTGGGTTTTGCCGAGTGCCGACATGACCACAGACCAGGAGAAGAATGAGCTCACACAGACTCCGCTGCTCAAGATCTGGGTGCCATGGTTGGGGATGGGGGGCTACAAGCTAAATCGCAGGAGAGGCTGTAAGTGAGAAGAACCACTCAGCCTGGCCTTATGTCTAGCTCTCGCTTTTTCTCATTCTCTGTTTCTCTGTTTCTGTCTCTCTCTCTCTCTGTGTATGTGTCTCTGTCTGTCTCTCTCTTTCCCTTTCTCTCTCTTTCCCTCTCTCTCTTCTTCTGTCTGTTTTATCTTGTCTTTCCTCTCCAGTTCAGAGGCACACTTCAACACTCAGACATTAATTTACAAATGAAGCATTTGTGTTTAGGTAGTCCACCAGATCAGAGGCAGTAGGGATGACCAGGAATGTTCTCTTGGTAAGTGCGTGAACTGGACACTTTTCCGGTCAAAATGTAAGAGTACTTTTGGGTGTCATGGAAAATGTATGGAGTAAAAAGTACATTCTTTTCTTTACTTATTTAGTGAAGTAAAAGTAAAAGTAGTAAAAAATATAATAGTAAAGTACAGATACCCCAAAAAACTACATGTGTTTAAAGTATTTTTACTGAAGTACTTTACACCACTGGATACTGTATGCCGACGCTGCAGTCAGTCACCATTCATAGCGACGCTGCAGTCAGTCACCATTCATACAAAGCACACAGGGAGGACCTGGATCCTGGTTCTCCTGCAGTATATCATCCCTCTTAGGGGCCAATTGTGACCCAAGTGAAGCTTATGTAAATATAACATAATTTTTCTCATTATGCTTATTCTGACCTTGAATTTAAGCACGAGAATAGCATGCTATTCACCCGCTATTCGTTCGGGGTGGAGATCTAAGAAATGAAGGTGTGGTGGAGGTGTGTCTACAGATACGCCGTATTCTGACCTTGACTTAATTCCCTGAGAATTCCACCACCTTTCTGTGAGAGGAAACCATGAATATTGTTGTTTTTTTTCAGATAGAAATAACACCATTCTCCATGCAATGTCATGTAATTTACAACTTGATAAGAGCTATTGATAAGGTAAATGAGTAATCCGTTTGGAAGGGAATAGTAAATATAAATGGCATATTGTTTTAGATCTATTTGACCTTATAATCGCTAGAGACAAATGGGAATCAGTCATATGGCAGCAAACTGAAGCATATCAACATTCCCACATTAAAGTTTATGAAACGCTGTGCCGTTATGCAGCATTTAAATTGTACAGCCTTTTAACTTGCAGGGATGGGCACTCTCAAATGTATTTATTATAGGCTATCCAGACTTTCTATGTTGTCTATTTATATCATGTTAAATATTAGCCACTATCAGTATCGACCGTCAGTAGGCCTAATAACCACACATATTCAACTAGCAATTTACTGTTAGTTCCATTCAGTTGGTATAGCCTACATTATCATTCCATTTAATTACATTGTTTCGTTTACCTTAATTTGCTTCCTCTGTAAACACCATCACGGCCGTGTGGTTGTTGCTGAGGATCATTAGTAACAGTTAGTAATATAAAAAAAGACAGAACTGAATAAGGTAAGTCTGAATACCAAAGTGATTAGGAAAGGCATAAGTAGGAAAGGCATAAATTCCTATATCTGAATCAACCCCTTATTGCCTACTGTACTAAAAGTCTCCGCTGGAGTAAGTGGAGCTGCTTACATTTCTGATATGAGAAAGGATATCTGGAGTTTGTGGATATATGCAGTTTGAACATGACTTTATTGAGAGGTCTAATTTATCCTGCAGAATGCTTCTGTTCCAGTTTTTGTGTTTCTATGATGAAATCTCATGCTGAACAAGATGCTGGTACTGTACTGTCCTCAGGGTGGTGTTGTCACCCATGTCACTGGCTGCATGGGATACTCTGTGGTGCTCAGGGTATTGTGAGGTAGGCCTACACTCTCAAAGGAGTTGACTAATTACTTGGGCCATGATTATTATGCAGAACACATTTGTATACCTCTGGTAAGACATAACATGGTAGCAATGATGACTCAACCAATCCCATTGGGAGATCTGATAGGTGTGCCCTGGTTAGCTGATATTTCAGCTATGTGTCCCCTGGTGCCCTCTCTCTTGATGAGATGGTGAGCATTACGTTTGCACACATACACACTTGAATGTAGTCTTTACTCTCACCATTGATTTGTGCCATTGTTAAAGTGTTCATAGATAACCCTTCTATTTACCCACCAGGCATGTACAATAGATTCCTATGGTGTTTGTCTTGTTTTTCCCCAGCCTCCGTGCCCCAGTTTACCAACTCCCCCACTCTGATTGTGATGGTTGGACTGCCTGCCAGGGGGAAGACATACATATCCAAGAAGCTCACCCGCTACCTCAACTGGATAGGGGTTCCCACAAAAGGTGAATTTACACACACTAGCCAAGTTCAATGATCTGAGGTGTGCTTGAGTACCCATGTACATCACTGAGGACTGGAGTTGATGGTCTTTCCCTCTCTGTCTATCATCTATCGTCTAGTCTTCAACTTGGGCCAGTATCGCAGGGAAGCAGTCCAGAGCTACAAGAGCTTTGAGTTCTTCAGAGCGGACAATGAGGAGGCCATGCAGATTCGCAAGTAAGAGATGCTGCGGGTTTGAGGGGTTGCTCTATCTATGTTATGAAGCTATGGCCGGGGCTGCGTCTGAAATGACACCCTATTCCCTTTAATGCTCTACTTTTCCACTACCTTTTGGGCATGGTCAAAGTAGCAGTGCACTACAATATATAGGGAAAAGGGTGCACAGCAAATATGCAAGTGTTAAAATCTCAGTGTTGAGGTAGAAAGTGTTGTGAGTGTTACATTTGACATTTTAGCAGACACTCTTATCCAGAGCGACTTACAGTTAGTGAGTGCATACATTTTTCATACTGGCCCCCCGTGGGAAACGAACCCACAACCCTGGCGTTGCAAGCGCCATACTCTACCAACTGAGCTACAGTGTTATATCTGAGAGTTTATTCTAATGGGGTTAACGCCAGGGGGATTGAAATTGACACCACATGTGGTGAATAAATGAAGTGTTATTTGAATCACAGTGGAATCAACAGTGTGTGGTGCTGTTGTTACTCGACTGTGTTGAGTTCATTTCCGTTAACTCTCTCAGTGAAAAAGATGTGGGAGGGGCCTCATTATCATATTTCCAAGCATGCTTTGTTGCAGGTTGATTCTTATAATAATTTGTTTTAATATCTGTGTTTCCTCATGCACATTGATTATTTGGCGTTGGACTTATTGCACCCGTTACTGACATGGGTTGGGTTGGGTAGTCTTATTTGTCAAGTGGTCCTCTGTAGCTCAGCTGGTAGAGCACGGCGCTTGTAACGCCAAGGTAGTGGGTTCGATCCCCGGGACCACCCATACACAAAAATGTATGCACGCACGACTGTAAGTCGCTTTGGATAAAAGCGTCTGCTAAATGGCATATTATTTTTTATTTTTTTATAAGTCCTTCACCATAGCAGTCATTTTGAATGCAGATCGTGGGTGATAAAATATTCCAATTGATGGATATCCTTCCTCTGGCTGTATTTCGATAGGAATTACTAATCAGTTCACAAACCAGGGTATTGTGACTTGCAGGTCTGATGTGGCCCATGAGCCAAGATTTTCAGACCACAATGTTGAGGATAACTAGGCCATAACTAAAGGCCTTATGAAATGTATAATATATGGTCATAAAGGGTTTACTTTTAATTCAAACACATTCACTTAGGCAGTCACTTGGTGAAGGCTTCAGGACTAAAAGTGACCATGTCTCTGTCACTAACAAACACAGTCTTGGGTGGGTCTTTCTCACATTCACTCGAAAGACTTGCTGTGAAATATGCAAATAAGGCTTTACACCCAACAGTGTTAAAACAACACCCCCCCAAAATACAAAAAAATGTTTTCCCCTAACACTGAGAAAGTTTAATAGCATCAACTCTAATAAAGTGTTAATTACATTTGTTAGGGAACCAACACTCTAGGGGTGTTAGTTTATGAACACTTTGGAAAGTGTTAGTTTTTTAACACTATTTAGGTGGGTCACGTATACACACTAAGAAAGTGTTACATTTAACACTGTGGTTGTTAAAATTCTGATCTCAAATTTGCGGTGTGACAATTCAGATACAGTCTATAACAGCGTTCTCCTACTCAGACATTGCATGCATCAACCAATGTTTGCGTGCCACGTCATCAGCTGTGTCATCGACTGACAGATTGCTATAATATATTATGTGGTTAGCTGATACATAAAATACCTGTCCAGGCATTGTAAGATCTGGCATGCATCGGCAACGCCTGGGCAGAGGAACGCGCCCTAGGACTGTGGTGGTGTGTTTGTAGTATTATGTAACAACTGACTTGCTATGTCCTTTTGTGTTGTGCGATTTATCTTTCTGTGGTTTGTTAATCCAATGATTTCGCCCTGTATTTTCTTTCTCAGGGCCTGTGCTTCAAATGCCCTTAAAGATGTAGTTTTCTACTTCTCTAAGGAACATGGACAAGTAGCTGTGAGTAAGAGGACAACTTAAAACTGTCCCTCTGAGCGGACTGTCGATAGACAAACACACCATACCTCTTATATATGACTGAGACATACAGTACTCAGGGCGACAGGGTATTGAACTTCACGCATACTGTACAGACACACTGAACATCAAGGTCCCCCTGGGTAAAAAGGGCTTATGACCTCTATGGGATTTACAGATTAAATAATGGTTAAATAAATATAAACTTTGCCCACAGTTCCTCCTAGCATCAGACGTCCACAAAGTTCTGCAATAGTGAGTGGAATGTCCTCTTCCCTCCAGGTGTTTGATGCCACCAACACAACACAGGAGAGGAGGGTATCCATTGTGAGCTTTGCCAAGGAAAAAGGCTACAAGGCAGGTTCAGGTGCAGGCCGACTGACAGTCCTGTAACTTCTACTATACTGTACATCATTAATAAACACTGCCACTGCACCAGCTAAATACATATTCAGATGGCGATATACATGAAACCTCAATTTTGAACTGTACAAAACCCCTTTGGAATAATGAACACTACTCACTTTGAACAACTGAATGTTCCTCACAGGTATTTTTTGTGGAGTCCATTTGTGATGATCCAGACATCATTGCACAGAATATCACGGTGAGAAAGTCTCCTGTCAAACTTCACTCTCAAATACCAGAGGGCTCTCTGTTCTTAAGATGCCAAACTCTACAAAATGTTAAACTACACTGTGACACTGACCTTTGTCCCAGGAAGTAAAGGTGAGCAGCCCAGACTATGTAAACTGTGACAAGGATGAGGCACTGGCAGACTTCCTGAAACGTATCGAGTGCTACAAGCAAACCTATGTGCCATTGGACGATGAGAAAGACAGGTAGAGTTCTGTCATTGATGCCTCTCCGATTATACCAACTAGCCTGGTCCCTGATCTGTTTGTGATGTCTTGCCAACTCCTGTATGGTCATTGCCACAAACAAATCTGGGACCAGGCTTTATGCCAACAGCTTTTCTCCATGAATTAGAGAAAGAGTAACTAAACTGAAAAAAAATACTTGCTTAACAAAAAATCCATCTCTCCTTCTGTGTCTCCCTATATTTCCCCTACATGTTATCGTGTCATGCACCTGTCTTAGAGAATAATTGTCTCCATATGTGGCTCTCTCTATATTTCCCCTACCAAGGCACCTGTCTTACATCAAAATCTTCAACGTGGGCTCTAGGTACCTGGTGAACTGTGTGCAGGACCATATCCAGAGCCGGATCGTCTACTACCTCATGAACATCCACGTCACGCCGCGCTCCATTTACCTGAGCCGCCACGGGGAGAGCAAAATGAACCTGCTGGGTCGCATTGGGGGAGACTCCGGACTCTCTCCCAGGGGTCACAAGGTCAGTAGGCTACAAAGGCTCTGTCTTTATGACATTCATCTCGGCACCCAGAACCTAATCAGCTAACATTCTAATGTTAAGGCTGTCACTAGAGACTAATATGACATCATTGTTTTAATCCAGATATACAGTGCATTCGGAAAGTATTCAGACATCTTCCCTTTTTCCACATTTTGCTACGTTACAGCCTTATTCTAAAATTGATTACATTGTTTTTTGCCCTCATCAATATACACACAATATCCCATAATGACAAAGCAAATTTAGAAAAAATAAAATAATGAAATATCAAAGTTGTGGAGAAGTACAGATCAGGGTTGTGTTATAAAAAAATATCAGAAACTTTGAACATCCCACGGAGCACCATTAAATCCATTATTAAAAAATGGAAAGAATATGGCACCACAACAAACCTCCCAAGAGAGGGCCGCCCACCAAAACTCACGGACCAGGCAAGGAGGGCATTAATCAGAGAGGCAACAAAGAGACCAAAGATAACCCTGAAGGAGCTGCAAAGCTCCACAGCGGAGATTGGAGTATGTGTCCATAGGGCCACTTTAAGCCGTACACTCCACAGAGCTGGGCTTTACAGAAGAGTGGCCAGAAAAAAGCAATTGCTTAAAGAAAAAAATAAGCAAACACGTTTGGTGTTTGCCAAAAGGCATGGGGGAGACTCCCCAAACAAATGGAAGAAGGTACTCTGGTCAGATGAGACTAAAATTGAGCTTTTTGGCCATCAAGGAAAACGCTATGTCTGGCGCAAACCCAACACCTCTCATCACCCCGAGAACACCATCCCCACAGTGAAGCATGGTGGTGGCAGCATCATGCTGTGGGGATGTTTTTCATCGGCAGGGACTGGGAAACTGGTCAGAATTGAAGGAATGATGGATGGCGCTAAATACAGGGAAATTCTTGAGGGAAACCTGTTTCAGTCTTCCAGAGATTTGAGACTGGGACGGAGGTTCACCTTCCAGCAGGACAATGACCCTAAGCATACTGCTAAAGAAACACTTGAGTGGTTTAAGGGGAAACATTTAAGTGTCTTGGAATGGCCTAGTCAAAGCCCAGACCTCAATCCAATTGAGAATCTGTGGTATGACTTAAAGATTGCTGTACACCAGCGGAACCCATCCAACTTGAAGGAGCTGGAGCAGTTTTGCCTTGAAGAATGGGCAAAAATCCCAGTTGCTAGATGTGCCAAGCTTATAGAGACATACCCCAAGAGACTTGCAGCTGTAATTGCTGCAAAAGGTGGCGCTACAAAGTATTGAGTTTGGGGGGTGAATAGTTATGCACGCTTGAGTTTTCAGTTTTTTTGTCTTATTTCTTGTTTGTTTCACAGAAAAAAATATATATACTGTATATTCGAAGTGGTAGGCATGTTGTGTAAATCAAATGATACAAACCCCCAAAAAATCAATTTTCTTTCCAGGTTGTAAGGCAACAAAATATGAAAAATGCCAAGGGGGTGAATACTTTCACAAGCCACTGTATAGACAGGTGTGTGCCTTTCCAAATCATGTCCAATCAATTGAAATTAGCAAGTTACAGAAACATCTCAAGGATGATCAATGGAAACAGGATGCACCTGAGCTCAATTTCGAGTCGCATAGCAAAGGGTCTGAATACTTATGTAAATAAGTTTTTATATATATATATATATACTGTATATACATTTGCAAAAAAAATTTAAAAACCTGTTTTCACTTTGTCATTATGGGGTATTGTGTGTAGATTGATTAACATTTGTTATTTAATCCATTTTAGAATAAGGCTGTAATGTATCAAAATGTGGAAAAAGTCAAATGCGCTGTAATTCTAATGTCCCACCCAATGACTTAATGTATTGGTCCCACCCTTGTGTAGACAAGAAAAAGCCATGAAGCTTGGTGCATGTGACATTTAAAGTATGTTTCAGGGAGTTGGGTTGAAAGAAAAATGATACCATTTAATTATCCGCAAAGAAAATGGACAATAAAGCAAGTTATTACGGAAACAATCACCCCCACTCCCTGTGAACATGGTCTGTCCCTGCAGTATGCCACTGCCCTGGGAAGCTTCATCAAGAGCCAACATATAAAGGATCTAAAGGTGTGGACCAGCCATATGAAGAGGACCATCCAGACTGCAGAGCATCTGGGGATCCCCTATGAACAGTGGAAGGCTCTCAACGAGATTGATGCAGTAAGTCAATGTTTACTGCTGAGTTTAAGCATTCACTTTATGTGAGTTTGTATCGCACGTGTATATACAGTTTACAGTGAATGTGTGACTAACTGGGGTTCAAACCCTGGTCACCTGCACACCACAAGACTGTATGTAGTAGCCTACTGAGCTACTACCTCGAAGATCTAACGCAAGTTTTCGGTTCTCAGGATAGGTTACTCATCATTGTGCATGCCTGTACCACTCATTGACATCTTCCCTGCACCGTCTGTTCCTCATCAGGGTGTGTGTGAGGAGTTGACGTATGAGGAGATCCAGGACAACCACCCAGAGGAGTTTGCACTGCGAGACCAGGACAAGTACCGGTACCGTTACCCCAAGGGTGAGGTAGGACCCGTCTTAATTCACCACAGATTGCTTACCAAATACGCACAAAATATACATGCACTGTACATTACTCTCAGACATACTGTAGCGACCTTAGTACTGTACATCACCTAGAGTACAACATCTAGCAATATTAGTATAACACCTAGCGATATTAGAACAGCACCGAGCGATCTTAATACAACATCTATCAATATTAGTACAACACCTAGCGATCTTAGCACAACACCTAGCGATCTTAAAACAACACCTAGCGATCTTAGCACAACACCTAGCGATTTTAACACAACACCTAGCGATCTTAGCACAACACCTAGCGATCTTAGCACAACACCTAGCGATATTAGTACAACACCTAGCTACCTTGTCAAGAGATTAGAATCTGCCGGTGTAACAGCTAAGGTGTTGGACTGACAGTTGCTGGAACCCGCTGGGTTCGAGTCCCGGTCGGGGCTACCATTCTAATTTGCAACAATATTGTAATTAAATTTTCAGGTGACACTCGTAAAGGTGGATCTGAGTGACTGGGGAAGATAATTCATAACATACCCATATTATGTGTCTCTGGGTTGATTCACAATGCTGAGCCAAGCCGAGCTGGAAAGGAAAGAAAGAAAATATAGTGCATGGTATGGTTCAGGTTGGTGCAATAGTGTGAAAAATGTAGATTTCTGTTTATTGTATGTAGATTTCTTTTTCCTCTCTCTACTAAAGTCGTATGAAGACCTGGTCCACCGTCTGGAGCCAGTGATCATGGAGCTAGAAAGACAGGAGAATGTGCTGGTCGTGTGTCACCAAGCTGTCATGCGTTGCCTGCTGGCCTACTTACTAGACAAAACTGCAGGTACAGTAGGACAACTGTTCAACAATACATGGGTTTATTTGGCATTGTCTTGTGATGATCTCAGCACCCAGAACCAAATCTTGCATGTGCGCTCGCTGCAAGACTGTCAGGAGAGACTAGGTCTAAGACATACAACCTTTTTTCCCCACAGATGAGTTGCCATACCTAAAATGTCCTCTTCATACAGTGCTCAAACTTACACCAGTGGCCTATGGTAAGTTGTTGTCAAATGGGACTTTTCACATGCTTTAATGCTTTAATTTTATACATCAATTTCACTCATGGCTCTTTCTCTCCTGGTACAGGATGTAAAGTGGAACATGTTTTCCTAAATGTTGAGGCAGTCAACACGCACAGAGAGAAACCTGTGGTGAGCTTTACAAAACATGTCAATTTATTACAAGCACAATATATTGTCTAACACTGTGACTCCATTTGTGTTGATGTTGTTGTTGTTGTTGTAGAATGTGGACGTAACCAGAGACCCAGAAGAAGCGCTGAAGACTATTCCTGACCACTTTTGAATATGATTTAGAGGATATGGACTCTAGGACCATAATGATGCTGCAATATGATATTTTCATGTTTTAACTTTATTTTCAATCAATTATGACTACCTTTTCAGATGAAACCTTGTCAAAAGCAGCAAGTGGCAAAGGGGATCAAATATGACAAACCCCACTGCCTACGGAAACACTGAGGGGAAAATTGACTGATTTCTGCCTCCTCCATGGCAACATAGGCTAAAGCCAAGTACTGAATAAGCATGTGTTGTTGACTGACCTATAATGTACAATAAATATGCCTCGGTCTGCTCTATCTGACCCTGGTGTCTCATACCAGCCATTTAGTGAAGCGCAGTCAGACAGGTGGTGTCAGAGGTGGTTTGGCACTAGTGTGAAAGTGGCCCAACATATTGAGGTCAGTCAAACGGCTGCAGGATAAATTATCATACTTAAGTGAAAGTAAAGTTCAAAAGGTCATCCATTCTAGTGAACTGTTATAAGTCCAATGCAGCTGTTTTTATTTTTTTATGTACCTTACTGTGATTGGTAAAAAAAAGAAGAAAAAAGTCAGAAAGTAACAAAAATAGCTTCTTAGCTAAGAGCAATTTCTCAAGAATTTTGATAGGACTGTCTGCGAGTGGTCTGACTGGGGAAGTGAAAACTGAAAACTAGTTGTTATTGGCAGAGAGGTTTGAAACTCTATTTGTTATTGATCTATTAACTAATTTACTACCTGGTGTTGTCACCAGGCAGGCCAAACTCCATCCCACCAAAACAGGCTGAAATTTCAGGCAGTCTTTTCAAACAGCTGTTACACTAAAAGGGCATTTTCATCTAGCAGACACTCTTTTCCAGAGTGACTTACAGGAGCAATTAGGTTTAAGCGTCTTGCTCAAGGGCACATCAACTGATTTTTCACCTAGTCGCCTCAGGGATTCAAACCAGTGACCTTTCGGTTACTGGTCCAACACTCTTAACCGCTAGGCTACCTGCCGCCTCATTTTCACAATTTCACAGTATTATTCCAACTTCATAGTGTGGAAATATATAAAACACAGGGAAATCACGTTTTTGACTGTACTTGGCCTTTAAATGAATAAACAAATATTCTGTTTGGAGACATTCTGTGATTATTGATGATACTCATGTGGTAGCTAGGAGTCAGCACCATGAACAGCTCCCAAACAAACACAATGTTGGTTGCGATTAAACTTTGCTGCAGGAGTCCCTTGTCTTGGCTAGATGTGCAACACTGTACTGATCACATATTTTTGAGTTGACAATAAATACATTTGTGACAAACGTATAAAATAGCACAATTGTTAAGACAAAGAGCTTATTAAACTGAATGACTGGAACTAGATTTGTCAAATAAATAGTTAAATTAAAAGAAATTGCACAACCAATTTTAAAGATCTGTTTTACAGGTCATTGATACTTTCATTTATAGGGTCACAATTTAGCTTTTATATTCTGACTATTCAAGAACGAGTGGGGTAGCCTATGTTGGAATATATGTCATTCAAATGGTAAAGAGTTGTTTTCTCATATGTCTCATTTGTATGTCAGGGTGGGATATCCTATACCGTATTGGGTCCCATTTTGGAATTGAGAAAGGGGCGACAGCAAAGAGTTTGGGATGTTTCTCTTTCAAATTGTCGAAATTCATGGTTATTCTCATGCTCACTAACCGATGAACACGCAAGGAGGGGTACCCTATTGAACTCACAGGTACTCCTGCAACTTTTGCGCGCACTGATATTCTTTTACATTTTCATCTCTCTGTCAGATATAAATTATACTTCTACGTTGTATTTTCTGTTATTATATACAAGGTTTCAAAACTATTAAAATAAAGTGGAGGGAGATGAACGAGTCGACTGCTCCATGCAAAAATAACTTGTAAAATGTGAGGTTTGTCCTACCTCGTCTTTCGTACATGCACTGGATCTCTCACTGACTGGCAAAGTGAGACCGCTGGCAACAGAAGATTTTTCATCTCGGGAGACCATGGGGAAAGTGGATTTAAAAATCCATTGTATTTTATTTTTCTTCGTCATCTCAGTGCAGGGCGGATTTTCAGAGGAATATGGAGCACACCTGGGAGAAAAATACATACTTTTACAGGTGAGAATGATTTTATCTTCCTATTGGGACGGGAGTAAAACTGGAAAGTCTTGGAAAAACAAAACAATCATGACAGCCTCACAAAATCATGTTTTTTTCCCTCAAATTAATGTATTCCTCATACAAGGCTACATTCCTTTTTGCACGCAATATGTATTTGTTGCTCTCAATCAAATGAGGGGTAAACTTTTAAGTGGTAGATGTTAAGCACTGCACGTTACTATAGGATGTATGGCAGATGTGAAAACAATTATGCATTGGAAACAAACACATGATATAGCCTACACTATACATTAAAGCCTACATTTACATTAATTACAAATAACGTGTCTATCACCTTAAAAAATCTATAAAAAATGGTCACTTCAGAATGAATTCCTGCACATTAAATTGTTTTCCTGTCTTTAAAGGTCAACTGCCCATTAGAACCAAATTCTCTGGTTTTAAACGGCCTATGTGGCATCGATGTGAGTCAGAAAAATGAATAGCCTAGAGTCAAAATTCACCAGAAAGTGTAAATAGGATACTTTTGATCATAAAGTCAGTCTCATCCAAAACTGAGTTTTGTGAGTTCTTCACGATTTACTGGAGGGTTGGGTATGGATTACGAGTTTTGAGGATATGGGGAAACTCAATTGAAATCGTATTTATGCCCAATATACGTTGCCCATGCGTCCACTGTAAAGGGGTTACCATGAATTTGACAGTAATTTACTGGCAGCTTGGTGGCAAGTAAAATTTATATACAGTATATGGTATCAAAGCATGTACTGTGTATTGACATACAGTACGATACCGTAAAATTGACTGTATTATACTGTTAAAAGTAAATGCTACCATAATTCGAATGAATGAATGAATGAAATTAATTGAGGGGAGGGTTTGTATTTCACAGTATGTTACTGTAATTACAAGGGATTGGGGCAAGCAGGTTGGCTGCTAAGTAAAGTGTTTACATATGAATGAATATTTGGTGTTTTATATCAAATGCACTTCTAGAGTCCTTAAAAGCTTCCAAACTGGCAGTGACTACAGGAAAAAACAGACCAAAAGGACAAGGCAAAATGCTCAACCATTTAAGGTTCAAGACTAGCTGCCTCTCCAATCTATCCCCTATACATTGAAAATGATGGGGCACTATAGCAAAATACTGTAGGAGTTAAATTGGTACAGCATTTCCATTTACGGTTGCAACAAATATAGCCTCTTACAAGGCACGCCTCAAAATATGTTAATGATCCAAAAAAACAATACCATGCACCTGTAACCGGTGTGAAATGGCTAGCTAGTTAGCGGTGCGCACTAGTAGCGTTTCAATCGGTGACGTCACTCGCTCTGAGACCTTGAAGTAGTTGTTTCCCTTGCTCTGCAAGGGCCGCGGCTTTTGTGGAGCGATGGGTAACGGTGCTTCGAGGGTGACTGTTGTCGATGTGTGCAGAGGGTCCCTGGTTCAAGCCCAGGTAGGGGCGAGGAGAGGGACGGAAGCAACACTGTTACATTGATGCTGTTGACCTGGATCACTGGTTGGTGCGGAAAAGGAGGAGCTCAAAAGGGGGGTGAGTGTAACCAGTGTGAAATGGCTAGCTAGTTAGCGGTGCACACTAGTAGCGTTTCAATTGGTGACGTCACTCGCTCTGAGACCTTGAAGTAGTTGTTTCCCTTGCTCTGCAAGGGCCGCGGCTTTTGTGGAGCGACGGGTAACGGTGCTTTGAGGGTGACTGTTGTCGATGTGTGCAGAGGGTCCCTGGTTCAAGCCCAGGTAGGGGCGAGGAGAGGGACGGAAGCAACACTGTTACACACCCACTAATGGTCAAAAGGTTTTTGGCGCTCCCAAGATAAAGTATGGTACTGCATTCTGTGGGGTGGAATTACAGTATCATTCGAAATACAGCAATTGTCCCACAATGCACCACCATTTACAGTATGCAGCAGTAAAACGTTTCAGAGTTTTTTACTGTTGCTAATATCTACAATTACCGTAAAAATTACAGTTTTCCATTACAGTGTCGTCAATGGGCCGCACAGTGCATTCTGGGCAATTCTGGCTCAAGGAGATCACTCCTTCAAGGAGTGAAGTTGAGTCAAAAGGGGGTGAAATGTAACCGAGGTCCACGCTTTTTTTTGAAGACTTGTGTTAGCTTCCTGAACTCATCCCTATGGGCTTTAGCTAAGTGGGCTAACACAGTCTTGTGACATGCAGGAGATCCAGTTCAAACCCAGTCAGTCACAAGAGCAAGATTAAATAGGGAGTGGAAAAGTTATCCTTGGAAGGGCTATGACAGGGCTATCAAACTATATTCTTATGGGGGCCAAATAAAATGTTTTGTCACACTCCCTGCTAATGTGTCCTGCACGTCATAGAGGAGAACAGAAGGCCTGACCATGTTAGAGAAATAGTCTTAGCTTTCAGGAATGGGATCATGATAGCTTATTGCCCAAACAGTTCAATCTCTAGAGCCACATTCGTGGAAGAAAATAAATGTAACATGCCACATTGGCTTCAGAAACCGCCAGAAACCTGTTTAACAAAGATAGTGTTTGATTCCAGTGGTTCTCTTCTACCATTCCTTGCTGACAAAGTACCAGGATGTTGTCTCTGGTTTTGAATCTGAATTTAAAGTACTGAATTTGAAAACTGAATCTGAATGCATCTGAGAAGTTGAATATATGAAACTTCGGTAAACTTGAAATGATAGTTTGTAAACTTGATACACAGTCAATGAATGCAATATATACCATATTGAAACTGAATATAAAAAATATGAATTAAATCCAGTTTTAAGTCATGATATACAAGTTCAATTTATTAATTCAATGATTCAATTTGTGCATTAGAAATTCAAAAATATTGGATTTAAATACTGTTTCTGTTGGCACTGAAATTGCTCCCTTTGTGAGATGTCATCTACACCTCGATTAGGATGATATAAATCCTTATTATTTAGTTTAATGATTTTTAAATTTTGTAACATGTAACATTAAATTAAAATATAGCCAACACTTTCTCACTCTGAACTTCTAACTCGAGTGGGGCGGGTGTGGCTTTGTGACAGTGATTACAAGAGCAGCCCAATGCAGTTCAACCACGACACCGCCAAAACATCCTCTATGAGGATGTCTGCTATTGTCGGTTAATGTTTGATCTGATTAAATCTTGGCCTTTGTTAGATAGCAAGTGATTTTGGGCACTAATAAACAGCGTGTAACTTGTGCTTTATTTACGATAGTTTGACAGCTTGCAGATTATGAAGTTGTACACATGTTATTGTTCTCAGATATCAGTCCTGAGAGTGCAGACAGACTTTCCCGACTCAACTGTATGCAGTGCACTGACTAGTTTTTCATGCTCATTTTGTTACTTGAGAAATACTGCACCAAACACCTTAGCTACAGTAGATGTAAAATTGCATGACTAAGACCTCCTCTGCAAAAACGTCTAAATTAATTACAGATATTTTTATTCTGACTATTTTGATGAAGTGGCTATGTTGTTGCTATGGTGACTCAGGTGGAACAAACAACAGTACCTGCCAGGGTGCGACATGTGAAGATAACACACATACATCAAATCACACCCCCAAGATAACTCTAATTTTGGCTTCAGTCATGGCCACTAGCATTTCTTAATGAGCAATCTTCAAAACGAGGCCAAATCAGGAAGTGCAGTCACCCTCTAAAGTTATTTGTTTGTGTTGTATCTCCAGGATATGTGATAATGGATTTACACAGCAGTGATCTGTGAGAAAAAGGAACATTTGAAACCGAACCTGTGCACTGTGCACCTCACTACCCCTCTGTGTACAGTGAAAGTATTTATTTCCAGTTTCCCCTTCATTCATGAATAGCTTTGATTCAGCCTATTTTGACACAGAAATCTTGACCCAAACCCACACAGAGATTCTGGAGATGAATTTAAAAGGAGGGGATTTTGTAAGCTAACTACAGTACTTGGTAGTATTTTGTCACTTTTCCAAGACAACTTGTCCTCTTAAGTACAACTTCTTATATTAGATAATGACATAAATGTACTACATTTTAAATCATCATCTTTCCCGAGTACAGTAGTACAAATGTGGGTACACAAAATTGGGTGGAAGGTTAAATGACATAATAATGGTGTGGCGGGTTGAAAGTCTTTGAATGAACAATATACCGTAAATCTACTTTAACTCAATACTTTTCAACCCGCTACAATGGCTTTAGGGCAACTGTGTGATCTTAAATCACTGCTATAAAGCTGTTATAAATCTATTAAAGGCCCAGTGCAGTCACCAACGTGATTTTCCTGTGTTTTATATATATTTCCACACTATGAAGTTGGAATAATGCTGTTCAATTGTAAAATGATGATAATGCCATCTTTGTGTAAGAGCTGTTTGAAAAGACTGCCTGAAATTTCAGCCTGTTTTGGTGGGATGGAGTTTGGTCTGCCTGGTGACAACACCAGGTGGTAAATTAGTTAATAGACCAATAAGAAAGAGAGTTCCAAACCTCTCTGCCAATAACAGCTAGTTTTCAGTTTTTCCCTCCCAGACAGTCCTAGCAAAATTCTTGCTTGAGAAATTGCTCTTTGCTAAGATGCTATTTTTGTTTATTTTTGACAATTTTAATTGAAAACAATCACAGTAAGGTACTTAAGGTACCTACAACTTCTCCCTCAACGTGAGCAAGACAAAGTATCATGGACTACAGGAGAAGGAGGGCGGAACATGCCCCCATTCACATCGACGGGGCTGTAGTGGAGCAGGTCGAGAGTTTCAAGTTCCTTAGTGTCCACATCACCAACAAACTATCATGGTCCAAACACACCAAGACAGTCGTGAAGAGGGCACGACAACGCCTTTTCCCCCTCAGGAGAATGAAAAGATTTGGCATGGGTCCCCAGATCCTCAAAAGGTTATACAGCTGCACCATCGAGAGCATCCTGACCGGTTGCACCACTGCCTGGTATAGCAACTGCTCGGCATCCGACCGTAAGGTGCTACAGAGGTAGTGCATACAGGCCAGTATATCACTGGGGCCAAGCTTCCTGCCATCCAGGACCTAAAGTTGAAGTCGGAAGTTTACATACACCTTAGCCAAATACTCTTAAACTCAGTTTTTCTCAATTCCTGACATTTAATCCTAGTAAAAGTTCCCTGTCTTAGGTCAGTTAGGATCACCACTTCATTTTAAGAATGTGAAATGTCAGAATAATAGTAGAGAGAATAATTTATTTCAGCTTCTTTTTCTTTCATCACATTCCCAGTGGGTCAGAAGTTTACATACACTCAATTAGTATTTAGTAGCATTGCCTTTAAATTGTTTAACTTGAGTCAAACGTTTCAGGAAGCCTTCCACAAGCTTCCCACAATAAGTTGGGTGAATTTTGGTCCATTCCTCCTGACAGAGCTGGTGTAACTGAGTCAGGTATGTAGGCCTCCTTGCTCGCACACACTTTTTCAGTTCTGCCCACAAATGTTCTATAGGATTGAGGTCAGGGCTTTGTGATGGCCACTCCAATACCTTGACTTTGTTTTCCTTAAGCCATTTTGCCACAACTTTGGAAGTATGCTTGGGGTCATTGTCCATTTGGAAGACCCATTTGCGACCAAGCTTTAACTTCCTGACTGATGTCTTGAGATGTTGCTTCAATATATCCACATAATTTTCCTTCCTCATGATTCCATTTTGTGAAGTGCACCAGTCCCTCCTGCAGCAAAGCACCCCCACAGCATGATGCTGCCACCCCCATGCTTCACGGTTGGGATGGTGTTCTTCGTCTTGCAAGCCCCCCTTTTTCCTCAAAACATAACGATGGTCATTATGGCCAAACAGTTCTATTTTTGTTTCATCAGACCAGAGGACATTTCTCCAAAAAGTACAATCTTTGTCCCCATGTGCAGTTGCAAACCGTAGTCTGGCTTTTTTATGGCGGTTTTGGAGCAGTGGCTTCATCCTTGCTGAGCGGCCTTTCAGGTTATGTCGATATAGGACTTGTTTTACTGTGGATATAGATACTTTTGTACCTGTTTCCTCCAGCACCTTCATAAGGTCCTTTGCTGTTGTTCTGGGATTGATTTGCAATGTTCGCACCAAAGTATGTTCATCTCTAGGAGACAGAACGCGTCTCCTTCCTGAGCGGTATGACGGCTGCGTGGTCCTATGGTGTTTATACTTGTGTACTATTGTTTGTACAGATGAACGTGGTACCTTCAGGCGTTTGGAAATTGCTCCCAAGGATGAACCAGACTTGTGGAGGTCTACAATTATTTTTCTGAGGTCTTGGCTGATTTCTTTTGATTGTCCCATGATGTCAAGCAAAGAGGCATTGAGTTTGAAGGTAGGCCTTGAAATACATCCACAGGTACACCTCCAATTGACTCAAATGATGTAAATTAGCCTATCAGAAGCTTCTAAAGCCATGACATCATTTTCTGGAATTTTCCAAGCTGTTTAAAGGCACAGTCAACTTAGTGTATGTAAACTTCTGACCCACTGGAATTGTGATACAGTGAATTATAAGTGAAATAATCTGTCTGTAAACAATTGTTGGAAAAATTACTTGTGTCATGCACAAAGTAGATGTCCTAACCGACTTGCCAAAACTATAGTTTGTTAACAAGAAATTTGTGGAGTGGTTGAAAAACAAGTTTTAATGATTCCAACCTAAGTGTATGTAAACTTCAGACTTCAACTGTATATACTAGGCGGTGTCAGGGGAAGGCCCAAAATATGGTCAAAGACTCCAGCCACCCAAGTCATCGACTGTTCTCTCTGCTACCGCACAGCAAGTGGTACCGGAGCGCCAAGTCTAGGTCCAAAAGGCTCTTTAACAGCTTTTACCCCTAAGCCATAAGACTGCTGAAGAATTAATCAAATGGCCACCCAGACTATTTGCATTGACCCCCCCCCCCCCCCCCCCCCTTGATTTTACACTGCTACTACTCACTGTTTATTATCTATGCATAGTCACTTTACCCTTACCTATGTACAAATTACCTTGACTAACCTGTACCCTTGCACATTGACTCGGTACCAGTATCCCCTCTATATAGCCTCGTTAATGTTATTTTATAGTGTTACTTTTTTTTTAAACTTTAGTTTATTCAGTAAATATTTTCTTAACTCTATTTTCTTAAAACTGCTTTCTTGGTTAAGGGCTTGTAAGTAAGCATTTCACGGTAAGGTCTACACCTGTTGTATTCGGCGCATGTGACAAATAACATTTAATTTTATTATTTATTTACCTTTAAGGTTTTAAAGCTTTGCACAATGTTCAGAAGGCCTCAACTTGTTTTGAGAAAATTTCCAAACTACAGGAGTTCAGCAATCTGTTACTTTCAGGGCCCAGGTGTGTACATAACAAACTACAACCTTGTGTTCTGCTCTGCTGCGCTCAAACCCTATAGCTCTGCTGAGCTCAACTCTATAGTTAGGATTCATTACACTTTTATTAACTTTCTCTGTATTATTTTCCCCCCCAGAGAGTGAGACGCCAGAGCAAACCAGCTAAATCTTTGGTGAGTATGAGCTACATGGAATGTATCATTACCGAAACACAACATTCAAACCAGGGATATCTTCCCATAGGGCGGCGCACAATTGGCCCAGCGTCGTCCGGGTTTGGCCCGTGTAGGCCATCATTGTAAATAAGAATTTGTTCTTAACTGACTTGCCTAGTTAAATAAAGGTAAAATAAATCAAATAAAAATCTTCCTGGTACGGCTTCGCACACGTGCAGCAACTGCCTCTGTAGATGGGCTGTGATAATATTGGATAGCATTCACTGAACATTGATCCCCTTCTAAATCATATCAATAGTAGCAGTCACTATTCCGTGTGACATTAACCTCTGTGTGCTAGAGATTATTTTTGCTAGTTGAATAACCATAAGGGGGAAGACAAAGCCTACAATGTTTTACTAGCAATACAAGAAACACTTCACATGAAGCTCAACCGAGCTACTCTCTCCACACATTAAACAATCACCCACAAGGACAAGGGGGCAGAGGAAACACTTATAAACTTACTAATGAGGGGATATGAACCAGGTGTGTGTAATAGACAAGACAAAACAAATGGAATGATGAGATGTGATGCGGCAGTGGCTAGAAGGCCGGTGACGACGAACGCCGAAGCCTGCCCGAACAAGGAGAGGAGGCAGCCTCGGAGGAAGTCGTGACAGTACGTCCCCTGACGCGCAGCTCCAGCAGCGCACCGACACCGGCCTCTGGGACTTCCAGGAGGACGCGGAGCAGGGCGAGCGGGATGGCGACGGTGGAAATCCCGCAACAGGGACGGATCGAGGATATCCCTCACCGGGACCCAGCACTGTTCCTCCGGACCGTACCCCTCCCACTCATTCTGCCAGTGTAGATCTAGCTATCACTCATTGCAATCTGTATTTATAACCTGTGCGCCACACAGAGTGAGAAACCCTACGCTAGTACTGTATCGCTATGGAGCCAACATTTTATTTGATGCTTTGAATGTTGCCAAAGATAGAATGTAGATCATCAAGCAATAGGTCTCTGGTGTATCAGAAAGCTTGTCCACTGTTTTTGATACCAGTGAGTATCGAGAAACAGGTCTGTTTGTCTCTCTGTCTGTGTCCCGGCCTGGCAGGAATGTGGCCCAGCTGACCAGATCGGTCCCAGCAGGGCCCAGAATTAGCCAAGTAAACAAGGGGGTGGGAGGGATATCTTGCAGAGTGTGCCTTTGTATCATTTGTCTAAACTTGTCAAGCCACTGAAGCCTGTTTTAAAAAAGCCTAGTAATACTTGGATTTTCATTCACAAAAGAGCCCAACCAGTACTCAAACCTTGGTCTCTACAACTGTCAGTCAAACACCTTAGCAATTACACCAAGAGGTCCAAAGCTCTTGATGAGGTTGCTATTAGCTTTGTACTAGGGTAGCTACAGTATATAACGATTTCATCAGATCAAATGTATAAGTTCTTTGCTGACTGTTTGTTGGATTAATCTGTTCCCAGCTGAAGGTGACAGACTACCATGTGAGGTGTTCTGTCATGTCTCGCTACGCCCACACCACCGTCCAGAGCTCTGTGTGGAACCAGCTAGCTGTCACCAAGGAGGCAGCCTTCGAGGTAGACCTGCCCTCAGCTGCATTCATCTCCAACTTCACTATGTGAGTCAGTCACACACTTCAAGTCAAGTGAAGTTGACTTTATTATCCCAAGAGTAGGAAATGCTGTTTTTTGTACCCCTCACTTACACAAGCTCACAGGTAGCAGGAGAGGCTATGAGTGAGAACCAGCCAGACAGCTCTCTCTCTCTCTCTTTCTCTCTTTTCTCTCTTTTCTCTCTCTCTCTCTCTCTCTCTCTCTCCTCTCTCTCTCTATCTATCTATCTATCTATCTATCTATCTATCTCTCTCTCTCTCTCTCTCTCTCTCTCTCTCTCTCTCTCTCTCTCTTTCTCTCTTTTCTCTCTCTCTTTCTCTCTTTTCTCTCTCTCTCTCTCTCTCTCTCTCTCTCACTCTGTGTTTCACCTCTATTGTTATTTTAGTCACTTCATCGAAGGTAGTGGGCCTATAATCAAATTAATTGTTCCTTCCCTTGGAATGATGTAATTGTATCCCTCTATCCTGGGTGCCAGTATGTTTCTGCTCTCTTGCCAACTCTTGATGCTTGATGATGAGTAACAAGGAGCTGGCATGGTAGCACAAACAGAATGGCATATTCTTCAGCATCAAAAATACATTTATTTTTGGCTGTAAAGGTGAGTAATGTATAAAATAAGAGAAGTCCTAGATTTTAAAAAAGGAGGGTAAAGCTTGATAGTAAATAAACAAAACAAATCCCTAATGCCAGTCAGGTCGGTGGTTTCCGGACAAACTCCCAGAAATAAAAACTTCAGAAAAATGATGTCAGGAACTGAGATTCCGTCCAGTGTGGAGAGGAGACACATCATTTGATTACTAAGAGGGCTGGAAACCACTGCCACTCTCCTTTTAAAAAACGCTAAATATAAACAAGATAAATAAGTCAACATTATAGAACCAACGAGGAGCCGAAGCCTGGGGTTGGGTTTGGGTCAGAAGGGGGAGGAGTCTGGGGGATAAATACCAGGGTTTGTAAATATGTCAGAAAGTTAATAGAGAAAATGACAGAAGCTTGCCCTGTTTTCTCCCCCCCTCTCTCTCCTGCAAAGTTTACCAAGGTACATATAAACAAGCCATGCTACGCACACACATGCAAACACATACTGACACACATAGCCTACAAACGCCACGCACATACCCATTTATATGTAGTCAAATGGGGGATGTAAACTCTTGACAGTTTTATATGCGGACTAACTCTCTGACACATGCATATAATCTCACACATCTCTCTCTGTCACACATACGCGTGCGCGCACGCACACACACAAATGCGCGCGCACACACACAAGCTAGCACATTTGGTTCCTTCGAAGTTGTGGGAATGTATGTTTTTGGTTTCCCATTGGTTCTGGGAACGAAGCCATACGTTTCCTGACCGGTAAAACGTTTTTTTTTTTATTCGTTCTGAGAATGGAAGTAACATTTTGCCTGTTCTAGGAACATTAATCTTTAGGTTGCAGGGATGTTTTGAGAACATTTTACTATGGTTCCCTGAAAGCGTTCTGAGAATGGAAATTATAGGTTATTTTGAGGTTTTTGAATAACTTCCTTAAAACTTTCATTGAATGTTTCAATAAGACTTTAATAACACTTCTAGATTAGTTTGTGTTAACTGTTTTGAACTCCATAGGACACATGGACATTCATTTGCTTAAACATTAATCATGCAAACACGTTTATTTTTTATTGAGGTTCAAACCTATGATCTTCTGTTCTTTATCCATGGATGGAGCTAGCATGCCATGTTTCTTTTTAAGCAGTTCATTTTAGTCTATTCAAACAGACCCCATTTCGATGGAAACAAGCACTCATTAACACACTTAACAAGATTGAAGACGGTGAGAACGGAATGTATATGTTTTTCAATAACATTCTTAGAACGTTCTTTGAACGTTATTAATGTTTTCTTGCGGTTTTTATGGAATGTTTTCTTAATGTTCTGAGAACATGACTTTAACTAGAACCATGAGGAAATCTGCAGAAAACGTTATGCTGAAGTACTGAAATTCCCACATAAGAACTTTGTTTCTTAACATTCTCTGAACGTTCTGAGAACATTACTTTAAATAGAACCATGAGGAAACCTGTAGGAAGCGTTATGCTGAAGTATTGACATTTCCACAGAAGAACGTTGTTTCTTAATGTTCTCGGGACAATTTGAGAACATTACTTTAAATAGAACCATGAAGAAACCAGTGGAAAAGTTATGCTGAAGTATGGACATTTCAACAAGAGAACGTTATTTCTTAACTATTTGAGAATGTCAAACCAGTTGGAGAACGTTCCAAGAACGTGTAATTAAATGTAACCATGTTTGAAGTAATGAAATACCAAGAAATTAAAGTTATTTTGTGAAGTTCCGTAAATGTGCTGAGAATGTTCCAAAGCCAAGCAACTATCCTGCACCATTCCCAGAACGTTGTGGGAAGGTTGTATGCAAAATAACCATAGGACAACCACACTCTCACCAAGCTCTAAGAAACATTTGGTTCTCAGAACATTATGTGCTAGCTGGGACACACACACACACACACACACACACAACACTTCACTAACTAACCCAGAAGGAAAATAGCTGTGGTGACTGTGTTTCTGTAGTTCGGTGGCGTTTCTCAACGTGGGACTGAGGGCCTTGTGTTCTGTGTGTAGGTCACTCATGTGCAGCCGTTCCCAGTTCCCACTCCCTCTCAGCCATACATACATACAGGCCCCTCTATTTTCCACCCTGCTAAACCCACCATTTCATTCTGCTCTGTGTCCGAAACAAGACCTGCTTCATGGCTGGAGATTTATTTTGGTTGGTCCCTGTTGGTTTTTATTTAAATATATTTGTTCAAAGGACATGACCTTATTTTAGCACATCATCACATGATGACAGAAAGCCAATGAGAATTTAGGAATTGTACAGTGCCTTGCAAAAGTATTCATCCCCCTTGGCGTTTTTCCTATTTTGTTGCATTACGACCTTTAATTTAAATTGATATTTATTTGGATTTCATGTAATGGACAGACACAAAATAGTCCAAATTGGTGAAGTGAAATGAAAAAAAGAATTTGTTTCAAAAAATTATACAAAATAAATAACAGAGAAGTGGTGCGTGCATATGTATTCACCCCCTTTGCTATGAAGCCCCTAAATAAGATCTGGTGCAACCAATTACCTTCAGAAGTCACATAATTAGTTAAATAAAGTCCACCTGTGTGCAATCAAATTGTCACATGATCTGTCACATGATCTCAGTATATCTACACCTGTTCTGAAAGGCCCCAGAGTCTGCAACACCACTAAGCAAGAGGCACCACCAAGCAAGCGGCACCATGAAAACCAAGGAGCTCTCCAAACAGGTCAGGGACAAAGTTGTGGAGAAGTACAGATCAGGGTTGGGTTATAAAAAAATATCTGAAACTTTGAACATCCCCACAGAGCACCATTAAATCCATTATTAAAAAATGGAAAGAATATGGCACCACAACAAACCTGCCAAGAGAGGGCTGCCCACCAAAACTCACAGACCAGGCAAGGAGGGCATTAATCAGAGAGTCAACAAAGAGACCAAAGATAACCCTGAAGGAGCTGCAAAGCTCCACAGCTGAGATTGGAGTATCTGTCCATAGGACCACTTTAAGCCATACATTCCACAGAGCTGGGCTTTACGGAAGAGTGGCCAGAAAAAAGCCATTGCTTAAAGAAAAAAATCTGTGGGATGACTTAAAGATTGCTGTACACCAGCGGAACCCATCCAACTTGAAGGAGCTGGAGCTGTTTTGCCTTGAAGAATGGGCAAAAATCCCAGTGGCTAGATGTGCCAAGCTTATAGAGACATACCCCAAGAGACTTGCAGCTGTAATTGCTGCAAAAGGTGTCTCTACAAAGGATTGACTTTGGGGGGTGAATAGTTATGCACGCTCAAGGTTTCTGTTTATTTGTCTTATTTCTTGTTTGTTTCACAAAAAAATAATATTTGCATCTTCAAAGTGGTAGGCATGTTGTGTAAATCAAATGATACAAACCCCCCAAAAATCAATTTTCATTCCAGGTTGTAAGGCAACAAAATATGAAAAATGCCAAGGGGGGTGAATACTTTCGCAAGCCACTGTATGGTTCGGATTAGGGTGTGTGAGCTCTGGTCCAGTTTGGTTGGGAAATGGTTGGGTATAGGTTCTCCAGGGGCCATGGAGGGGGGTTCCGAGTGTTATTTTTCAGTTATCATGGGTGCGTCTCAAGTTCAAACACATAAGGGTCTGGTCAAAAGTCGTGCACTAAGGGAATAGGGTGTCATGTGGGATGCAACCATGATTACTGAAAAGAGATCTTGTAACACCCTGAAATCCTTCCATGGCCTCCGCAGAACCTACACTGAACCATTTCCCAACCAAATCATGGACCAGAGCTCAGAGAGCTAATGTTTTCAGAGGAAAAGGACTCCTTCCTCTCACCCTTCACTTCACCCTACCTTTCCTCTCTAGCATGTTTTGAACTTAATCTGTAAACCAACACGATTCATGTTTGTCCTCCATGTGAGTCCAACACAAATGCTGTGAAGTATATTATTGCTTTGTAACGTGTCACTAATAATGCAAATAGTTGCTATAACATTTACAGTAAAGGAACGTTTGCTTGCTGCAAAGAAACCTAGATATTTCCCATCCATGAGCCCAAGTTTCTTAACATAGTCTGACCATAGTGAGTTACACAGAGGGCTGTTTCACCTCATTCTTTCCTCTTACCCCCCAGCACCTCCAATGGCAAAGTGCACATCGCCCAGGTGAAGGAGAGGAGTGCCGCCAGGAAGATCTATGACGCAGCCAAGAAGCAAGGAAAAACAGCTGGACTTGTTGCCACCAAGTCAGTCTGAAAAAGTATTTGATACCACAATCACTCTTTGATATGTGTTTTATTCTGATTTCTTGGTTTTGCTTGTGAAAGTACAACAAACCACATCTATATTCTATTTGGACACCCATCACCCACCACAACCATTTAAATCATTTAGCACTTCTACTCAGATCAGTTGTCCTTGCCTGCTTCAAATTCTATTCCATTTCCCCACGGTTTCCAAGTCATTCTTTCACCAGTTACCACCACCATCACTCCAATACCTCTCTCTTACTGTTGTTTATCTCCCCTGCGGTGTCTTTGTCTCAGGGAGAGGGAGATCGAGAAGTTCCGCATGGCGGTGAGTGTTCCCTCTGGGACCCGGATGTCCTTCTCGTTGTCCTACGAGGAGCTGCTGCCCCGCAGGTTGGGTCGCTATGAACTGACCCTGGGCCTGAGGCCTGGAGGACTGGTCACTAACCTCACCCTGGATGTCAGCATAGCAGAGAGGACAGGATTCAGCTTCGTCAAGGTCCTCCCGCTGAAGTCCAGCCGACTGCTCTCCAACACTGTCACAGGTAACATTGGAAAAGACAGCAATTATTGTTCATTGTCAAAGTAGTAGTGCTAGTTTTGATACAACCAGCATGTTTGAGGGGATCAGTTTGAGCAAGGCAAGTCACATAATCACTCATCTGGATCACAACAATGAGTAGTTATTGTATAGTAGGATGCAACATAACATGTAGAATATCTCAAACATGCACAATGACAGGGTGTTTTCTGGCCTTCCTCTCCCATCCAGGTGAGACAGAAGCCCCAGCCTCCACTCAGATCCAGCAGAACCCTTGTTGTGCCCATGTTCATTACCACCCCAGCCTGCAGCAGCAGAGCAGTGTCTCCTCTAAGGGACTCAACGCTGACTACATCATCCAGTACGATGTAGAGCTGAGCGACCTCATGGGAGACATCCAGGTCAGCACACGCCCACACATACACAAGCACTACACACTGTGTAGGACCAAACTCTTACACAACAAATACTGTACAAAGACGGTATCTAGTGAGGCAGTAATCTAATCCAATGAGGGATTACTCTCTTCTGTTGGCCTCTCTCAGGTGTTTGATGGATACTTTGCCCACTACTTTGCACCTCGGGGGCTTCCTGTGGTCCCCAAGGATGTCATCTTTGTCATTGATGTCAGTGGCTCAATGATTGGCACCAAGATCAAACAGGTACAGTAGATATTTTATCTCTCTCACATTGCATCCAGCTCCACCTCATTAATTTAGACAAGAATGACAACATTGACACTACATTATATCGATAAAATGATAATTTATCTTCTCACTCTGGATTGGTGTGGACCAGACAAAGCAGGCAATGTCCACTATCCTGGAAGACCTTCGTGAAGGGGACCACTTCAACATCATCACCTTCTCAGACAAGGTCCTCACCTGGAAGAAGGGTTGCACAGTGAGGGCCACGCGGAATAACGTACGAGACGCTAAGGAATTCGTCAAGAGGATCATCGCTGAGGGATGTGAGTGGGATTGAGTCTGATGTGCTTAGAATTTCATTAAATCTGCAGCAACCTGACAAGACCACTAAAACGCTGTCTGTATTTCTCTCTTCTTCATTTCATTCCATCTTCTGCCTCCTCTTCAGCATCCTCTCTCCTCCTCCATTTCTTCCACCTCCTCCACACCTCCCTCTCTTCTCCACACCTCCTTCCCTCTCTCCTCCTCCAGGGACCAACATCAACGCGGCCCTCCTCTCAGCCGCCCAGCTAGTCAACCCTTCCGTCTCTTCCCCCTCCTCGTCCTCCTCCGGTGGTGCCCGCCGGGTCCCTCTGGTCATCTTCTTGACGGACGGTGAGGCAACCATCGGTGTGACGTCCGGTGACGCCATCCTTAGCAACGCTAAGAGCGCCCTGGGCTCCGCCTCTCTGTTCGGCCTGGCCTTCGGTGACGACGCCGACATCACACTGCTGCGGCGCCTGGCACTGGACAACCGTGGCATGGCGAGGATGGTGTACGAGGACGCAGACGCCGCACTCCAGCTGAAGGGATTCTACGATGAGGTAGCCAGCCCGCTACTGTCAGACATCCAGCTGACCTACCTGGATGACCAGGCCTTCGACGTCACACGCTCCCTCTTCCCTAACTACTTCCAGGGCTCTGAGCTGGTGGTCACTGGGAAGGTCAAGCCCGGGGTCAGGAATCTGAAGGTTGGTATCACATCATGTTGTAATTGTCCATTGAGCTGATATTTATAAAGTTTTCGCTTATCTTTTCTTCTCCTCTCTTCCCTTCTCTTATTTTCTACTCTCCTCTCTTCTCTTCTCTTCTACTCTCTTCATTTCTCTTCCCCTCTCCTCTCCTCTCCTCTCCTCTCCTCTCCTCTTCTCTTCGCTTCTCTTCTCCTCTCTTCCCTTCTCTTATTTTTACTCCTCCTTGCTCTCTCTCTCTCATTCGTTTCTTCCCCTAGCGAAGCCTCTCCATCTCCACTTCCCTCCCTTCCCTCTCTCTCTCCTCTCCTCTCCTCATCCTCTCCTCCTAATAAATCTCCTCTCCTGCAATGCATCTTCTCTCCTTCTCACTCTCCCCTTCTTATTTTCTTAATCGCCTCTCTTCTCTCTACTTCTTCATTACTATTCCCCTTCTCTATCACCTCTCGTCTCACTCCTCTCCTCTCCTCTCCTCTCCTCTCCTCTCCTCTCCTCTCCTCTCCTCTCCTCTCCTCTCCTCTCCTCTCCTCTCCTCCTCCTCTCCTCTCCTCTCCTCTCCTCTCCTCTCCTCTCCTCTCCTCTTCTCTTCTCTTCTCTTCTCTTCTCTTCTCTTCTCTTCTCTTCTCTTCTCTTCTCTTCTCTTCTCTTCTCTTCTCTTCTCTTCTCTTCTATTCTTAGGTGTCTCTGACGGCCAGTGACTCCAAGCAGAAGGTGAAGGTTGAGAATGACGTGTTGGTGTCTAAAGGAGAGGAGAATGGGACAGCGTCCTGCATGGGCTGCCCTGGGGGCATGGATAGGATCTCCAGCTTCGTACATCGTCTCTGGGCTTACTTCACTATCAAAGAGCTGTTGCTGGCCAAACTGAACAGCACCGACCCGGCCATGCAGAAACTGCTGGGCGAGAAGGCCACCAACCTCTCCCTCAAGTATAACTTTGTCACGCCTGTTACTTCCCTCGTTGTAGTCAAGCCTGATGCGGATGAAATTCCTACCAAAGCGTCAACTACGACAGCTCAACCCACCACCACCACCACCAAGCCCACCACCACAACTAATACAGCTACTACAACAACCACAGTTGCCCACACTACTGCCACCAAAATAGCCTCCCCCATCCCTGTGAAAAAACCCAGGACTAACGAAGGTAGACCGGACCCTCTTGTCACCAAGCCTCCACCTCCCCAACCTCCACCTCAACCCAGAAAGGCCTCCACCCCACCCAGCCCAGCGAAAACAGTGGCTCCAACATCCCCCAAGAAAACCACTACGACTAGCACCCCCAGCCCCAGTGCAGTCAAAACCATCCCTGCCCCTCTCTCAGCAAAAACCCCCACTCCTCCTCCCAGCTCTCCTAAAACTGCCCCTGCCCCTCCCACCAGGATAGTCTCTACACCCCTGGCCAACTCGCTCAAAACAGCTGCTGCTCCTACACCTGGGAAAACCACCACCAGCCCTCCATCCAACATAGTAAAGACAGTCCCTACCACACCACCCACCACAGTTAATCCTACAGTCCCTACAACTGTGAAAACCACCACCTCCACTACCACCACCTCAGTCAGAACCGATCCAACCCCTGCTCTACAGCCTGGGAAACCCGCTACGCCCCTGCCCATCTCTGTTAGAACAGTCCTCCCTCCAGTTAGAATATCTCTCTCCTCCTCCTCTTCAGAGAACACCACCATGTCTGCCACTGCTGCCCACCAACCTCAGGTCACCACACTCCTGTACAGTGTTCTGTCTGTCTCCCCTACTCCAGCTCCACAGGGCAGTAACACAGACCTAGACTCAGACGTAGACCAGATTGCCACCTTTGTCTCTGCAACATTTGCCCCCATGCCAGGCGTCACAGACAGGCCTAAACTGTTGGAGGCTGCAGGACTATTGGGTAAGTATTCCTCTAATCTTGGAAACCCAGAACTAAAATCTCACGTAATTCTGTCCGGTGCTCGATTAAGTTCTGGAGGTAGATGTGTTAGAAAAGAGCAGAAGAAGGGCGGTAGCTCCAGCCCTCTCTCTCTGCAAGTTGCGGGCAAGTCTATTGGCCGAATGTCCCCTCCTCTTCCAAAATTCGAAAGATGTGAGCCACTGTGAAATCGTGATTTGTCCAAATCATCAATTACAAAAACCAGCGCACCGGAACAATGTTCCTTGTTAGTCACCGCATCCCACAGTCTGTTGACAGATGCTACGATACCATTTATGTTATGAGATTAATCTTCCACTGACTGTCTATCTCACTTGGAACTTCAACTATATATTTTACATTTAGCAGACGCTCTTATCCAGAGTGACTTACAGTTAGTGAGTGCATACATTTTTTTAATTCTTTTTTTTTTATACTGGCCCCCCGTGGGAATCGAACCCACAACCCTGGCGTTGCAATCGCCATGCTCTACCAACTGAGCTACACAGGGCTCAGTATAGTTGAATAATAATTGTCTAAGGATACAATTTTACTGAATACCAGTATTGCATATCATATGAATTGTGTTGCATCAGGTATTGAACTTACAGTCCATATCTTGTACCTGTCTATCAGAGAAATACTAGTATAATCGAAATCCACCCTTTCTGGCTTAATTGTGACATGTTCCTCTTCTCTCCACCAGATGTCTCCACTTCCATCCAGATCCATAGAAAAGGTGAATCAACCACACCAGAATATTTCATCATTCTGTTTCAGCTCTGTTGCACAAATGTCATGAAATATCATTATTGAAAGGGATACATGCTGTATTTGAATACAGAGATAATGGATATGAGGTTAAAAAATGATGAAGTAGTCCTTTAGTTTATCACTGTGTCAATCTGTGTTTTCTCCCTGTCTCTACCTTAGATATGGACCTGGTTAAAGGTGAGTTCCACTCTTACTTCCCTGCCATGAAAAAACGATTCATTGTAACAACATGTATGTTGTTGTATCTTAAAAGCTGTTGTTTCCTCCTATAGAGATTCTGATGAAAGCCCCCAGACCAGCTCAGGGAGAGGATATGTTTTATCCTCTGTCTGGTGTCTAATGATGTCCATGTGATTGAATCTTTCAGATTATGATGCAACCTACGAATACGACTACGACCTCAACTATGATTCCTGTAAGTCATAGTTGACTAATATGTATAACTATTTAGTTGTGTTGGCAAAAGGGATACTTTGTATGTTTCTAAGTTAATACAGATGTTTAACATGTTTTCGAAATGTGTATGTTTTCAGGGGATGAATCAGCATCAGATCTTCGTAAGTATTTAATTGTATTTCTGTGTAGTCTAGCATAAGATCGATGTACTTCAGAGATGTTGGTAGGCTCTGATCTGTCATTGGTTTCAGTGCTTCAGACAGATAATACGTAGTCTCAGTTGTACCTGTTGTCCTTCCAGGGCCGGGCCCCCCCTCCATACTGAGTTCTGTCAGAGTCTTCTCCTCGTCTGGTAAGGGGCCTACACTTTAACAAATAACATAACATGACATAACATATAACTTTGAAATCTGTTTCTCACCTCTGTCTTCTTTATGTTCAATGTTTTTTTGTGCTTTTTTAAAAGTTGATGGAGACCCTCATTTTATGGTCCAGCTCCCCAAACTGAAACAGAATCTGTGTTTCACGGTGGATGGCAGGGCCAACGACGTACTGAGACTGCTGGAAGACCCAGAGAGAGGTTAGTCAGAACAGACTACTACCAACAAAAGTCCAGAACTGTAATCTTATATTAGTGGCATGTATAATCTACTTGAGAAGCACCATAACATTTTATAGGCATATATTAAAATGGGAACACATTAAATAGGCATATATTAAAATGGGAACACATTAAATAACATATACATTCTGTAACTGTTGGAATGCACGCACATGCACACACACACACAGTTAACCCATGCCTTCCTCTTCCCCTCAAGGTATCACGGTGGACGGTCATCTAATATGGGCTCCATCCAAGCAAGACAAAGAGGACCGCTCCCGCACTTACTTTGACCAGATAACCATCTCTGCCATGGGCGGGCACGGCGGGCTGGGTGGCATAGTGATCACACTCTCATTGGACGCTGTGGTGGTGGAAGGGGAGGGACGGGACACCCTACCCACTAATCAGCAGGGATCTGTGACAAGGCAGGGTGTGGCGGTTTCCATGGACACCAGAGATGACATCCATCAGAGCTGTTGGATCGAGCTGGCGAAGGATATTCGTTTCCTGGTTCTGTTCCACCACTACAAACACCCCAGCTACCTGCAGATGGCACACCTCGGATTCTACATCACTGATGGACAAGGGCTCTCTACTTCAACCCAAGGCCTACTGGGTACATTCACTTTTCAATCTTTAATGTCTTTAAACCGGTTTCTTTGTCTTGTTACATACACCTGGCCCTAAAGCACTTTTTGACAAGTGTTGCTGTATAAAAGCCCATGGGAAAATACTATACATATGTGGTGATTGATTTCCCTCTCACTGTCCCCCCGTCCCAACAGGCCAGTTCCAGCATGCTGACATGAGTGTGATGCCGGTGAAGGACCCTCGTGACACACTGCCCCAGCCTAGTAAAGAGGGGGTCCTGTCCAGGGGGGTGCTGAGGTGGGGGGCGATACACGTACCCATCACCCTACAGGACAAGACCCTGAAGGACACAGTGAGGAAACGTCACCTGGGCAGGTGTTGGGTAGTGCCCAAGGCACAGGTGGAGAAACTGTTGGGTCATCCATACCAGAGCTACGTGGTGGATAACATGTAAATACTCAGTTGCGCTTTTCAAATGTCCATCCAGTATTAGCACACTACTTAGAATATACATGCCTAATACATTGCTTCATACTAAGTGTTATGCTAGTATGGAGATTGGAACCGAGCCACTCATCTAGCTACCATCTCCACCTCAAAGCTGGGCAGCTCAGGCCATGGGAAACTACAGTGTTTCTGCAAGGACAAACAGCACTGGGACTAGGGTGCTGCTGGCTAGCCTTCAATATCAACATCACATAGTGGGTTATTACTCTCTCCTCTGAAAGTGTCGATGGCAGTGTGCATGAATGCATATTCATGATAATGAAAATGAGAGACAGAGAGCGGGACACAAAGAGAGAACAAGAGACAGATAGAATGATAAACAAAGACAAAAGAGCGAGAGAAATAGAGAGAGAGATAGAGTCCAGTAACTAAGCTAAAGAATGATGAGGTAATTCACAGAGGTGTCAGACATGATAAGATAATGTAGGAGATGGGATGATGTCATTGCACCAGTGTCTTTCTGAAACAGGGACAGACTTCGACTTCTGCTGTTAACATGGCAAAAGTAAGATTGTTAATTGTCTCTATACTTCTGTAGACAAATGCTGCTTGATCTTGACATACAGCTAATTCCAAACACTTGTTCGCAAAAATCATATGCTTCATTAGGACTTATATCATTCCAATGTCATAACAAATATATCAATAGATCATTTGATTTGAGCAATTTTGTATACAGTGTCAGAGTTGTATTTTAATTGTTTAAGTTTTATTGTGAAGTATAAGTTATAAAATGACTACATCTTATAAAAATTGGCTATGGAACTCGTTGTGGTCTTATTGGAATAGTTTTACACATACAATAATTTACTTTACATTGTAGTCATTTAGCATATTTTCATACTGGCCCCCCCATGGGAAACGAACCCACAACCCTGGCGTTGCAAGCGCCATGCTCTACCAACTGAGCTACACGGGGCCACTTCAGTTGAAACACATTGACACTCAGACACTTTGGATTTGACTTTTTAGGTTTGCCATGTGCTTTTTATTTTTTCTGTCATATCGTTCATAGTTTCATTCATTTTATTTGTTTGTTACACAAGACATTATTAGGCATTGTTCACATACTAGTGATCAAACAAAGGACTGTAAGTTGTCTACTACTCAGACTGACCTATGTTTTCCTCAATTTCAAGGGATATCATCAATATAATATTTGTCAAAGGCAAAAACTCTTAAATTAATACAGTACAACCACATTTTAGGCTTTTGTTTAAATAAATAAAAAAGAGATAACAGCGTCTAGTGGTGAGGAAGGGAAAAATGTCAAAATATAACTAGATAAGCTTGCAGAGTAAACTCAACACTATTCCAGTATCACCAAGCTAACATGATTCCAGAATGAAATTCACACAAAGTGTAAAAATGTGCACAGTCTGTAGAAATTAGTCTAAAGGGTTAAAAGCTTGAAATGAACCCCAACCTGTTATAAGACCTGTTAATAATGTTTAACCCATGTAACACTAATAATAACCACTAAATCAGGTGAAACATGACACATGACACAGCAAATAACAACAAAGCAAAATCAATGACATCTGAATATATGCATCACTTTGAGATCAGTTACGTTATGATAATATAACAAACTAATAGCAGAGAAGCATAGTCAGCATTTCACGTAAACCTTCCATCACAATAACAAGTGAAATTAAAATTTAAAAAATACCATTATAATAATAAGACACATAAAGCCACCCCAAACATGTGATAACTGTGTAGTTTAGAGATATAGTTATGGAGGGACTACAGGAAGGAATAGGTAATAATTCACACTAGCTTCCACCATGTTACGGTAATAATGTTTGAAGGGATAGGTTGTGGCATCTATCTCACCATGGCTGCCCACCATTGATATGTAATGTACTGTAAATAAGTAACCACACTGCAGATCCAAACCTCAAAACAATGTCATGCATGGAAACATATAGATGAAGAGAACACAGCTAACTCCAAAGGGTCAGACAGAATGGAGGTTAAGGGTAGCTACAATGGGGGAGACTGACGTAGGGCCCAGCCAAGTCCACAGAACCACTGGCGTTACTAGACCATAGAAATAGATTGACTAGAATTCTAAGATTTTATCTCTATGTAATAATATACTATGTGGGTAGTAGTTAGTGGAAATACAATGATCACAGTTAGCAGTCATGAAATACACAGGACATTTGCTGCATCAAGTCAATCAACTGACATCAATATCCCTCGAAGGACAGGAATAATCTGCAGATTACATTGTTTTTAAATATAATGAAATGATCACATTTTTAGAGAACCCGAACATATTGAATAAGACCCCAAATTAAGGCTAAAACCAAGTAAAAGCATATTGGTTCATACTCTGGGGAGGCACTTTATACCGTGGCCTCGGGACTTTTTGTAATACTGCATTCTGTTAAGTGTTTTACATTTTGGGAGTGTCAGTTTTTCCCTCCACTAGCTACTGTAAGGTTGCCTAGCAGGAGTTCAAAGGGAATGAGTCTCTCTGTGTGACATACACAACAAGGGTTAGTTAAACCATAACATGATCTGGTGCTTCCTTTCACTACAAGCCGAGAGTTCAGTCTGCCTTCTTTAAAACAAAAGTGACACTCCTCATCTCAAGTCTGCGACATACCCCAGCTACATTGGTTCTTATCACCTTGGCGCCTTCATCGCAGCTCAACATGTAGTGATCTGATCTGACCTCCCTTTTGATTAAAACTCTCTGATTCCATGACAAACTCTTCCATACTTATTCATGTAACCTCACCAACATGCCTAACCTCCAGACAGACTCTCACAGTTATATCTCTCTCGCTTTTCTATAAAACAAATGACCTTTTCAGTGTTTGACCTCATAAAGTCCACTTCAGAGTATCAGTCCATGTTTCCATTTCAAATTCAGTAAACTTTATAACTTCAGCAAGTGAAAATGTGCACTAAATCTTTTTTTTTTACAACTCAGAATGGTGTAAATATAAAGAATATAAACAATTGAAATCGTATCTTTGACATCACACAACAGACAGAGAAACAAAACGTGGTTTCAGGGACAACAGAACAGTTAGCCACCGGTTAGCTTGTCTGCTAGCACAGAGAACTCAACAGCACTGCAAAGTGAGCACTATCAGTTTGACCAAACAGCCCATTGATATATTAATAACTTTTCATTTTGAAACATTTTGTCTGACCGAGAGAGAGAGAGATTTGCTGAAAAAGGAGCAATCTATGTAAATAAGTAACATGGGTAGAAGACCAGTAAGTAAGAAGAGAGTGAAAGCAGGGTTGACAGGATGGAATGATCAGTGTGAGAATGGCCCAGCCTTCCGAACGCTGCCGTGTCATCATGTTCTATGTACAATCCTACTGTGTGTAAAATATGCATGCATGTCGATTAGAGGTGACACATCCAGAGCAGAGGCAAATCACTCTTTTTGACCAAACTGTCTTTTCACAAACAGTTTCCACTTCAAATCTTCTGCATTTTCTACAGTTGCGCATTCATTCATACACTTTTACATCAGAATTGAGACATTCTTGCAATGTCATTGACCTTGATATGAGAAAAAGACTTTGAAATTGCCACGACAATGAATCAGTCTACCTCTAATGATAACAGTTTAGACATGGAATGAAATACCATATCAACCTTGCTTTTCAGTGAAAGATAGATATAGGGAATGTGAGTCTTGGAACGATGTGTGTGTGTGTGTGTGTGTGTGTGTGTGTGTGTGTGTGTGTGTGTGTGTGTGTGTGAGTGAGTGTTTTAGATGTGTTTGAGTACAGAGACCTCAGGAAAGGGAGGGACACGAGCAAAAGGAAGCAGAACCACACCCATGGAACATAGAACCTTCTAGAACTCCCTAGATCCATCACCACCCACTACCTAGAACCTTCACTTACTCAGACTCTCCCACTATCTCCCATATACAGTACCCTGCTTAGTACCCTGCCCCTACAGTACCTTAGCCCTATCTGTGTACTGCCCTACCCTCTACCATATGGTCTGCCCTTTCTATGAAAAACTCTTCTCACTCCTCCCTCTGCCTCTCCCGTTCCCTGATGCTCCTCCCTCCTCATTGCTCATCCTCCCCAAACACATCGTTCTGTTTGCGCTTCATGTTCTCAAAGTCAAAGTCGCTGCCTGTCATACGCTTGTAGATGTCCTTGATGTCGTTGCAGGTGGTCTCGAAGTGAGTGGTGGCGTCGTAGGCCGACGAGGTGAATATCTGAACGAGACACAAAATCCCACATGGTTTCTTTCGCTCCAATGCCTTGTCCTAAAACATGTCTCATAAAGGTGGTCTTGTAGAAATATAGAAGGTACTGTATATCTAGATGTGTTTGACTCACCTGGCTCTCAGTACCGTCATCTGTTGGCTCATAGAGGTCACTGAGGGACACAAACCTGCAGATAAAGAGGGAAGACGTCAGTTATTAACTCACAAAAACCTCCTTACTGCTATTAATTTCATTAATTTGTGATAGCACACATCATACGAGCTGAGACAGTTTTGGAGAGTGATGAAACAATAGAAGAGAAGAAGAAGAAGAAGAAGAAGAAGAAGAAGAAGAAGAAGAAGAAGAAGAAGAAGAAGAAGAAGAAGAAGAAGAAGAAGAAGAAGAGGGAGAACAGTAGAAGAAGAGGGAGAACAGTAGAAGAAGAGGGAGAAGAGACGTACTTCTGGTCAATGGGCTCCAGCAGCTCCAGAGCAGGTTCTATCTCAGCCTCAGGCTCGCTGGTCTCCACGGTGGTGCTGACGATGGCGATGTATTTCCCCTGGGCCGCCACATTGTGGGCGTAGGAGATCATACACACGTAGATGTCTGGAGGAGAGAACACAAGTTAGAACATTGAGAATTGAATTTAGATTTTACAATTGGAGTTTCCTCTCTTTCACTCTCCAAAAACTGCTTTTATTATCATCTCTGTGAGGTAAACTTACTGTTAGAGAGAAAATCTCTATGCCATGACAAAAGGAAGTCAGAAACATCCCATCTTAGTAAACCTGTACTTGGTCCACTCCTCACCTGACTTGCGGTTGACCTGGTTCTGAGGGATGATGATCTGACAGGAGTTGGCGTCGTTGGTGTTCTTGATGGGGTGGCTGAGGATGCAGATGACCCTGATCACCTGACCTGCCTTACGCACTCGGTCCTGGATGTAGCTGGGGTCACAGATCAGCTGTTTGCACCGAGCCACCTAACAGGGGAGGGACAATGTGTAAGACAATGTCAATCTAATATATTCACATAATGTATTTTCCCTCTTCTACCAATTTGTATAATGTGCAGGTATTGATCCATTTTCTCTGTGTATTATCAACAGTCTTGACTACTTTACTACATAGTAAAGAGATTGTGACTTTATAAAACAGATTAGATTGCGAGTTTACCTCTCCCTCAGACTTCACTCCCACCACATGGCCATCCTCCATCACTATCTCCTCCACTGGTTTGTTGAGCATGTAGGTTCCTCCATAAATTGCACTCAACCTAACAATGTATGAGAGAGAGACTATGATTTATACTATATTATAAAATATGGTAAAAATACTCTCTACACTATTGAAGAAATTTCACATTTACAATTTAGTCAGTTAGATTATTGTATCCTTATCTAATGTGATCAGAATTCAACATGAAGAGCTTTGTCTAACTAAAGAAAGGCCATAAGGATTTAGGGAATACACATTTTACACACAGACCTGGCGAATCCTTGAGGCAGCTCCCCAAGGCCATAGAGGGGGTACAGGTAGGGGCTCTTCCCATATCGGGCCAGGGATTCACTGTACAGCTTGATGCGGTTGATGGTCTCCAAACAGGGCACATCAAGGTAGCTAGAGTTGGGGAAGAGAGAAGGAGCCACATCATCAATAGGAGTCAGGGTTGGGGTCAATTCCATTTCAATTCAGGAAGTAAACTGAAATTCCAATTTCCTCAATGCTTTTCAATGCAGACATTTTGGAATGTCAGTTTACTTCCTGGTAGGGGTGATAGTGCCTAATCTTATTAGGTGATTAGTGATTAGTAAAATAACTGTAAGCGCTCTTACTCGTCTGTCCTGTAGAGGGCCAGGGCGTGGCCAGTGAAGTCGATGACATCCTGACCAAGGTCAAACTTCTTGTACACATCTCTCATGGTGGTGACTTTGGGGTCGACGCCCTCGAAGGTCTTAGGGTCGTTCTCATCAAAGTTAGCCACAAACACTAGGAATTTCCGGAACCTTCTCTTCTCAAACATACCCATAAGATCTGGACAAGTGGTGAAGATAAAGACTCAGCATAATATACTACACTGTACAAAGCAGAACAATACTGATTAAATATAAAACATTTAATATCACAGATTTTATGGTACATACACTGCATTCAGAAAGTATTCAGACCACTTGACTTTTTCAACATTTTGTTACGTTACAGCCTTATTCTAAAATTGATTAAATTGTTTTTTCCCCTCATCAATATACACACAATACCCCATAATGACAAAGCAAAAACAAGTTTTTAGAATTTTTAAAAAATTTATAAAAAATATTACATTTACATAAGTCTTCAGACCCTTTACTCAGTACTTTGTTGAAGCACCTTTGGCAGCGATTACAGCCTCGAGTCTTCTTGGGTATGATACTACGAGCTTGGCACACCTTTATTTGGGGAGTTTCTCCCATTCTTCTCTGCAGATCCTCTTAAGCTCTGTCAGGTTGGGTGGGAAGCGTCGCTGCACAGCTAATTTCAAGTCTCTCCAGAGATGTTTGATCGGGTTCAAGTTCAGGCTTGGCTGGGCCACTCAAGGACATTCAGAGAATTGTCCCGAAGACACTCCTGCCTTGTCTTGGCTGTGTGCCTAGGGTTGTTGTCTGAGGTCCTGAGCACTCTGGAGCAGGTTTTCACCAAGGATCTCTCTGTACTTTGCTCCATTCATCTTTGCGTCGATCCTGACTAGTCTCCCAGTCCCTACCGCTGAAAAACATCTCCAAAGCATGATGCTGCCACCACCATGCTGCACCGTATGGATGGTGTCAGGTTTCCTCCAGACATGACGCTTGGCATTCAGGCCAAAGAGTTCAATCTTGGTTTCATCAGACCAGAGAATGTAGTTTCTCATGGTCTGAGTCCTTTAGGTGCCTTTTGGCAAACTCCAAGCGGGCTGTCATGTGCCTTTTACTGAGGAGTGGCTTCCGTCTGCCCACTCTACCATAAAGGCCTGATTGGTGGAGTGCTGCAGAGATGGTTGTCTTTCTGGAAGGTTCTCCCATCTCCACAAAGGAACTCTGGAGCTCTGTCAGAGTGACCATCGGGTTCTTGGCCACCTGCCTGACCAAGGTCCTTCTCCCCGATTGCTCAGTTTGACCAGGCGGCCAGCTCTAGGAAGATTCTTGGTGGTTCCAAACTTCTTCCATTTAAGAATGATGGTGGCCACTGTGTTCTTGGGGACCTTCAATGCTGCAGACATTTTTTGGTACCCTTCCCCAGATCTCGACACAATTACAAGAATTTCTAAAAACCTGTTTTCGCTTTGTCATTATGGGGTATTGTGTGTAGATTGATGAGGAACATTTTGTATTTAATCAATTTTAGAATAAGGCTGTAACGTAACCAAATGTGGAAAAAGGGAAGGGGCCTGAATACTTTCCAAATGCACTGTATAGTGAACACACATCACAATCTACAGCACATTAAAACTTACTTGAAGCTAGTGCCTCAGTCTCAGTTGAGGGCACCTTGTAGATCTTTCCTCCCTTGTACACAAAACTACCCTCCACTACTTTGAAGTCCAGGTATCTTGTCACCTCTGTGTATAGCAGCATCTTCACAAGCTGACCTGTTTTTATTGGATTCACAGACAGAAAGGGTGGTCTTTATTTAATGACTTCAAGATTTCCCCATGTTTCATCAACAGCCACGATGGAGATGGAGATTGGCATTTATTTACTGTGTAAATTCTGCTTCCATCTTATCCTTATGATGTTGGTACGGTCTGCATATGGATATGGTGAGTAAGGCTAGTAGCTAAGGTGACCAAATTTTGGAAATGAAAATCTTCAGAAAAACATGCATTTTGTTTGTATGGAACTATATTTAACAATCAATTTTCGCTATAGGACTTTCAAATAGTTGTATTATTTATAACACAGAAATGGATTACCCCTCGACAGTTTTCTTAATCTTAGCTTATCTAGTAATTTTAGAATCCCCCAAGTTTGGTAGCCTATGCTTATTGATGCAACACTTTCTGGCCATGACCATGGTTGTTCATGTGGTGGTTACAATGTATCACTGATCAAACATTCTCATAAGGTCACGACGAAGCTGCGGGAGCGAACAAGTTTGTTACAGGGACAGGCAACATTTTCCACATGCATGCCTGACTGGATACAGCTTTTGATGATTGAAAAAGCAGCCTCAATATAACTTTCTTTCTGAGGGTTAATCGGGGACATTTCCAGGTACAGCTCTAGCAGGGGACAGGACACCAAAATCGGGGACTGTCCCCAGAAATCGGGGACGTCTGGTCACCCTATACCAGGATCCCCCAACTGGAGGGTGATTTTTGGACACACCTACTCATTCAAGTTTTTTTTTTTTTTTTTTTTACTATTTTCTACATTGTAGAATAATAGTGAAGACATCAAAACTATGAAATAACACATACGGAATCATGTAGTAACCAAAATAAGTGTTAAACAAATCAAAATATATTTTAGATTTGATATTCTTCAAATAGCCACCCTTTGCCATGATGACAGCTTTGCACACTCTTGGCATTCTCTCAACCAACTTCACCTGGAATGCTTTTCCAACAGTCTGAAGGAGTTCCCATATATGCTGAGCACTTGTTGGCTGCTTTTCCTTCACTCTGCGGTCCGACTTATCCCAAACCATCTCAATTGGGTTGAGGTCGGGGGATTGTGGAGGCCAGGTCATCTGATGCAGCACTCCATCACTTTCCTACTTGGTAAAATAGCCCTTACACAGCCTAGAGGTGTGTTGGATCATTGTCCTGTTGAAAAACAAATGATAGTCCCACTAAGCCCAAGCCAGATGGGATGGTGTATCGCTGCAGAATGCTGTGGTAGCCATGCTGGTTAAGTGTGCCTTGAATTCTAAATAAATCACAGACAGTGTCACCAGCACATCCTCCTCCATGCTTTACGGTGGGAAATACACATGCGGAGATCATCCATTCACCCACACCGCATCTCACAAAGACACGGCGGTTGGAACCAAAAATCTCAAATTTGGACTCTAGATCAAAGGACACATTTCCACCGGTCTAATGTCCATTGCTCGTGTTTCTTGACCCAAGCAAGTCTCTTCTTCTTATTGGTGTCCTTTAGTAGTGGTTTCTTTGCAGTAATTCGGCCATGAAGGCCTGATTCACACAGTCTCCTCTGAACAGTTGATGTTGAGATGTGTCTGTTACTTGAACTCTGTGAAGCATTTATTTGGGCTGCAATTTCTGAGGCTGGTAACGCTAATGAACTGGCCTTCCATTCCTGTGACGGTCCTCATGAGAGCCAGTTTCATCATAGCGTTTGATGGTTTTTGCGACTGCACTTGAAGAAACTTTCAACGTTTTTGAAATGTTCCGTATTGACTGACCTTCATGTCTTAAAGTAATAATGGACTGTTGTTTCTCTTTGCTTATTTGAGCTATTCTTGCCATAATACCCCCCCCCTACCTTGTCACAACACAACTGATTGGCTCAAACGCATTAAGAAGGAAAGAAATTCCACAAATTAGGGTGACTATTTTGAAGAATCTCAAATATAACATATATTTTGATTTGTTTAACACTTTTTTGGTTACTACATGATTCCATACAGTGGGGAAAAAAAGTATTTAGTCAGCCACCAATTGTGCAAGTTCTCCCACTTAAAAAGATGAGAGAGGCCTGTAATTTTCATCATAGGTACACATCAACTATGACAGACAAAATGAGAAAAAAAATCCAGAAAATCACATTGTAGGATTTTTTATGAATTGATTTGCAGATTATGGTGGAAAATAAGTATTTGGTCAATAACAAAAGTTTCTCAATACTTTGTTATATACCTTTTGTTGGCAATGACACAGGTCAAACGTTTTCTGTAAGTCTTCACAAGGTTTTCACACACTGTTGCTGGTATTTTGGCCCATTCCTCCATGCAGATCTCCTCTAGGGCAGTGATGTTTTGGGGCTGTCGCTGGGCAACACGGACTTTCAACTCCCTCCAAAGATTTTCTATGGGGTTGAGATCTGGAGACTGGCTAGGCCACTCCAGGACCTTGAAATGCTTCTTACGAAGCCACTCCTTCGTTGCCCGGGCGGTGTGTTTGGGATCATTGTCATGCTGAAAGACCCAGTCACGTTTAATCTTTAATGCCATTGCTGATGGAAGGAGGTTTTCACTCAAAATCTCACGATACATGGCCCCATTCATTCTTTCCTTTACACGGATCAGTCGTCCTGGTCCCTTTGCAGAAAAACAGCCCCAAAGCATGATGTTTCCACCCCCATGCTTCACAGTAGGTATGGTGTTATTTGGATGCAACTCAGCATTCTTTGTCCTCCAAACACGACGAGTTGAGTTTTTACCAAAAAGTTCTATTTTGGTTTCATCTGACCATATGACATTCTCCCAATCCTCTTCTGGATCATCCAAATGCACTCTAGCAAACTTCAGACGGGCCTGGACATGTACTGGCTTAAGCAGGGGGACACGTCTTGCACTGCAGGATTTGAGTCCCTGGCGGCGTAGTGTGTTACTGATGGTAGGCTTTGTTACTTTGGTCCCAGCTCTCTGCAGGTCATTCACTAGGTCCCCCCGTGTGGTTCTGGGATTTTTGCTCACCGTTCTTGTGATCATTTTGACCCCACGGGGTGAGATCTTGCGTGGAGCCCCAGATCGAGGGAGATTATCAGTGGTCTTGTATGTCTTCCATTTCCTAATAATTGCTCCCACAGTTGATTTCTTCAAACCAAGCTACTTACCTATTGCAGATTCAGTCTTCCCAGCCTGGTGAGGGTCTACAATTTTGTTTCTGGTGTCCTTTGACAGCTCTTTGGTCTTGGCCATAGTGGAGTTTGGAGTGTGACTGTTTGAGGTTGTGGACAGGTGTCTTTTATACTGATAACAAGTTCAAACAGGTGCCATTAATACAGGTAACGAGTGGAGGACATGTTATTTCATAGTTTTTATGTCTTCACTATTATTGTACAATGTACAAAATATAAAAAATAAAGAAAAACCCTTGAATGAGTAGGTTTGTCCAAACTTTTGACTTGTAGTGTATATATATATTTTTTATTATTATTATTATTTCTGGACATAAAAGACTGTCAAAACACCAACAAATCAGCTCCAAGTGATTTCGATTTTGGAAATCTGTCCCACATTTTCCCCATACATAATAGAGAGATATATGTGATCGTATACAAATGTAAGCAAGGTCTGAAAATATTATGTTTTAGTCAAATATCATATCTGTTTGGGCTTCTTGCGGTTAATTTGCAGTCTACAAATTATTTGTAATTATGTTCCAGACCCCTGACCATCCGCTCAAGAAAAAAATTGCCCCCCGCCTGAATCTAGTTGATGATCCCTGCCTTGTAGTGAGCAACATGAGTCATGATTGAGGCTATTGGTGTACTGGTTGGTTATGTATGGACTGCTAATGGTAATATTCATGAATCTAATGGTTTAAATGGTATCTCTCACTCATGTGTAAACAAAAAACAAATCCCACAACTGACCATTGGCCATAAGAAATTTGGGGATGAGGTCCACATTCCAGTCTCTTCCACGACCCATAGACTCTGGAGGGCTGTCAGGCAGCTCAAAGCGCTTGTACAGCTATGGAAGGAAAATATATGCATGAGTGAAAACATCAATAAAGACTATTACTACTCTAACAAATTGCAAACTATTAACCTGGGGGCAGAAATAAAAGTAAAATACAGGAGAATCAAATATTTGACTTAGACCATAGAGGGTTGGGTGAAACATTGGAATACATGAAATATTATTAAATATTTGAGTAGATATTGACACACAAAATGATGACCATTAGATCCACAATGTTCCCAGCCCTTACCTCTTCCAGAGGGGTGATGGAGGAGCTTTCACCGCCATAGTAGGGGTTCCTGTCCATGTGCAGCACTTTCTTTCCATTCACAGACATGATCCCAGAGAGGATGCATTCCTAAAACAAAAAGAAAAGCAAAATATGAAACAACATTCGTATTGAAAAAGCAATTGTGTGTGTGTTTGTGAGAGAGAGATAGAGATAGATAGAGAGAGAGAGAGTGAGAAAGAAAGACAGTGAGTGTGTGTGTGTGTGTGTTTGTGTGTGTATGTGTGTGTATGTGTGTGTGTGTGTGTGTGTGACAGACAGAGGGGAGGGAGAGTGAGAAAGGAGGGGTGTAGGAGGGAGGGACAAGATGTGTGCACACGTGAGCCGATGGCTCATCCATGTCTCATCCATAATAATAATACTAATAATCCTACTCATAAAAACAAATAATTGTTGTATAAATAAAGAAAATAAACTTGTGGTCTCCATCGTACATCACGTATGATGTCGGCTTTGTCATTGTAAAGTCGGTACACATTTTCCTCGAACAGGGTGCGACAACAGGCGACACGACGAAACATTATACAGTTCTAGGGAGAGGTTCTATTAATTAAAACCGTTCTCAGCCTGCTCAAATGCTGTTCAATGAAGGCCCACTACACCATCACACAGGGGTTACGCCTAAAGAAGCTGCACAACGAATGAAGAATTCATTGACAACACAAATGTATCCAAATAAATAGCCTAGCTATATCGTTTTATTTATTATTCAAAGATATCGTATCAGCTTTGGTACAGATAGGCTATTTATCATCACATTTTCCTAAAGTCAGCCATGGACGCAGATGCTCCTATCGATTGCATTATTGGATGAATAAGGAAACATAGGCAAACTTCATAAATATTAAGTTTACTATGTTACATCACCAAGCAAAGCCTTAATATGAAGCACATAACATGTATTACTTACTGTGAGTCCTGTGCCCAAAACGATCACGTCATATTCCTCATCCATGTTGTATCACCGCCTCTCCTGTCTCGCCCTCTTTTGCCTTGTGAAATTTCAGGGAATTGGCAGGAAAGGAAACCCAGTGGCAGAGCGAACGCAATTTATCTCCGTTACTTTTGAGCAAGTTTATGCCGTTTGTAGTTTGTATTTATTTATTTATAATCAGTTTTAATTGATATGTGGAATATAGTCCACACACTGTCACTGGCGAGAACTCCCAAAGATTGCCCTAACCGTGGAACGCAGTGGAACAGCAACGATACCTTCGCGTCGGAAAGTAGTGCACATCCCTTGCGTCTGCTCCTCACACTACACCCACAGTACAGTCTATGTGAGACAAACAGAAAAATCCCAAACCGCCCCTCCTCACGTTGAAATACTTATGCCATTAAAGCCTTGTGTATTCATAAATAGGCTATGATGTTCCCGGATGTTTTACATTTGTTAATGATCTTCTATTGTCTGATTAGACTTTTAATTTGTATTTCTCCATTCAGTCCTTTTTTTCAATGAGGTGCAGCAATTGCGGATGCAGTGGTATTCCTCCGCCAACACTGCTGTTATGAAAAAGCTCAGAGAGAAGACTATGAAAAGAGTTATGTATTCCATAGACAATTTAGCGTGTGTATAACATCAGTTGTGTGAAGTGTTACATAACATTAATCTTGCTTATGGAGGCATTATGTTGGCAACATTGTGTAGCCTGTTAATCGTTAACAACCTGATTTGGGTGGCATATAAAAGCCATTCATTTTAGCCCTATAGGCTATATCCTCAACATTCGACAGGCATATAAAAGCCATTCATTTTAGCCCTATAGGCTATATCCTCAAGATTCGACACGCCTGAAAATATCCAACTGCCTAGCCTACTTACCGTATGTATAGCCTACCATATGGCCTATTCCATTTGATGGACCGAAAATGAAGGCCGGAAACATGCGCACGCTAGCTATCACTCATATCAGCACCATGGACAGATGCCAGGTTTATTGTTTGAACGTTGACCCCTTCTGACAGGCCACTCAGGTTCAAATTACAGGACCACGGAGAGCGAAACAGGTTTCTCGGAGAATAAAGCGTCCGTTTTACTTTGAAAGTCTCATATCATATTCACCAATATTCTGAGATTAGCCATAAACAGCCTTGCAATTACTTTGTCAGATGTTCACAGATAGACAATTGATACAATCACAGGCCTATACGTCCGCTACGAATCAAATAAACTAACCATAACCTAATGAGATTATATAATGTCACAGATCTTTATCTAATTTAATTAGATTAAATATAGAATATTGTGGTGCTAAATAAATTGCAACAATCAGGCTTTATTGGGCAGTTTTTTTCTTTGCATATTGCAACTTGTGACAATGCTTGGCCCCAAAAACGGTTAACATTGAATTGTGTTATTATTTCCCATCCCTGTAAATAGTTTATAAAAGCTCAATGTGCCCTTTGTAAAGAGATTGGTCTGGGCAGGCTGCGTGAGCAGGAAGTGTTCCATTGACTCACATGACAGTCAGCTGATTTACCCCACGTGACTTGGACTTTACGGAAAAGAAAACCCATCATGGCAGGATCCGAGTCGTCAAGTAAAATGCGTACTATCATGGCCTTTATTGCTCTTTTATTTGCCCTATTATCTTCTGGACATTGTAGCAGTCAAGTACCACTTGTAATGTGGTCCAGTGAAGGGTAAATATGTATTATTAGTTTGAAAGCGATGGGATTTTAGCTAGCATGCTAAACTAGCCATTCCAGCTGAATCGCTATCTAGCCTTGTAGCTATACTCACTTTTATAAGACGTTTAACGTTATCAGGGTAAATGTATTTATCCTTTCTAATAAAATTGGGTCTTAGGTATTGCTAATCATTGCCATGTTAGTTGTTGATATGTGTCCAACTGTGGTAGATGTCTTGTTATTCTATAAATATAAAACTATTTTGTTCATATTTCCAGGTACACCATGCCACCCGTGGTATCTCCATCTGCTGGTCACATACTATCTAATGTCCAGCTGATGTCCTACCTAAACTCTGCTCTGGGGTCTGCCCCACACAACGTGCTGCTCTTCCTACAGGACAAGGTCAGGCCTGAGATAAATCATAATTGTATTCAGTTGTACCATGTAAAATTGTCTACTACTTGGCAAATACTATTTGAAGCTGGATCACATAGTATGCAATGCCAGTTATAGACTGTAATGTCAAAGCTGAATAGCCTACTAGCTAGGACAGCTACAGTACAGTATGCTTTTTCACTGTAATAAGTTACGTTTTTAAAGTCACGTGCACAAGTGCAGTGAAATGCCTTTCTTGCAAGCTCTAAACCCAACAATGCAGTAATCAATAACAATATAATACTAAACATAACATAAGGTACAACAAAAACACACGATAAATAAAAATAAGAAGAACATGAGAAAGTAAGTAAGCTATATACAGGGTCAGTCAATTGCAGTACCATATTAACAATGTGCAGGGATACTGGAGTGATAGAGGTAGACACTAGTGTATAAACCCTTATGTTATACTAGGGAAATTGTTTCCATAGCTAGGGCTGTCTGTGAGGACTTTTGAAGAGTTCACAGTTAGCCATTGTTCACAGTTAGCCATTGTTATGTAAATGCCAGCGGAAAAGTACCAGTGGCCTGTCTTTGGCCCCAAGTGAGAGCAGGTCCGCTCTCACATGGCACAGTGAGACACTGGTGCCGGCCCACGTAGATGGAAACGGACAAGTCTGAGCCTTTTGGGTAAAACACTGGGGTGAATCCTGTATGGAAATGCAATTAAGCCTTGTGATGCCCTGGCCTGGTGTTTCTCACTCTGGTGTGACAATGCGCCACAGTCCCACTTCCCCTTTACTACTTCCCATTCTCAGACCGACCCGTTTTAGATATGTAGTAATAATGAGACTATGTTAAAGGGTTTTAGCTTTTTATATTGTACTGTTTTTAATTAATCTCAAATTCAGAAGCAGATGACACTGACGTTGTTGATATGTGTTATTTATTTTTTTACATAGCTGAGCAAAGATGACTTCACAAGGTATGGAGGAGTTTTTGGAAACAAACAAGACAGTGCCTTTCCCAACCTGGAGGTAAGTATTATATCCTTTGAGGTGAGGCTGGGTATTGAGATACTAATATGATCAGGGCCCATATTCATTTACATTTACATTCTAGTCATTTAGCAGACGCTCTTATCCAGAGCGACTTACAGTTAGTGAATGCATACATTTTCATACTGGCCCCCCGTGGGAAACGAACCCACAACCCTGGCGTTGCAAGCGCCATGCTCTACCAACTGAGCTACAGGGGACTATTTATAAAGCGTCTCAGTGGTGATCTATGATCAGTGGTTCTCAAACCTCTACTCTGGGACCCCAAGACGTTTCACCATGTTGTTGTAGCCCTGAACTAGCTCAACTGATTCACCTATTCAAGGGCATGATGATTAGTTAACAAGTTTAATCAGGTGTGGTAGCTTTGGAATAGATCATACATGGAACAGCTGGGGGTCCCTGAGGAGAGGTTTGAGAACCACTGTTTTAAATCACAATGAATAAAATTACATGGACAGTGGGGATCTAATCCTACATCAGCACTCCTACTTTGAGGTGCTTTAGAAATTCAGACCCAGATGTAGGTTGATAACTAACTTTGACCTTTCTTTCTCTCAGTCTGCATTGCAGTCTTCCCCTTCACCGTTGGTGCTGCCTGCACTATCATGGCTTGATGCTAGTGCAGTCCCAGGTCTTCTACGGGAGAAGCTGGGTGTCTCCCCACTCAGCGTAGACTCAGACACACTGGAGCATCTCCGACTCAATGCATCAGACAACACTCTACTGCTTATCAACCTGCCCTATCCTACTGGGTAATACGGTCCATTGTTTTGGAAAAATACTATTTGATTGATTGGTTCACAATCGTACAGTAACTTAAGCATGTATTGTATATTCATGCACTTTGTTTGTGTTCCAGTGCTTACCCATCCTGTAAGGAAGTCCTGCGTAGCAATGGTAAGTTGAAGTTTTGGCCATTTATTGTTCTTGTCCAGATCGTGTTGTTATTTTATGTATTGGTATTTATGTATTCAATAACTACTTATTTCTGTGACTCAAACGATGTGTCATACAGTATGTCTGAGTGATGCATTTTCCTCTCTTCCCTAGATGAGGTCATTGGTAAGGTTCTGAGCATCATGAAAGCCCAGGGTGTTCCCTACACTGCTATTTACACTGGACTCAAGCCCTCACGAGTAAGTCACTTTAAAATAATCAAACATATGCTTCTTATCTACATGATGTACAGTGAGGGAAAAAAGTATTTGATCCCCTGCTGATTTTGTACGTTTGCCCACTGACAAAGACATGATCAGTCTATAATTTTAATGGTAGGTTTATTTGAACAGTGAGAGACAGAATAACAACAAAAAAATCCAGAAAAAACGCATGTCAAAAATGTTATAAATTGATTTGCATTTTAATGAGAGAAATAAGTATTTGACCCCTCTGCAAAACATGACTTAGTACTTGGTGCCAAAACCCTTGTTGGCAATCACAGAGGTCAGACGTTTCATGTAGTTGGCCACCAGGTTTGCATACATCTCAGGAGGGATTTTGTCCCACTCCTCTTTGCAGATCTTCTCCAAGTCATTAAGGTTTCGAGGCTGACGTTTGGCAACTCGAACCTTCAGCTCCCTCCACAGATTTTCTATGGGATTAAGGTCTGGAGACTGGCTAGGCCACTCCAGGACCTTAATGTGCTTCTTCTTGAGCCACTCCTTTGTTGCCTTGGCCGTGTGTTTTGGGTCATTGTCATGCTGGAATACCCATCCACGACCCATTTTCAATGTCCTGGCTGAAGGAAGGAGGTTCTTACCCAAGATTTGACGGTACATGGCCCCGTCCATCGTCCCTTTGATGCGGTGAAGTTGTCCTGTCCCCTTAGCAGAAAAACACCCCCAAAGCATAATGTTTCCACCTCCATGTTTGACGGTGGGGATGGTGTTCTTGGGGTCATAGGCAGTATTCCTCCTCCTCCAAACACGGCGAGTTGAGTTGATGCCAAAGAGCTCCATTTTGGTCTCATCTGACCACAACACCTTCACCCAGTTCTCCTCTGAATCATTCAGATGTTCATTGGCAATCTTAAGACGGGCATGTATATGTGCTTTCTTGAGCAGGGGGACCTTGCGGGCGCTGCAGGATTTCAGTCCTTCACGGCATAGTGTGTTACCAATTGTTTTCTTGGTGACTATGGTCCCAGCTGCCTTGAGATCATTGACAAGATCCTCCCGTGTAGTTCTGGGCGGATTCCTCACCGTTCTCATGATCATTGCAACTTCACGAGGTGAGATCTTACATGGAGCCCCAGGCCGAGGGAGATTGACAGTTACTTTGTGTTTCTTCCATTTGCGAATAATCGCACCAACTGTTGTCACCTTCTCACCAAGCTGCTTGGTGATGGTCTTGTAGCCCATTCCAGCCTTGTGTAGGTCTACAATCTTGTCCCTGACATCCTTGGAGAGCTCTTTGGTCATGGCCATGGTGGAGAGTTTGTAATCTGATTGATTGATTGCTTCTGTGGACAGGTGTCTTTTAAACAGGTAACAAGCTGAGATTAGGAGCACTCCCTTTAAGAGTGTGCTCCTAATCTCAGCTCGTTACCTGTATAAAAGACACCTGGGAGCCAGAAATCTTTCTCATTGAAAGGGGGTCAAATACTTATTTCCCTCATTAAAATGCAAATCAATTTATAACATTTTTGACATGCGTTTTTCTGGATTTTTCTGTTGTTATTCTGTCTCTCACTGTTCAAATAAACCTACCATTTAAAATTATAGACTGATCATTTCTTTGTCAGTGGGCAAACGTACAAAATCAGCAGGGGATCAAATACTTTTTTCCCTCACTGTATCAGCACGTTTTCAGCATTGTAGTTTCTACTGTCCCCTCACCTGATTTAAAATAAAGTGACGTGGTGTTATTTTGTTATGTTCTACTCACCTTATCAATAAAGTTGTAGTTTTATTGATTTATTATTGTGTTCTACTCACCTTCTTGATCCCTAGGTGATTGAGGAGAAATCCATGGTTGGCCAGTCTTCTATAGGCCGGTCCTTGCTGCAGACGGTTGTCAATGAGGTCAAACCTCCTTTGACGTTTAACACTACTAATGGCCCTTGCATCATGCTCTGGGCCCAGAATCTCAACGTCAGCTTTAATAACCAGGAATGGATTGACCTTGGTCCATTGACCTTTGCTCCAGGTGGCTCTGTGAGCACGGCTAGGGTCCTTCTGTAATGGAACAAACTCACAGTGAGCCTGATACTCTTTTTACTATGACATGACACTTTTTATTATGTACTACATAGTATAGTCCCACTGGTTGATTAGTGTCTTATGGTACAAGTGTTACATCTCTTAGCACTATCAAATTACCCAATTGTGTGTTGACTTGATACATTGGGATTTGTTTATTGGTGACATTATTACTATTATGCTATACAATAATGGCGGATTTTTTGAATCCAACGTGTGCTTGTCTTTCTCAGGCTTGTCCTTGATTATGGAAGTTCTGTTCCAACGTACAACCCCTTCCGTCTCATGTAAGTATTATAATGTAGTTTTATCATGATAATACGCAAAACAAGTATTATAAAAGATTACGCTAACAAAGTGCAGAGCGTCAGTTCCTATGAAAATACACCACCTTGCTCCTGCATGTATCGATCTGCTCAATGTATAAACAATTAATTCCTGTACATTCTCACTCCTATATTAAGCGTGAGGTTACACACATTTAGATGTGTCTTGTTATATATTATAAACTGGGTGGTTCGCGCCCTGAAAGCTGATTGGCTGAAATCATTTATTTGTACTGCTCTAATTGCATTGGTAACCAGTTTATAATAGCAATAAGGCACCTCAGGGGTTTGTGGTATATATATATACCAAGGCTAAGGGCTGTATCCATGCACGACGTGATGCAGAGTGCCTGGATACAGCCCTTAGCCGTGGTATATTGGCAATATACCACAAACCCCCAAGGTGCCTTATTGCTTAATTAAAGCATGACACTCACCAAGTCTCATCTTCTCCAGCTTCTCCATGAGCCAGCGGCGCTACCCTGTATCTGCACGAAACTGGTTCACCCTGGACACAGTGGAACTGCTATTCAATGCCGATACAGCCGTCTACAATGGCAGCCGGGGCATCTATGCCCCCGCAGAGTACTCTTTCCACTGCCAGAATGTCAACAACTTCCGTAATGCACTGCTTGTGCCCCGCACTCAGAATGCTACCCAGTGGAGGATCCTCTTCACTGACTTCCAGGTACTGATGCATGAATGTCAGAAAAGAAAGAGCCTTTCAATAAGCAGTGTTCTAGAGGGTTCTTTGAACAAAAAGTGTTCAGTCTCTACTCTCTAATTCATTGTTACTAATTTAGCTTATGTCTGTTTCCCCTCATTCCCCATCTAGATCCAAGGCTTCAGTATACTGAACAGAACAACAGATTTCTCCTATGCCAGTGACTGTGCTGGCTTCTTCACACCAGGGATCTGGATGGGCCTGATCACCTCTCTGCTGATGCTGCTAATCCTCACCTACGGCCTGCACATGATCATGCAGCTACGCTCCATGGACCGCTTTGATGACCCTAAAGGCCCCTCAATCTCCGTGCCTCAGTCGGAGTAATGAAGACAAGAGAACGCCCCCGAGCTTGGTCCCAGATCTGTTTGTGCTGTCTTTCCTTACCCCTATGGTAATTATCGTGTGACGTTGACCATGTGACAATGTGAGTTGGCAAGACAATACAAACAGATCTGGAACCAGGCAAACCCCTTCACTCCCCTAACTTATGTTCCATCCACTTTGATTTGCTCATGAGTTGTTCAATATATTATGTTGTCATTTGCTTACTTGCTTTAGCCACCTCCACCCCTGTTCTCTGATTGTCAGCATTGAGCATTCCCATCCTCTTAGCCTTTATCAAATCACATTTTATTTGTCACATGCTTCGTAAACAACAGGTGTAGACTAACAGTGAAATGCTTTCTTATGGGCCCTTCCCAACAATGCAACAGTAGCGGCACCTTATGTGATGAGTCAAAACAGTTAGTTCAAAAAGGGTCAATGCACATAGTCCGGGTAGCTGTTGGTTAACAATTTAACAAACCATTTACAGTCTTATGGCTTGCGGGTAGAAGCTGTTCAGGGTCCTGTTGGTTCCAGACTTGGTACATCGGTACCGCTTGCCGTGCGGTAGCAGAGAGAACAGTCTATGACTTGGTGGCTGGAGTTTGACAATTTTTTGGGCCTTTCCCTGACACAGCCTGTGTTCCTCTGACACCATCCATGTGTTTCTATGTCGGTGTTACCCTTTTGTCTTGCAAGGTGGTACATTCCATAGCCTCTCTCCTAACCTAGACTTGCCCAAAGGAAACTGCATGATGTACTGTCAATACTCCCCTTTTGCCTTGATACCTTCTCGGATCACGCATGTGCCAATGAGTCAATGAGTGCCAATTAAGGGTTGATTGTTTATACAAGTAATACCGATGATCGTCAGAGAGAAGCTTTTGTTGCCAATTTAATGAATGTGATTGTAGCATGTTGGGGGACTGATTTATTTGTATTTCGCTTGCCTTGTTTGTAAGTTTCTCAGCTGTGTAATTTAAAGACTAATAATAATAATGAAAGAATTGCATGTATATATGAAGGTGAATGTATGTGTGCAGACTTATGCTATTGACAATGCCTACCCTAAATATTGCTGTTGGAAATGCCAGTGGGATGTCTTTGAGATCACAGAATGCTGTGCAAATTATGTTTTGTATCACTTCCAAAAAGACAGTTCTGCTCAACAATGCTGGCCTGTTTTTTTTAAATTATTGACATCTGTAAAGTTATGCTGAAATTACATGAAATGTCAACTATCAGGGACCTTCATGACCCTACACATACAGTACCAAATGTATGCTCAAATCCAATGCTTTGCCATCATGAAGCGACTAATGTAATTTATTAAAAAGAAAAAAATTGCCTCTTAAACACTATCCTTTAAGGCCCAGTGGAGTCAATAACGTTTTTCCTGTATTTTATGTATATATCCACTATGAGGTTGGAATAATACTGAAATAATACATGCCCTTTTAGTGTAAGTGCTGTTTAAAAAGACTGCCTGAAATTTCAGCCTGTTTTGGTGGGATGTAGTTTTGGCCTGTCTGATGTCATTAGTTAATGACCAATAAAGAGAAAAAGAGAGTTCCAAACCTCTGCCAATAGCAGCTAGTTTTCAGTTTCCCCTCCCAACTCAGAACATCCTATTCTTGCTTGAGAAATTACTCTTTGCTAAGAAGATACATTTTTATTCTTTTTGACTTAATTGTTACCTTAACATGATTTCATATTGAGATAAAAACGGCTGCATTGGTAGTTTAAAATGTCCCACAACCTTGGCTTAAACAGGTGTAACCGTTTTTTTATTTGTCTGGTCACACTGTCCAAACATTGCCTCCAAAGAACATCTTTTTTATTGTAATTATCATCATGAATATTGCATTACGGTCACATTATTAAATTGCAAAAGTAAATTAAACAAGTTCATTCTCATTCGTTGAAAGTGGAGAACAGAGTAGCCAATCATGTCAACCTGAAGTTTCCAGCCAAATACTTGCATAATTTACACGCATCCATCATGTCAAAAATAACCTGTTTTGACTTTTCGTAGCAGGTTATAGCAGGTTAGGAGAATTTACGCAGCAGGTTAGTAGAAGGTTAAGAAAAGGGTTAACCCCCCCCCCCCCAATTAAAAAAAAATAATAATATATATATATACCTTTCACGTTAATTTGACAAAAGCTGGATCGTTTCTATACCCATCCAGCCACCTGGTTACCATCGTTACCGGGTAAGAAGGTAAACAAAAGGAAGAGGGAACATGGCGGCGCGGGATGCAGGTGAGATTATTAGCAACCACCCATTCCGATTTTTTTATGTGTCGCAGTTTTTATCTATTAGCGTCAATAAAAAATGTCCAATCTTATCTTTGAATGTAAAGCTTCCCTGCGGAGCGTTGCGTTTGGCAGCTGCCAGGAACGGAAGTTGTTTCCGACCCACTGTGCACCTAACTGGCTGGGCAATAAACTGTCACTGGAGGGAGCCCCACACCGTGGCCCCGGCTGCTATGATAATCATGTGAGTTTTTCCGAGTAGCCTACTGTTATGTTCTTTCAACGACCTTCTATCCATACACTTCATAAAGATCTGTTATCCTGTTGATCTCAAATAAACCAATTCGGTTGTTTTCCGCATTGTAATAAATAGTACATTGCAGAAGCTACTCAAACAGCCAGTTCAAATAATATTAGGATCTCCTTACCTTCTCCGGTGAGGTTTTCCATGTTGGTCATTGTTCCAACAGGTTGGCACCATTCTGTATGATGTACAGAAGAGACCTGAGAGTAAGAAAGGATACACTCTTGCTGCAAGGACTTCTGCACGGTTTCTGCCCTTTGCTCAGGTATGATGTTAAAGCCTTATGAGAATATGCATGATTTATGTTGATAGCAACCTGTTTTGAAAAAACCTGAACATTTATCTAATGAAGTGAGAAATTAGTCAACCTATTGGCATGACATTGAAAGCAATTTTAAATATATATATATGTAAAGCTTACTTCTGTTTTTAGGTCTCTGAATATCCTTCTCTCATGAAATGTTTTCCTCCAACCACCCAGACAATCACTCCTTCCCCTCAGAGGTATCAGCAGGACAGAACCTGGTCTAAAGTGTACCCTCCTGGCAGAATCCCCTTCAGCTCCACCACACAGAGGTTCAGGACCAAGCCTGTTACAGCTGACTCCAACCCAGGGTGAGTGAATGCTACTGGAGTGGCACCCTTTCCAAACTGTCCATAATAGGAAAACACTGATTATCTATTGCAGGGGTATTCAACTCTTACCCTACTAGGCCCGGAGCCTGCTGCTTTTCTGTTCTATCTGATAATTAATTGCACCCACCTGGTGTCCCAGGTCTAAATCAAATCAAATCAAATGGTATTTGTCACATGCGCCGAATACAACCGGTGTAGACCTTACAGTGAAATACTTACTTACAAGCCCTTAACCAACAATAGTTTTAAGAAAGAATACCCCCAAAAATAAATAGATAAAAGTAACAAATAATTAAAGAGCAGCAGAAAAATAACAATAGTAAAATAACAATAGCGAGGCTATATACAGGGGGTACCGGCACAGAGTCAATGTGCGGGGGCACCGGTTAGTCGAGGTAATTTAGGTAATATGTACACTACCAGTCAAAAGTTTGGACACACCAACTCATTCATAGGTTTTTCTTTATTTTTACAATAAACAGGTGTGCCTTCTTAAAAGTTAATTTGTGGAATTGATTTCCTTCTTAATGCATTTGAGCCAATCAGAAGATAGCCCTATTTGGTAAAAGACCAAGTCCATATTATTGGCAAGAACAGCTCAAATAAGCAAAGACAAACGACAGTCCATCATTACTTTAAGACATGAAGGTCAGTCAATACGGAACATTTCAAGAACTTTGAAAGTTTCTTCAAGTGCAGTTGCAAAAACCATCAAGCGCTATGATGAAACTGGCTCTCATGAGGACCGCCACAGGAAAGGGAGACCCAGAGTTAACTCGGCTGCAGAGAATAAGTTCATTAGAGTTACCAGCCTCAGAAATTGCAGCCCAAATAAACAGACACATCTCAACATCAACTGTTCAGAGGGGACTGTGTGAATCAGGCCTTCATGGTCGAATTGCTGCAAAGAAACCACTACTAGCCCCCCGTGTAGCTCAGTTGGTAGAGCATGGCGCTTGCAACGCCAGGGTTGTGGGTTCGATTCACACGGGGGGCCAGTATGAAAATGTATGCACTCACTAACTGTAAGTCGCTCTGGATAAGAGCGTCTGCTAAATGACTAAAATGTTAAGGACACCAATAAGAAGAAGAGACCTGCTTGGGCCAAGAAACACGAGCAGTGGACATTAGACCGGTGGAAATGTGTCCTTTGGTCTGGAGTCCAAATTGGAAATGTTTGGTTCAAACCGCGTGTGTGGGTGAACAGGTGATCTCCATATGTGTATTTCCCACCGTAAAGCATGGAGGTGTTATGGTGTGGGGGTGCTTTGCTGGTGACACTCTGTGATTTATTTAGAATTCAAGGCACACTTAACCAGCATGGCTACCACAGCATTCTGCAGCGGTACGCCATCCCATCTGGTTTGGGCTTAGTGGGACTATCATTTGTTTTTCAACAGGACAATGGCCCAACGCACCTCCAGGATGTGTAAGGGCTATTTTACCAAGAAGGAGAGTGATGGAGTGCTGCATCAGATGACCTGGCCTCCACAATCCCCCGACCTCAACCCAATTGAGATGGTTTGGGATGAGTCGGACGGCAGAGTGAAGGAAAAGCAGCCAACAAGTGCTCAGCATATATGGGAACTCCTTCAGACTGTTGGAAAAGCATTCCAGGTGAAGTTGGTTGAGAGAATGCCAAGAGTGTGCAAAGCTGTCATCAAGGCAAAGGGTGGTTTTTGGTTACTACATGATTCCAATTTGCTTACCGCCCCAATAGATCGACAGACGATGCAATCGCCATCACACTGCACACTGCCCTATCCCATCTGGACAAGAGGAATATCTATGTAAGAATGCTGTTCATTGACTGTAGCTCAGCATTCAACACCATAGTACCCTCCAAGCTCATCATCAAGCTCGAGGCCCTGGGTCTCAACCCCGCCCTGTGCAATTGGGTCCTGGACTTCCTGACGCTGATCCTCAACACTGGGGCCCCACAAGGGTCCATGCTCAGACCCCTCCTGTGCTCCCTGTTCACCCATGACTGCGTGGCCAAGCACGCCTCCAACTCAATCATCATCAATCGACGGGACCGCAGTGGAGAAGGTGGAAAGCTTCAAGTTCCTTGGCGTACACATCACCGACAAACTGAAATGGTCCACCCACGCAGACAGTGTGGTGAAGAAGGCGCAACAGAGCCTCTTCAACCTCAGGAGGCTGAAGAAATTCGGCTTGGCACCTAAAACCCTCACAAACCTTTACATATGCACAATTGAGAGCATCCTGTCGGGCTGTATCACCACCTGGTATGGCAACTGCACCGCCCGCAACCGCAGGGCTCTCCAGAGGGTGGTGCGGTCTGCCGAACGCATTATCGGGGGCAAACTACCCGCCCTCCAAGACACATACAGCACCCGATGTCACAGGAAGGCCAAAAAGATAATCAATGACATCAACCACCCGAGCCACTGCCTGTTCACCCCGCTATCATCCAGAAGGCGAGGTCAGTACAGGTGCATCAAAGCTGGGACCGAGAGAATGAAAAACAGCTTCTATCTCAAGGCCATCAGACTGTTTAATAGCCATCACTAGCACATTAGAGGCTGCTGCTGCCTATTGAAATCACTGGCCAGAAATGGAACACTAGTCACTTTAATAATGTTTACAGTCACTTTAATAATGTTTACAGTCACTTTAATAATGTTTACATATCGTGCACTACTCATCTCATATGTATATACTGTATTCTATTCTATAATATTCTACCGTATCTTAGTCCATGCCGCTCTGTCATTGCTTATCCATATATGTATATTTTCTTAAATTCCATTCCTTACTAGTTTTGTGTGTATTAGGTATATGTTGTGAAATTGTTAGATATTAATTGTTAGATATTACTGCACTGTCGGAGCTAGAAGCACAAGCATTTCGCTACACCCACTATAACATCTGCTAAACACGTGTATGTGACAAATAAAATTTGATTTTATGTGTTATTTCATAGTTTTGATGTCTTCACTATTATTCTACAATGTAAAAAATAGTAAAAATAAAGAAAAACCCTTGAATGAGTACGTGTGTCCAAACTTTTGACTGGTACTGTACATGTAGGTAGAGTTATTAAAGTGACTATGCATAGATAAAACAAAGAGTAGCAGGAGCGTAAAGGGGGGTGGAGGGGCAATGCAAATAGTCTGGGTAGCCATTTTTATTAGATGTTCAGGAGTCTTATGGCTTGGGGGTAGAAGCTGTTTAGAAGCCTCCTGGACCTAGACTTGGTGCTCCGGTACCGCTTGCCGTGCGGTAGCAGAGAGAACAGTCTATGACTAGGGTGGTTGGAGTCTTTGACGATTTGTAGGGCCTTCCTCTGACACCGCCTGGTATAGAGGTCCTGGATGGCAGGAAACTTGGCCCCAGTGATGTACTGGGCCGTACGCACTACCCTCTGTAGTGCCTTGCGGTCGGAGGCCGAGCAGTTGCCATTCCAGGCAGTGATGCAACCAGTCAGGATGCTCTCGATGGTGCAGCTGTAGAACCTTTTGAGTATCTGAGACCCTGATTAGAGGGGAACAATGAAAAAAGGTTGAGGTTGGAGGGATATTGTATCAATGTTTACATTTACATTTACGTCATTTAGCAGACGCTCTTATCCAGAGCGACTTACAAATTGGTGCATTCACCTTATAGCCAGTGGGATAACCACTTTACAATATGTTTTTATTTTTTATTTTATTTATTTATTTTTTCTTTGGGGTGGGGTAAGGGGGGGTAGAAGGATTACTTTATCCTATCCCAGGTATTCCTTAAAGAGGTGGGGTTTCAAGTGTCTCCGGAAGGTGGTGAGTGACTCCGCTGTCCTGGCATCGTGAGGGAGCTTGTTCCACCATTGGGAGTGCCAGAGCAGCGAACAGTTTTGACTGGGCTGAGCGGGAACTGTGCTTCCGCAGAGGTAGGGGGGCCAGCAGGCCAGAGGTGGATGAACGCAATGCCCTCGTTTGGGTGTAGGGACTGATCAGAGCCTGAAGGTACGGAGGTGCTGTTCCCCTCACAGCTCCGTAGGCAAGCACCATGGTCTTGTAGCAGATGCGAGCTTCAACTGGAAGCCAGTGGAGTATGCGGAGGAGCAGGGGTGACGTGAGAGAACTTGGGAAGGTTGAACACCAGACGGGCTGCGGCATTCTGGATGAGTTGTAGGGGTTTAATGGCACAGGCAGGGAGCCCAGCCAACAGCGAGTTGCAGTAATCCAGACAGGGAGATGACAAGTGCCTGGATTAGGACCTGTGCCGCTTCCTGTGTAAGGCAGGGTCGTACTCTCCGAATGTTGTAGAGCATGAACCTACAGGATCGGGTCACCGCCTTGATGTTAGCGGAGAACAACAGGGTGTTGTCCAGGGTCACGCCAAGGCTCTTCGCACTCTGGGAGGAGGACACAACGGAGTTGTCAACCGTGATGGCGAGATCATGGAACGGGCAGTCCTTCCCCGGGAGGAAGAGCAGCTCCGTCTTGCCGAGGTTCAGCTTGAGGTGGTGATCCGTCATCCACACTGATATGTCTGCCAGACATGCAGAGATGCGATTCGCCACCTGGTTATCAGAAGGGGGAAAGGAGAAGATTAGTTGTGTGTTGTCTGCGTAGCAATGATAGGAGAGGCCATGTGAGGATATGACAGAGCCAAGTGACTTGGTGTATAGTGAGAATAGGAGAGGGCCTAGAACTGAGCCCTGGGGGACACCAGTGGTGAGAGCACGTGGTGCGGAGACAGATTCTCGCCACGCCACTTGGTAGGAGCGACCGGTCAGGTTGGACGCAATCCAAGAGTGAGCCGCACCGGAGATTCCCAACTCGGAGAGGGTGGAGAGGAGGATCTGATGGTTCACATTATCAAAGGCAGCAGACAGGTCTAGAGGACAAGAGCAGAGGAGAGAGAGTTAGCTTTAGCAGTGCGGAGAGCCTCTGTGACACAGAGAAGAGCAGTCTCAGTTGAATGACCAGTCTTGAAACCTGACTGGTTTGGATCAAGAAGGTCATTCTGAGAGAGATAGCAAGAGAGTTGGCTAAAGACGGCACTCTCAAGAGTTTTGGAGAGAAAAGAAAGAAGGGATACTGGTCTGTAGTTGTTGACATCGGAGGGATCGAGTGTTGGTTTTTTGAGAAGGGGTGCAACTCTCGCTCTCTTGAAGACGGAAGGGACATAGCTAGCGGTCAAGGATGAGTTGATGAGCGAGGTGAGGTAAGGGAGAAGGTCACCGGAGATGGTCTGGAGAAGAGAGGAGGGGATAGGGTCAAGCGGCAGGTTGTTGGGTGGCCGGCCGTCACAAGTCGCAAGATTTCATCTGGAGAGAGAGGGGAGAAAGAAGTCAAAGCATAGGGTAGGGCAGTGTGAGCAGGACCAGCAGTGTCATTTGACTTAACAAACGAGGATCGGATGTCGTCAACCTTCTTTTCAAAATGGTTGACGAAGTCATCCACAGAGAGGGAGGGGGGAGGGGGGGGGATTCAGCAGGGAGGAGAAGGTGGCAAAGAGCTTCCTAGGGTTAGAGGCAGATGCTTGGAATTTAGAGTGTATTGCATGTATCAATCTTCAAATAGATTGACTACTAACAGCTGTTTTTATGATGCAGCTCTGGGACATATGCTCATGATACTACTCGAAACCGGAAGGTGTCATGGCCTATGAAATTTGGTTCCCCAGACTGGGGTAGACTGCCCACATTAGAGAGGAAAGCCTTGAGGACAGAGGTGGGTTTATAAGTTTGACTTTGCGTTACTATACAAAGTAATATGGAGATGTAACTGTATACTGGTATTGTCAGCAATAACATCTGTTTAATTTTTGTCTTACATAGCTGCTTTGTGACAAGGAGTTTGCGAAGCAAAGGAGTCGGGTGGCATATCTACAGTTGTTCTACTCCTGACTCTTCTGGAGGTCAATCTGATGTAAGCATAAATAAAGTGCTTTTATTTCTCAATTTTAATTTTGTCTCACTATTGACCAATCTCTCGAGGTATATGAAGTGGGGAGTGAAGTTGCCCAATTTTTGCCCTCATGTACGCTGAACAAAAATATAAATGTAACATGCAACAATTTCAAACATTTTACTGAGTTACAGTTCATATAAGGAAATCAATCAATTAAAAAAAATTCATTAGGCCCTAATCTATGGATTTCACGACTGGGAATACAGATATGCATCTGTTGGTCACAGATACCTTAAAAAAGGTAGGGCCATGGATCAGAAAACCAGTCAGTATCTGGTGTGACCACCATTTGCCTCACGCTGCGCGACACATCTCCTTCGCATGGAGTTGATCAGGCTGTTGATTGTGGCTGTGGAATGTTACCCCACTCCTCTTCAATGGCAGTGCGAAGTTGCTGGATATTGGCGGGAACTAGAACATGCTGTCGTACACGTCGATCCAGAGCATCCCAAACATGCTCAATGGGTGACATGTCTGGTGAGTATGCAGGCCATGGAAGAACTGGGACATTTTCAGCTTCCAGGAATTGTGTACAGATCCTTGCGACATGGAGCTGTGCATCATTCATGCTGAAACATAAGGTGATGGCGGCGGATGAATGGCATGACAATGGGCCTCAGGATCTCGTCACGGTGTTCGTTGTCCGTAGATTATGCCTGCCCATACCATAACCCCACCACCACCACCATGTGGCACTCTGTTCACAACATTGACATCAACAAACCGCTCGCCCACACAATGCCATACATGCTGTCTGCCATCTGCCCGGGAAGAGCACACTTTTCCAGCGTGCCAGTGGCCATCGAAGTCGATTACGACGCCGAACTGCAGTCAGGCCAAGACCCTGGTGAAGATGACGAGCACACAGATGAGCTTCCCTGAGACTGTTTCTGACAGTTTGTGCAGAAATTATTGGGTTGTGCAAACACAGTTTCATCAGCTGTCCGGGTGGATGGTGTCAGATGATCCCCCAAGTGAAGAAGCCGGAGGTGGAGGTCCTGGGCTGGCGTGGTTACACGTGGTCTGCGGTTGTGAGGCCGGTTGGATGTACTGCCAAATTCTCTAAAACGACATTGGAGGCAGCTTATGGTAGAGAAATGAACATTCAATTCTCTGGCAACAGCTCTGGTGGACAGTCCTGCAGTCAGCATTCCAATTGCTTGCTCCCTCAAAACTTGAGACATTTGTGGCATTGTGTTGTGACAAAACTGCACATTTTAGAGTGGCCTTTTATTGTCCCCAGCACAAGGTGCACCTGTGTAATGATCATGCTGTTTACTCAGCTTCTTGATATGCCACACCTGTCAGGTGGATGGATTATATTGACAAAGGAGAAATGCTCACTAATAAGGATGTGAACACATTTGTGCACCAAATTTGAGAGAAATAAGCTTTTTGTGCGTATGGAAAATGTCTGGGTTGTTCTATTTCTGATCATGAAACATGGGACCAACAAGTTACATGTTGCATTTATATTTTTGTTCAGTGTATATTTGGGTAAATGAAAGGTTTTCATGTTAAAATACAAATCAAAACATGTTTCCTGCTCATTATTCACAAATGATTTTAATCATCATTTGGAAATGGGTAAAAATAAATAACATCACATTTTAGCAAATGTTCCAACCATTCCACAAATGTGAAAAATATGAATTGCAAAATGTCTGTTTGCTCATTAATGTACTTGTGAAGGATGTCATAATGAGCAGTATTTGCCATGTAGAAAGTTGAGAGGTTGGAGTCCCTGACCCCAGATTTCCACGTGGGTCCACTTCTCAGAGGCACAGAGCTGTTGACTGCTTCTTACGATTCACCCTTCGTTGTGGCTAACAGATTAAGTCCAAATTAGTGCTACGTGTAGTAGCTCTCACTTCTTCCTCCTCACTTTGGGTTTCTTGACCGGCCTCAGGTATGGGTTGTCAATCATGTTTTCTTCACTGACCTTCATCAAGGGAACCACGCCCCCAGGGGGCAGCACAGAATTCTCCTTATCAGCTCCAGGATCATCCTACATTTGATGAAAGGCATAGATGAGAAAAACAAACTTAATTTAAAAAATATGTATTTTTGTAAATTAATAAGTAGCAATCAACACCAGGTACATTTTAATATAGATTTGCTCTTAACAATGAATGGCTTTGTAACACCCTCATTAGGAGGGCCTTGATTTTTCTAATGAAAAGTTATTTCTGTATAGGCCTACCACATTGCACTGCAGATTATAAAGAATCGGGGTTAAATATTTCCCTTGGCCCATGTCCCTGACTCACATTGAGGTTGTTGCCTGGCGTGTTCTCGCTGTCGGTCTGGTCGTCCTGTTCAGAGGAGTCTGTCTCCTCCAGAGTCTGCAGCTCCAGTTCTGAGGGCAGCAAGGCACTGAGGTACGGGATGGAGCTTGGCCGCGCTGCGATCACTGGCAATCACAATCACAAAGGCATCAGTATTATTACATATGTAAACACAGGTATCCAACACTCTCTCGTAGGAAATAAGATCAGCGGGAACAGTAAACTTCTGTTCCATATTAGAAGCATCTTTGTGCAGATTATGCAAAACTGAAGGGAAATTTTTTCAAATTCAACAGCATGAATGAGAATCATGCTTGACAACAACAACGAGCACTCGCTCACATGGGAAGGCAGTGACATCATCCTTGAAGAGGCTCTGTGTTTCTCAGGTCTTGGCCATGAAGCATGTGAGTGCTCGCTCTACATCCCTTTTCTGAGAAGCTGCCTTCTCTCGCACCACCTGGTAATCTGACACAGGCCCCCGAAACGTCTGACAGAAAGGAAACTCACTCATTTATTCATCTTAAAAATCTTTTCACTAGACTACTGGAAAAAGTTTAAAAGTGTATAAATACTAAGTCAAGTATGTGTCTGGCTGGGAAAACTGTAAGAAGTGTGGTTGACTCACTGGAGTCTTGATGTAGGTGTGAGGATCGGGGAACTCGGGGAAGTGGCTGGGGATGTGGGAGGGATGAGTGCGTTTCTGTCCAGCGATCAAGGCCTTTGGGATCACAGGAGCATTTGTCACTGGAGCTGAAAAATACACAGATGGTCAGTTAAGCGTCATACCTACTTTCATTCTAGGACCAGTTACCAGCTTGCTCTGTAGTGTTCTTGTGTTTTGTGCTCAGTTCTAGTCTAAATGCCACCCTCCTGAGGGTCTACTAACAGTAAAGACTCACAAGCAGTTATAACCATCCTCTGTGATCTCTTGGCATACCCTGGCAGAGTGTCGACATTGAATCCTGTGGTGGTACGTGAAACAAATAAGTGAATGAAGGCAAATTAAATTGAGATTTCATATTCAACCTGTATTTCTTTTGCATCTTTCCTTAGGTTAAACTAACCCATTTCAATGAGTGTGACCACAGCGTCAGCGAGGGTGGGTGTGATTCGGGCTGTGTGTTCACAGTATGCCTTGGCACAACGACCTACTTCAGATATGTCTGAAAAAGTACAGGGAATAGACACAGATGAGAGGTCAGCAATACAGACAATTGTGGTGATTTCACTTATAATATAATATAATATAATATGCCATTTAGCAGACGCTTTTATCCAAAGCGACTTACAGTCATGTGCGCATACATTTTTACGTATGGGTGGTCCCGGGGATTGAACCCACTGCCCTGGCGTTACAAACGCCATGCTCTACCAATTGAGCAACAGTTTAATTCAAGCCAGCAAAGGGTTATTAGTTTAATCCCAAACTCAAAACATGTATGAATTACATCAAAACACAATGGTTACATACAGCTCTGGATAATCTCAGTGATTCCACGGCAGCCTTCTCTGCACTCTCAAACCCACACTGTCAGCAGAGAGCTCACCACCACTTGGAGGGTGCGACGCCTTGCAAGCTGGTAGTTCTCTGTCAGGCTGGACGTCGCCTTACCACCCCCTGAACGCTGTAAAACATTGAGATGTCAGTGAGAAAACACTTTCTCTCATGGTTAGCCAACTAGCTACCTACACGTTAACACAGCATTATTGACAACGAAGCCAGTATGCAAATGCTTGTGAACAGCAAGTCAACAACATTCGTTTAAACTTAACTACTGTCAAGTTGCGTCAATTCAAATCTGGTATAGGAACAAAAAGAGGTCAATACACGTCTTCTAAAATAGACTAGTATTTAAATTAATGCAAACACTTGAATGGTAAATATGATGTTCGTATATACGGGCCCACTGAAAAACCACGCAGGGCAGTCAGAGAACTGCGCCATTGTTATAAGTTCTTCTTTAAATACTCTGACAGAGATAGTTCCCGCTCCCTGCTGGGCCTGTCAGAGTAGAGGCTGGGTGTGGTTTAAACTTACCCAACCTATCGATGGCGCACAGGCTGGTCCCAGCCCCTTGGCGCTTCACTGTTGCCAGGCATTAGTTGTTATCTTTACAACTTGTCTCGAGTCAGCAACCTCAGACATAGTTTGTCCTTCTTTGTAGCAGAACACATGTCCTTGAGCAGTTTAACAAAGAGGCTGTGTGTGTGAGTCACAAGCCTGTCTCAGCCTACCCCCTAACGGTTCCTCACATTAATCACAGCTTGTTATGTTAAACAATCTATATCAGTACAGCACAAACCTATTATGTTTAATCATTAATGTATTCTTTCTAAGCTAGGCATCACATCTAGTTATAAGAAAATAGATCCCCACACTACCTAACGTTAAATAGCTAATGGATTTCATTTGATGAGGCAAAACTCTGGAAAAATGTCTAGTGTATTTTAATGTGCTACTTTAATTTGATTTACAATCATTGTAGTTAGCTAATGTTATTTCGACAAGCCAGCCTGATAGCTAACGTTACATATGACAACTTTTTTACCCCTACTACGGCACTGAATCCGCCCGCCATCTGCACGGTAGGTTGTTTATTTGTTCCCAAATAGTTATTTAACAAAGTTACATCTTTCTGACAAAAAAATATCTATGCACACTACAGCCAGAAAAACAGTACTGACATCATTTCCGGTAGGACAGGCCGTTTCCGCTTCTGAGATAGATTTGCCGCCATTTACTGCATGAACTGTGTAAAAGCTAGTATTTGTGAGAAATAACTCTGTGGCATATTGCATAAACGAGGCTCAGTAAAATGCTTCATTCAAGATCATTATGAAGGCTTGTGAATGTGAGTTAAACCTTAGTTCAACTTCAAGTCTTTCAATATTGTATGACACTTTTGTCCTCTTTATTGTTACACCAATTAATGAGCATTTCAGCATTCCTGGCCCTTTTCAATATGTGCATCCTCTGAAACCCAGAGCAGCCTACTAATACCTTATTCTTCTCTTCTATAATATTATGGCAGTCCATAACTAGTAACACCTGTTAGTCACAATTATGTATATAAACCCTGGATTGCTGATGAGAGGCTTTGAAGCCATCAGCCGCAATATTGGTCTTCAGAAGGAGCAGTCCTCCATAGGAATGAATAGAATTCTACAGTATTTCAATTAAATGTATTTATTTATTGTAGTGGAGTCAGTAACATCAGTATTCTCAACAAACAAAAAAACTCCTTTATTTTTTGTTTTTATGTTCAGTTCACATAATACAATTTAAATGTATCTCATTATGGTATGTGATTAAATATGTATAGCCAGTTATAATTGTAATGGCTTAGTAGATAATAACAAAAGAATAACAATATTTACATGACTCAAAGAGAAGGAATATAATGTCTATTGTTTACAGGAAACTCATTCAACAATTCTAGATGAAGTTGCGTGGAAAAAGGAATGGGGTGGGGGGGTGGGGGGCGAAATATACTTCTCCCATGGGCAAAGAAATTAAAATGGGTGATGATATTAATTAACAGTAATTTCGATTCGAATGTGCAAATTGTCCAAACAGATCCGCAAGGTAGATGGATTATTTTAAATATGTTATAAACGGATATGGCTCATTAACCTTTACGGACCAAATAATGATGATCCACACTTCTTTGACAATATATATAATAAATCATCAACCCTGCAAGCAATACAAGACTCTATTATTATGGTGGAAGATTATAATACTGTTTTAAATAGCTCAATGGACCGTAAAGGAAATCACACTACAAACTATCACCCTCATGCTCTTAAGGAAATTGTGCATGTCATGGATACATTAGAACTAGTAGATATATGGAGGCTTAAATATCCTGATCTAGTGAAATATACATGGCGGAGACTCAATCAAGCTAGTCGTCTTGACTTCTATCTTATGTCATTCTCGTTGGCACCAAAAGTTTAAAAAGTGTTGATAAGAACAGAATGCGGTCGGACCATCATATAATTGGCATATACATTACTCTTACTGAATTTCCACGTGGGCGAGGATATTGGAAATGTAATCAAAGCCTATTGGATGATAATTTGTTTTTAACTAGGACAGAGGAATTTATAACATAACATAGGTACAGCAAATCCCCTTATTGTATGGGACACATTTAAATGTGCCTTTAGAGGCCATGCAATTCAGTACTCATCTCGAAAACAAAAGCAATTTAGGTCAAAAGAGTCCATACTAACAAAGGAAATAGAAGGTCTAACAGAACAGAAAGATAGCAATAAAAACTGTAACATAGAGGCTCAGAATAAATTAGAGGAAAAACAAAAAGAAATGGAGAAACTTATTCAAGAAAGATCAAGCGTAATATATTATAAAAATAAAGCAAACTGGATGGAATATGGGGGAAAATGCAGCAAATTATTTTTTTTATCTTCAACATAGAAATGCTACCAAAAATAATTTAATGAAACTGGTTACAAATGATGGAGTCACCCATGATTCACCAAATAATATTTTGAAGGAGGAAGCAAAGTACATTAAGCATATGTTTTCGTTTCAGTCGCTTCCATCTCCTCTAACTGAAGCTAATTGTAGAGATGTCTTTCTATTGATAATGTAAAATTAACAGCCATACAGAAATACTCATGTGAAGGTGAAATTACAGAGGAGGAACTTATGGATGCAATTAAAGACTTTAAGTCCGGGAAAACTTCAGGGTTGGATGGCATACCAGTTGAGGTATACCAAACCTTTTTTTATATACTCAGAGGACCGTTATTAGCATGTTTTAACCACTCCTATGTAAATGGTAGATTATCAGACACTCAAGAAGAAGGTCTGATTTCATTATTACTGAAACAGGATACAAGTGGAAAATATAAAGATCCAGTCCATTAAAAAAATTGGAGGCCCCTTACACTTCAGTGTTGTTGTCACGGCCGTCTTCAAAGGGAGTAGACCAAAGCGCAGCGTTTGACGTGAACATGACTTTATTAAGTAAAGTGCAACACGAAAAACAACAAACAACGACGGCTAGTGAAGTCCAACAGATACAATGACTAAACAGGAACAAAAACCCACAAAACCAAGGTGAAACCACACAGTATAAATATGGCTCCCAATCAGAGATAACGAGCCGACAGCTGACACTCGTTACCTCCGATTGGGAGTCATATGACTAATCAACATCAAAACCAACCATAGAAATGAAACAACTAGATCCCACATAGAACTACACCCAAATGAAAATGACAACCCTGGCTCACTACTAAGAGTCCCGGAGCCAGAACGTCACAGTACCCCCCCCTAAAGGCGCGGACTGCGACCGCGCCTCACAACCCCACAATAGGGGAGGGCTGGGTGGGTGTTGCTCCCCGGAGGCGGTTCCGGCTCCGGGCTTGACCACCACCCCACTATAGTTACTACCCGCTTTCTTAACCTCCTCCCAATGACCACCCTCCACTTAAACCCACCTGGATTAAGGGGCAGCACCGGACTAAGAGGCAGCACCAGGATAAGGGGCAGCACCGGACTAAGGGGCAGCACCGGACTAAGGGGCAGCACCTGACTAGATGGCGGATCCTGGCTGGCTGGCTCTGGCGGATCCTGGCGGGACGGCTCTGGCGGATCCTGGCGGGACGGCTCTGGCGGATCCTGGCTGGGACGGCTCTGGCGGATCCTGGCTGGACGGCTCTGGCGGATCCTGGCTGGACGGCTCTGGCGGATCCTGGCTGGACGGCTCTGGCGGATCCTGGCTGGACGGCTCTGGCGGATCCTGGCTGGACGGCTCTGGCGGATCCTGGCTGGACGGCTCTGGCGGATCCTGGCTGGACGGCTCTGGCGGATCCTGGCTGGACGGCTCTGGCGGATCCTGGCTGGACGGCTCATGGCTGGCTGACGGATCTGGCTGCTCATGGCTGGCTGACGGATCTGGCTGCCCATGGCTGGCTGACGGATCTGGCTGCCCATGGCTGGCTGACGGATCTGGCTGCTCATGGCTGGCGGAAGGCTCTGGCTGATCCCGTCTGGCGGAAGGCTCTGGCTGATCCTGTCTGGCGGAAGGCTCTGGCTGATCCTGTCTGGCGGAAGGCTCTGGCTGATCCTGTCTGGCGGAAGGCTCTGGCTGACTGAGACGCACCGTAGGCCTGATGCGTGGTGCCGGAACTGGAGGTACCGGGCTGAGGACACGCATCTCAGGGCTAGTGCGGGGAGCAGGAACAGGCCGAGTCGGGCTGGCAACGCGCACCACAGGCTCCATGCGAGGAACAGGAACAGACAGGACCGCACTGAGGACACACACCCCTGGCCCTACACGGGGATCAGGAACGGGCCGGACCGGACTGGTAACACACCCCAGTACCCTTGGCCGTGCCTCCATACCTTCCTTCCCCTTCGTGACCAGTGGCCCCCTTAACCTGGCGGCCCTATCTGCCAACCTCCTGCACTCCTCCAACCCGTACTCCTGCTGCCCCCGACGTCGTGAGCCCCCCCCTAAAAATTTTCTGGGGGTCTCTCCTCCCCGTGGACCAGGCCTCTAATGTCCTTTCCCAACCTTCGCTCTTCTGTCTCCACCACTCGTCATCCAACTCCTGGAAACGCTGCTTGGTCTCGTTGTGGTGGGTTTTTCTGTCACGGCCGTCTTCAAAGGGAGTAGACCAAAGCGCAGCGTTTGACGTGAACATGACTTTATTAAGTAAAGTGCAACACGAAAAACAACAAACAACGACGGCTAGTGAAGTCCAACAGATACAATGACTAAACAGGAACAAAAACCCACAAAACCAAGGTGAAACCACACAGTATAAATATGGCTCCCAATCAGAGATAACGAGCCGACAGCTGACACTCGTTACCTCCGATTGGGAGTCATATGACTAATCAACATCAAAACCAACCATAGAAATGAAACAACTAGATCCCACATAGAACTACACCCAAATGAAAATGACAACCCTGGCTCACTACTAAGAGTCCCGGAGCCAGAACGTCACAGTTGTGATGCAAAAATTATAGCAAAAGGTATTGTCGTACATTATTCATTCTAATCAGACAGTTTTTTTACATGGACAATACATTGGAGATAATATAAGGCAAGTACTGGAAACAATAGAACACTATGAAAAATCTGGGAAACCAGGCCTGCTATTCATAGCAGACTTTGAAACTGCATTTAATAAAGTACGACTGGAGTTTATATATAAATGCTTGGAGCATTTCAATTTTGGAGAATCTCTTATAAAATGGGTTAAAATCATGTATAGTAACCCTAGGTGTAAAATAGTAAATAATGGCTATTTCTCAGAAAGTTTTAAACTGTCAAGAGGAGTGAAACAAGGTTGTCCACTATCGGCATATCTATTTATTATGGCCATCGAAATGTTAGCTATTAAAATCAGATCCAACAATAATATCAAGGGATTAGAAATCCAGGGCTTAAAAACAAAGGTGTCATTGTACGCTGATGATTCATGTTTTCTTTTAAATCCACAACTAGAATCCCTCCACAGAGGATCTAGATACATTTCTAACCTCTCAGGATTACAACCAAATTATGATAGATTTACTATATTACGTATTGGATCACTAAAAAATACAATTTTTACATTACCATGTAGTTTACCAATAAAATGGTCTGATGGTGATGTGGATATACTCGGAATACATATCCCAAATTAAATAAATGATCTCAGTCCAATACATTTTAATAGAAAGTTAGCACAAATAGATAACATCTTGCTACCATGGAAAGGTAAATACCTGTCAATTTGTTGAAAAATCACCCTGATTAACTCTTTAGTATTATCCCAGTTTACCTATTTGCTTATGGTCTTGCCTACGCCTAGCGAACAGTTTGTTAAATTATATGAGAAAATAATATTCCATTTTATTTGGAACGGCAAGCCAGACAAAATTAAATGGGCCTATTTATATAATGAATATGAATTCGGAGGACAGAAATTAATAAATATTAAAGCATTAGACCTATCACTAAAAGCTTCAGTCATACAAAAGTTATACTTAAATCCGAACTGGTTCTCTAGCAAATTAGTAAGATTGTCTCACCCAATGTTCAAGAATGGCCTTTTTCCCTTTATTCAGATTACAACCTCTCACTTTCAGTTATTTGAAAAGGAAATAATCTCCCAAATATCACTATTTCTAAAACAAGCTGTCACGCCCTGGCTCTGGGGACTCTTAATTGTTGAGCCAGGGTGTGGATTTTCTATGTTTTGTTTGCTATGGTTTTCGTTCTAGATCGGTTAGATCTATGTTGGCCAGGGTGGTTCCCAATCAGAGGCAGCTGTAGCTCGTTGTCTCTGATTGGGAACCATACTTAGGCAGCCTGTTTTCACTAGTCATTGTGGGATCTTGTTCCGAAAGGTTTGTGTTAACCTAGGACTTCATGTTTCGTTTGTTGTTTTGTTCGTGTGGTGTACTTCAATAAAAGATGTACGTTTATCTATCGACGTTCGTGACACAAGCCATAGAAAGTTGGTTGCAATTTCAATTTAATCCTCCAGAAACGACAGAACAAATAATGCAACAGATATTGTGGTTAAACTCAAATATACAAATTGATGAAAAACCATTATTTTTTAAAAGAATGTTTAAAAAAGGTATAATCTTCGTAAATTATATCATAGGTAGGACTGGGATTTGCGAGAAAAAAACAACATATGGGGGATTGGAAGTGATGCAGACAATTACATTGATGGATGTTACAATCTATCTGCAATATTAAAGCTGATCTACCCCCTAAAATGTTTTACAAATATAAAATATAAACATTTAAATGTATGCATTAAGGTGTATGTAATATAATATACTTAGCAAAAACGAATGGACACATTTATAAATGCATTTCTATAGCTTCCAAAATCTTTTTACAATGGAGTAAAAGATACAGTGAGGGAAAAAAGTATTTGATCCCCTGCTGATTTTGTACGTTTGCCCACTGACAAAGACATGATCAGTCTATAATATTAATGGTAGCTTTATTTGAACAGTGAGAGACAGAATAACAAAACAAAAATCCAGAAAAACGCATGTCAAAATGTTATAAATTGATTTGCATTGTAATGAGGGAAATAAGTATTTGACCCCTCTGCAAAATATGACTTAGTACTTGGTGGCAAAACCCTTTTTGGCAATCACAGAGGTCAGACGTTTCTTGTAGTTGGCCACCAGGTTTGCACACATCTCAGGAGGGATTTTGTCCCACTCCTCTTTGCAGATTTTCTCCAAGTCATTAAGGTTTCGAGGCTGACGTTTGGCAACTCGAACCTTCAGCTCCCTCCACAGATTTTCTATGGGATTAAGGTCTGGAGACTGGCTAGGCCACTCCAGGACCTTAATGTGCTTCTTCTTGAGCCACTCCTTTGTTGCCTAGGCCGTGTGTTTTGGGTCATTGTCATGCTGGAATACCCATCCATGACCCATTTCCAATGCCCTGGCTGAGGGAAGGAGGTTCTCACCCAAGATTTGACGGTACATGGCCCCGTCCATCGTCCCTTTGATGCGGTGAAGTTGTCCTGTCCCCTTAGCAGAAAAACACCCCCAAAGCATAATGTTTCCACCTCCATGTTTGACGGTGGGGATGGTGTTCTTGGGGTCATAGGCAGCATTCCTCCTCCTCCAAACACGGCGAGTTGAGTTGATGCCAAAGAGCTCCATTTTGGTCTCATCTGACCACAACACTTTCACCCAGTTCTCCTCTGAATCATTCAGATGTTCATTGGCAAACTTCCGACTGGCCTGTATATGTGCTTTCTTGAGCAGGGGGACCTTGGGGTTGCTGCAGGATTTCAGTCCTTCACGGCGTAGTGTGTTACCAATTGTTTTCTTGGTGACTATGGTCCCAGCTGCCTTGAGATCATTGACTAGATCCTCCCGTGTAGTTCTGGGCTGATTCCTCACCGTTCTCATGATTATTGCAACTCCACGAGGTGAGATCTTGCATGGAGCCCCAGGCCGAGAGAGATTGACAGTTATTTTGTGTTTCTTCCATTTGCGAATAATCGCACCAACTGTTGTCACCTTCTCACCAAGCTGCTTGGCAATGGTCTTGTAGCCCATTCCAGCCTTGTGTAGGTCTACAATCTTGTCCCTGACATCCTTGGAGAGCTCTTTGGTCTTGGCCATGGTGGAGAGTTTGGAATCTGATTGATTGACTGCTTCTGTGGACAGGTGTCTTTTATACAGGTAACAAGCTGAGATTAGGAGCACTCCCTTTAAGAGTGTGCTCCTAATCTCAGCTCGTTACCTGTATAAAAGACACCTGGGAGCCAGAAATCTTTCTGATTGAAAAGAGGGTCAAATACTTATTTCCCTCATTAAAATGCAAATCAATTTATAACATTTTTGACATGCGTTTTTTTGGATTTTTCTGTTGTTATTCTGTCTCTCACTGTTCAAATAAACCTACCATTAAAATTATAGACTGATCATTTCTTTATCAGTGGACAAACGTACAAAATCAGCAGGGGATCAAATACTTTTTTCCCTCACTGTAGCTGTGCAGTGGCTTTAAAACAGCGCCCCCTTTCAGTCATCTAGGGTTTATATACATAATTGGGTAGGCTACATTAGGGTACTCACAAGCACTGTTTGACAAGAACCACTTCATGACCCAGTGGTAACCAAAAATAGGTTTATTAGGAAGCCAAAAGAAAATACAAATTCTCAATCAGTCACAGAGCTTCTGCTGCCCAGCAGCCAGTCATCACTGTAGCCTGTTGTTGCATCCGTCCATCCATCCATTCAGCCTCTTCTCTTCTCATTGCTAATAAGTCAAGGGGTCCCTAAACATGGCCAAATTATCATGATAAAATCCCCAAGTGCAATCTCTTTCGATTGCCTGGTTGACATAGCTTATTTCACCACTGTTTGTGTTCTGAGTGTTGGTTTCATTAGTGTGTGTAGAGTTCAATCAACATGAGAAGGTGTTGCAGTGCATCTTCAACAGGCAT